AATTGTTTTACGCTTCCACTTTTGAGGCCAGCTGTATTTTATTGCCTAAACTATTCATATACTTTAACAGACATTTTCTTATGATGATAAGGCAAAACAGCTGAGGGCATTTATAGAGAGTTAACTGCTTTCCATCTTTGGTTGGATAGTAATAGTGTATTAATAGTGGCATAATAGGTAATACTGCTGAGTTAACTGTCCCACAGTGAAATTAAATGGAGCCATTGCACCTCAATATAGCATCATGAATATTTTAAATAATATGAACCATGAATACTGATGTCTTAGAAGTGGATTGCAAACTTTTCAGATTGAAATATACTAAAGCACCCGTCCTTACAAAGTGTGTGTCCATGTGTTTGTGTTTGTGTACAGGTAAACCTGAGCTGAGGAAAGAGGTGGACATCATCGTGGCAGATGTAGGGGAGCCAGACTCCCTGGCAGCCATGTGCAAACAGGCTGTGTTGTTCTCAACTGTGTGGGGCCTGTTAAGTAGACAGTTCCACAGGAATCTTTGTGCCTGTGTTTATTTTTCTGTAGAAACTCCTTCACATGACACAATCTAGTTTTTGCACAAATTGTCTCAACATCTTTCATGTTGGAATCTTCCTTTGGCATTAGTGTAGCTCAACTTATCACCATCTTTCTCTGCTTCCTCGTCCTCCCTCTGTCTCTTCTCTCTCTCCTCTCCTCATCCTCTCACCACACACACACACACACACACACACACACACACACACACACAGAGTCGCCTTCATTCACACATGAAGGCCACTGACTACAGCACACAATAAGGTCGATATGGGTTGGAAGTCCGAATGGAGAGTAGGTTTTCCAGCTCCACTGTTCACGTCCGCGTGTCATTCAGGTTCTTGTTTTAAACCAAATTCCTCCACTACAGTTGCCACTACGATTGCACACAGCAGCATTATGCCAGCTGAGTTAAAACTGAGGCAAAAAATTAAAGCCATAAGAAGACAAGACTACAGTATTTTGTTCTTTCTTTTCAGTTTCAGTGTTTTTATGTTGACAATACAAATAACATTGTGGCTCCTGTGTGGAGCGGGAGAGGCATAGACACCGCCAGGTGAAAATAAATGGCTGTATTGAAGGAGACATGCCTTTGTTCTGCATTCTCTCCAGACCACCACAGGGATTTAGTAGCGACCAGGACTATAATTAATGGGGAACTGGCCATTGATCAAAGTCAGAAAGAAAGAAGAAGATTAAAAAGCATACAAACAGGATATGAATTAATTTGTGTGTGTGTCTCTGGCTGTCTATAGTACAGATTTCTATGTCGAGCCATGGTCAAAGCCTGTGTGGAGAATGGAGCCCACCATATTGACATCTGTGGGAGAGCCTCAGGTATGTATAGTACTGTATTTCTGTATTGTAATGTATGCATGTGTATTTGTTTTATCTTTGCCCTCTCATTTAGTTTGACATAACCCTACACTTAACAGGTAGATGCTTTTAATTTCATCATGCATGTTCACTAAAGGAACACTTTAATTGTCCTTCCCCTTCCATAAATTATGTGCCCGACTCGAACAACTGAAGCTCTGAACTCAAAACGTATTTTTAAAACAATAGAGATGGCGCTGAAATGACTGACTTCCCTACACTATTTGTTTTGCATAATATTTCCTGTGACTGGACATTGCATGGACATTTCCCTGCAGAAGGGTTTCCAGAGAGCAGGTTTTTGTGAGAACTCTGAGTTTGTTAAACTTGAGAGTTGAGTTCTCAGTTACTATGGTAACTTACTCTATGAACCAATTGCTTGTTGTCAAGCCTGAAGGAGCTCTTTTCTTTCATATAGTTCATATCAAAGCACATATAAGAGCGCACAATATTGTAGAAGTTCTGTCGTAATAAGATGCAAAATCCCAGTTGGATAGGGCGAGATGTTTGTATACCCCAGACGCCAGTCTTTATTAACGTTGCCTCTTTATGACTAATGGTATCATGAGGACAGAGACAGCAACCTCTGTTTTTGATAGATGAATATGCCAGTAATGGCACCCAAATATTTTCTAGGTCTGCTGGATTAAAATTGAGGGCTCTTATCTTTATTCGCCCCAGTTGCCATGGTGAATCGCTACGTATAAGATCGACTCCATTGATGGCTTGTATTTTGTTCACCACTATCACTTTGCCCCAGCTGGTGAACATAATTCAAAGTTGTGATATCGACTAACTCTGATCAGCCTGGTTCTGGACCCAGATGCTCAGGGGTAGTCAACTCAGTTCAGGGTTAGATTCAGAATAACAGACCCCAGATGTTCCAGAACGTTGGCTTGGCTGTTGTTTTTGTAGGATTAAATGGGAGGACGTGCAACGATCTCTATTCATGCTGTATCCTCGCTGTTAGACAAAATTATCTCATCACTTGGCTGCACATGACAGCTATAGTTTTCCCTCACTGTACAGATGCCCATTATGTGCTAATGTCAGCATCTGTCACACATGCTGAAAACACCATACGTTTCGGATAGCACTCTGATCGGCCTAACTTGAGGTTTATTGTGTACTTGCTTGGGATGACTGGGGGGAGGGGCTTGCTTTCTATATATGGCATCTTCTGAAAAACTACCCAAAAAAGAAATCACCCATCTCAATACATTGGAAGCAAGAACTTGTCTAAGCAAAGCGATATGAAGTTCTCTTCGTTATATTAATTTTGAAAAAATGCTTATCATTTATAGTATGTGGTTCTGTCTGTATACCAGTTTCTGCGATAAGGTGCAATTACGCACGTGAACTAACACCAGCCAGCCTAGGACATGCTCATTGACGGATATAACCTTGGTGTGTATCACTCATTGCAGGAGTCTGGATTTGACTCCAACCTGCAGAATGGAGTCCTCATACACCAGGGACCAGTTCAAGGGTGGCACATGTTGACATGCCTCAACTATACATATTTCAGCAAAACAGACCCTATCTGTGTTTCCGTATTTTTTCATGTTTTTTTTTTTTTTCTTTTTTTCTCCTCACATATTTTCATGCAATACTATTATTACCCTACTACGTATTCTCACTGACCAGTGTTAGTCCTGTTTATTCTTTGACTTTTAATTGTTTTACGTCCACTTTTGAGGCCAGCTGTATTTTATTGCCTAAACTATTCATATACTTTAACAGACATTTTCTTATGATGATAAGGCAAAACAGCTGAGGGCATTTATAGAGAGTTAACTGCTTTCCATCTTTGGTTGGATAGTAATAGTGTATTAATAGTGGCATAATAGGTAATACTGCTGAGTTAACTGTCCCACAGTGAAATTAAATGGAGCCATTGCACCTCAATATAGCATCATGAATATTTTAAATAATATGAACCATGAATACTGATGTCTTAGAAGTGGATGGCAAACTTTTCAGATTGAAATATACTAAAGCACCCGTCCTTACAAAGTGTGTGTCCATGTGTTTGTGTTTGTGTACAGGTAAACCTGAGCTGAGGAAAGAGGTGGACATCATCGTGGCAGATGTAGGGGAGCCAGACTCCCTGGCAGCCATGTGCAAACAGGCTGTGATTGTTCTCAACTGTGTGGGGCCTGTAAGTAGACAGTTCCACAGGAATCTTTGTGCCTGTGTTTATTTTTCTGTAGAAACTCCTTCACATGACACAATCTAGTTTTTGCACAAATTGTCTCAACATCTTTCATGTTGGAATCTTCCTTTGGCATTAGTGTAGCTCAACTTATCACCATCTTTCTCTGCTTCGCTCGTCCTCTGTCTTTCTCTTCTCTCTCTCCATCTCTCTCTCACACACACACACACACACACACACACACACACACACACACACACACACACACACAGAGTCGCCTTCATTTACACAATGAAGGCCACTGACTTACAGCACACAATAAGTCGTATTGTGTGGAAGTCCGAATGGAGAGTAGGTTTCCAGCTCCACTGCTTCACGTCCTGCGTGTCATTCAGGTTCTTGTTTTAAACCAAATTCCTCCACTACAGTTGCCACTACGATTGCACACAGCAGCATTATGCCAGCTGAGTTAAAACTGAGGCAAAAAATTAAAGCCATAAGAAGACAAGACTACAGTATTTTTTCTTTCTTTTCAGTTTCAGTGTTTTTATGTTGACAATACAAATAACATTGTGGCTCCTGTGTGGAGCGGGAGAGGCATAGACACCGCCAGGTGAAAATAAATGGCTGTATTGAAGGAGACATGCGTTTGTCTGCATTCTCTCCAGACCACCACAGGGATTTAGTAGCGACCAGGACTATAATTAATGGGGAACTGGCCATTGATCAAAGTCAGAAAGAAAGAAGAAGATTAAAAAAGCATACAAACAGGATATGAATTAATTTGTGTGTGTGTCTCTGGCTGTCTATAGTACAGATTTTATGGCGAGCCAGTGGTCAAAGCCTGTGTGGAGAATGGAGCCCACCATATTGACATCTGTGGAGAGCCTCAGGTATGTATAGTACTGTATTTCTGTATTGTAATGTATGCATGTGTATTTGTTTATCTTTGCCCTCTCATTTAGTTTGACATAACCCTACACTTAACAGGTAGATGCTTTTAATTTCATCATGCATGTTCACTAAAGGAACACTTTAATTGTCCTTCCCCTTCCATAAATTATGTGCCCGACTCGAACAACTGAAGCTCTGAACTCAAACACGTATTTTTAAAACAATAGAGATGGCGCTGAAATGACTGACTTCCCTACACTATTCGTTTTGCATAATATTTCCTGTGACTGGACATTGCATGGACATTTCCCTGCAGAAGGGTTTCCAGAGAGCAGGTTTTGTGAGAACTCTGAGTTTGTTAAACTTGAGTTGAGTTCTCAGTTACTATGGTAACTTACTCTATGAACCAGATTGCTTGTTGTCAAGCCTGAAGGAGCTCTTTTCTTTCATATAGTTCATATCAAAGCACATATAAGAGCGCATCAATTTGTAGAAGTTCATGTCGTATAAGATCAAAATCCCAGTTGGATAGGCGAGTAGTTTGTTACCCAAGACCAGTCTTTATTAACGTTGCCTCTTTTATGACTAAATGGTTATCATGAGGACAGAGACAGCAACCTCTGTTTTTGATAGATGAATATGCAGTAATGGCACCCAATATTTCTAGGTCTGCTGGATTAAAATTGAGGCTCTTATCTTTATTCGCCAGTTGCCATGGTGAATCGTAGTATCGAAGCTCCATTGATGGCTTATTTTGTTCACCACATACTTTGCCCAGCGTGAACATATTCAAAGTTGACTGAACTAACTCTGATCAGCTGTTCTGGACCCAGATCTCAGGGTTAGTCAACTCAGTTCAGGGTTAGATTCAGAATAACAGACCCCAGATGTCCGAACGTTGGGCTTGGCTGTTGTTTTTGTTAGGATTAAATGGGAGACGTGCTGACTTTCATGCTGTAGCCTGTTAGACAAAATTATCTCTCACTTGGCTGCATGACAGCAGTTTTCCCTCACTGTCAGATGCCGATGTGTGTAATGCAGCTTGTCACACTGAAACAAAGTCAGCACTCTGATGGCCTAACTTGAGGTTTATGTGTATTTTCAGGCTTGCTTTCTAATGGCTCTCTGAAACTACCCAAAAAAGAAATCACCACTCTCAATACATTGGGAAAGAACTTGTCCAAGAAAGCGATAGTGAAGTTTCTTCAAGATTTAATTTGAAAAAATGCTAGTCATTATAGTATGTGCTTCTGTCTGTATACAGTTTCTGGAGGGCATGCAGTTGAACTACAGCAGCCAGGCAGCTGATAAAGGTGTGTACATCATTGGGAGCTGTGGATTTGACTCCATACCTGCAGACATGGGAGTCCTCTACACCAGGGACCAGTTCAAGGGTAGGCACATGTTGACATGCCCATATACATATTCAGCATACACACCGTGACATACACCCTGTGACACTGATATGCAGCGGTCAATTGACTCCCTTTCTGTCGTTATAATTAAATTATTCTTTGTTGTATTAGCCTCTGCCAAAATATAGTGTATGTGTGTGGGTATTCATCCACAGGTACACTGACCGCAGTGGAGAGCTTCCTGACTGTCAGCTCAGGACCTGATGTACGTAACTACATTTCCCATTCGTCCACACAGTTGATCCTTAATCACCCACTTTCCACCCCCACTCCCCTACCCCATTTCTGTACACTAATTTCTTACAATTCTGTGTCATCATATATTTTTCTCCTTTTCTCAAATGCATCTTGTTTCTCCGTGTTTATGTGCTCCATTATTTCTCCCTTTGTACATGTGTTACTCCATCTTCCTCTATCAGGGCGGATGTATCCATGATGGTACGTGGCAGTCCGCCATCTACGGTTTTTCTGACGGCCATAAGCTCCAGAGTCTTCGGAGGAAGTTTAATCACAAACCTCTCCCTACTTTTGGCTCTAAGCTTAAACGCAGGTAGGTAGATTAGTAATGCCTTTTTGCTTTTTTCCAAAAGAAATCAAATCCTTTACTTTTCCTGACAGGCACTTCACAAAGCCACTTTGCCAAATTCATGATAAATACTATATTGTAGGCTAGTAGACTTTGAAATGTGTCAGCTAATCTGCACATTTCAAAACATTTTGGAGACAGTATGTCATTACAAAGTTTTTCTATCATTTTGTAGCGTTTTCTAGACTCACTGAGCAGTAGCTTAATTTTAGTAGAACTTGGTGACTGATGGGGCAAATAAAGATACTGATATTTGAGAGTTTAAAAAAATCCAATAGCAATATTTATATATTTTGACACAAGATAATTAATATTCTTTATTAGGATTTTTAAAATTTGGCTATTAGTTCATATGTACTGAGCAGGACATTTTACAGATTAAAAATAAACTTGTCAGTGCCCTCTGGTGGACAAACTGTGTAATGGTGACACTGTGTCTAAATGACCTCAAACATATCTCTGGCATTAAAGTTACAATTTCTCGTTACCAATCAGATGACACAGACGTATGTGTGATAAGATGGTTACAACAAATATTACTGTTCTGATGGTGTATCTGTTTGGTTCTGGCACCCTGATAGAACAGTGCATAATCCTCTTACCACATTCGGACAATTTTGTGTTTTCTCAACACATTTTTCTTTGTATGTTTGTGCATTTGCAGGGGAACACTGTTCTTCAGTAATGAGATCCAACAGTATACGGTGCCGTTCATGGGCTCTGATCCCTCTGTTGTGAAGAGAACTCAGCGGTTTGTGGCGGAGGAACATCAGGCCACACCAGTCAGTCTTTTTTTTCCCCCGTCTTTTCTTTCTTAACATTCAGTGTCTCACACTTTGTTAATTTTCACTAATGATTCACATATGAATTGAACTCGTAGGGAGTTGTTGTGTCTTTAGTTTTGATAATGATTAAGGGTTTTTGGACAAAGCTGATTTTTGAACTTGGCTGTGTTAATCAAACCAATGAGCATGTTTATATGGAAAAACAATTTGCCTTCACTGCAGATAATTTTCAGATCAAGATGGCACCAACAATATGTATATTACCACCTCTGCTATGTTTCTAGAGCATTAAATAATCTGTTTTTGTCAACCCTAGGTTCAATATGGAGCATATGCAGGAATAGGAGGCATTGGCAACATTATCAAGCTGATGTTTGCTGGCATGATGTTCTGGTTCTTAGTGAAGTTCAGTTTTGGACGCAATCTGCTCATCAAGGTAAACAATACAATGACTTAATACAATTTACATTTCACAACTGACCGTAACTGAATATTCTACCAGTTGGAAATCAGAGTATACATACTGTGTGCTGGGAAATATTTTGGTGTTCATGTCTGCCTGTTTTTGTACCCACCTTCTCAGCACCCAGAGTTTTTCTCCTTTGGACTCTTCTCTAAAGCTGGACCAACTAGAAAGCAGGTAAAGTGTTGTCAGCACAGAAAAGTAGGGCCTTAGACACAGTCAATGCACAGCAGCAGTTCTTAGTTCAAGTAGTTCAGCATGCTAATAAGAGGCTCTGTTTTCTGATGTGTGTTGTGTGTGTATTAGATGGAAGCTTCATCCTTCCAGTTTGCCTTCTATGGAGAGGGATATCCTGATGGTGAGGACCCCTCACACGGAAAACCTACCAGCAAGATCCGCACGCTGGTTCAGGGGCCAGGTAACTGGAACTTAAAGTCCTTGTTAATTCAAGGTTTTATCCTTGATGTAACAAATAGTGAAAACAAAGATACTTGATGCATGAAGCAGAATGATAGAATACTTCAATAAACCCTTTATAAATACAGGAACAAAATGCTGTAGAGTAAGAAGAACATTAGCCATGTTACTTAATGAGGCCAGTTACCCAGTCTGGCCTCTTTGACACCTTGCTTGATGTGTCTAATCTATTCTATCTCAATCAGAGTGTGGATACGTGGCCACGCCCATTGCCATGGTACAGGCTGCTCTAACAATCCTCAATGAATCCACAGCCTTGCCCAAGAAGTGAGTAATCACACCGCACATCTTCTGCCTGACATGGAAATGAATTTACACTCAAATACAAATACAGCAGACATTGATAATCTGTCAAAAACTAAATTGGAATTCAGTGTGTTTACGCTGTTTTATTTTAAAAGGAAGACTAAAAGTAGAAGACAAGAGCAAATGTTGCTACAACATTACTACTGTGCAGTGTTTTTTATCATAAATATTTCATATTTTTACAGTATAATGGTTTAACATCCATTATTTCCATGAATTTCTGAGACTTGGGTATGAAATTGATTTTGATTTGAATTCAGTTCTTGTTTTTATCCTTCATTTCCAGGGGAGGAGTGTACACTCCAGGAGCTGCATTTGCAAAAACCACCCTGGTCGACCGCCTGAACAAACACGGCATCCAGTTCTCAGTCATCTAAAGTCTGTCCCCACCCTGATGCCGTACTCCAGGTTTTTCTGAGCACTTACTAATATGCATAACAACAACTGGGAAGTTTCCAGCTTTAGAAGAGAGCTATTTAATCACAAGAGCTTTGACTAGAGATGGAGTACACCTACAGATGAAAATCAAACACCATTTTTGGTACTTTCAGCATTTATCCTTCATTTGGTCAGAAACTTGCCAGTCTCCTTTTGGCATGAATGTACTAATAACCCTCTGCTTGTAAGACAAATAGCACAACTGTGGCAGTGTTTCCTAGCCAAGGACAGAAGAAGAACCGGTGTGTGTAAATGGGTTTAACATGGCTCTCCAATGACATCATTATTGCTAATGTAAGAATTTTCTAATATCTAAAATTCTTTAATGATGCTGTATTCACAAAAACTGGATAAAAAGACAGTTAGTTTCTACACCTTCATGTTGGAATCTACCTGGGATACTTTAACAGGTTGATCACAAGTTAAAAATCTCATGTTCTCTTTCATGACCAATGTTGTTAAACAGCCACAGTATAGCAAGCTGATAGCTTCATAATATCAACCATAATGATTCCAGATAATCTTTACTGTGGCAGGATAGAGGATTGGTAAAGTAGCTTGAAATCAGTGCTACAGATGTAGTGAACTGTAATAAAATATGTCCTAGGAAAAAACAACTGGCAACTGTAACAGTGGAAGAAAAGCAAACTACAATCTTCATGTGTTGTCCTTGTAACATACAGTCGCTTTATGTGCACAAGGACATTAATCCCTAAGTTACACTAACATGGTAGTTGTACATGTGTTGTTCAGTGGAGTGAAGCTGTCAATAGAGAATTAGAAATCTGCTGTATGTGCACGTACATGCTTGTCTTTCCTGGCCTGGCCTGTTAGTTAAAAATCCTGATTGCTTGGTTTTTGACAGATAGTAGTTGGACTATCACTAAATCATCCTATTTTCTTTGTTGTCTGTATTTTGTAGTTGAATGTTGCAACGGCTCACCTATCCAAATGGTTGCTTTTGAGCCTTGTCAGAAAATGCATCCAGTTGTTTGTGCACAAAACAGCATGAGTAACTCCATGAAACTGAACAGATCCTCTCTGCTGGTTAGTTAACAAGTGTGTTAAGTTGGGTTTTTTTTTAATGTTTTTTGCGCTCATATGGACTGGAATAAGTTCACTCAAAGTGATAAGGTTGATCTCAGTCCAGACTCTTTTTTCACATTTGAGCTTTATGTGCACGCAACAGGCTAAGTTTTGGGTTTTGTTTTGGTGTGTTTTGCTTTGTATGAACCTTATAAATAAAGCCAACTCTGCTAATACAAAAGTCTTGAGTATTTCTCACACAGCTTTATGGAAACATATCAGTAATGCACATAATTAATTTCTTGTCAGGTATCGTTTAAATCTCATAAGTCTAGGAATGTTGTGTGTGTTCATGTTCAACCCTTACTTTACCTGCACAGGGCTGGAAAACGTATCCTGTGTCAGAGAGCACTGATCTGAAGGTAAAATATGCAGAAATAACTGTTTAAAATTATGGCAGATGCATAGTGAAACCATAATCCCCCTGACCACACAGCTACAAGAAATCATTAGTTGCATCCCTCACTCCATATATGTGGAAGTATTCTCTTTGCTTTTGTGCCTATGGTGTGTGTGTGGAGGCAACTCAGGTGCCCTCAGATCATTTGCATTCTGAATGGGTAGTATAATTATTTTTTCACCGTTCGGTTGTACAGCGATAACATGTCAAAAACATTCATCCAAATGATGATTCACAATGAGCCGAGCTGAGTTTTTGAACTGGGGAATTTGTTGGCCTGTAAGACTCTTCAGTGTAAATTGTGTATGGAACAGAGTAATAACTTGAAGTAGTTAATCAAAGCAGGATCTTTTCTTCTACTGGGATTATGGATTTCATGCTACAGTGAAGGGCTTTAAGATGTTTAAATGGGATTTGTTGTTGTATTTCACAAATCTATATGTGCTCATGTATCCAGGTACTTAGCCAACTTACCATTATGAATGTGGCTTAAATCGGACTATACACAACATCCAGAGCTGGCCTGTTATGTTGGTTTCCATGGTGACAGCTGTTATTACCATCAACTGGTATCTACAGTGAAGAAGTGGCTCCACCATACACTTGTTTTTATGTCTTCAAAGTGAGATTATAGGTATTAGCAAGTCACTTGTATGAAGAACTTAAAATATGACAGTGAATAGATTCTAAAAACTCTAGCTATATTAACACAATTCAAATATTTATTCATAAAAATACAGTTATCTCCTGTACAAAACAGACTACAAAATGTTCATGGCTAAAAATTATGGTAAGGGGAATTCCATATAATTCCTTTTGGTTGTTTCCTTGGTTTAACAATGAATTTGCACCATTTGTTGCCATATACATAATGCTCCACCACATTCCACAGCATTCAGTGTTCATACTGTCTCCTGGTTCAGCAGCTGGTGCGAGTAGATGACATCTTCATAGTGGTATTTCTCTGCTATGGCCATGATGGAGTCATTGCACCTGACCCTACTCAGAACCTGCATCACTTCAACCACAGCCGACCTGCAGCAGACAGGGAAACAAATGTGTGAGGAAAAGTGCATGAATTTATAAAGATAACCACGAAATAACCTAAAAAATCGGTAATGTTTTGCCATTTGGAAACATGTGAAGCTGCAGATGTCACATGATGGGGGAATAAGGGGGTATTTTTTTCTGTCCAACTGCTAGTGCATCATCAAGTAACCACAAACATAAATTAAGAAGTCAAAAGTACGAATTTTTATTTAAAAGGTAATAAACTAAGGAGGCTGAGCACTACCATGCCTAACAGACTATTATAAAGGAAAACAGTTAAGATGCTTAGCATGCTGCTGTAAACAGGAGTACAAAGCAAAATGGAAAGACTTGGAAACTTTTGCAGTCAGATATACCTTTACAATTTTTACTGGGTAGCAAAGCTTTATATGAGCAGCACTCTGATAACTTCAATCAATGGACCACAGTTCCTCTCAAAATTTGGTTTAAGGAATGTAAATGACCACTAATTCAAAGACAGTCCAGACAGTTGAGCTGGGTTGCTTTTTACCCAGACTTTAAGCCAGCAGAGACAGATGGGAGGTTTAAGTATTGGTATGGAATTGGCATCACCTCTTACTGCTGAATCTCATCAAAGGGAGGATTGAACTCCTTTCAAAAAATCTCGGACATATATGGTTTGGAATTTTTTTTTTTAGATACTTACAAATAAGGGCATACTTTAACAAAGAGATAAAACCCAATGGGAACTGTGATACCAAATTAACTGATATATTTAATGACAAGTATAAAAATAAGGACAACAGGAAACTTGTCCCAAAACTCTATTCAAGCATTCAACCTACAAAGAAACATTCAACGAATAAGATTAAACTAAAATGGGAGAAGGAATGTGGACTTGTCATCTCAGAGGAGGACTGGTTGAATGTGTTCTATCCAATCATCTTCCACAAGTTCAGGCCTTTGGAGAGAGTTCCGTTGGAGGAATTTGATAAGATAAGATGTAGCCCCAAGCTAAAAGGTGTACAGACAGGTGTTTTGGAAAGAGGTCTATGCTGGAGGAAATGTGGTAAACAGCTGGCAGATCATGTCCACATATTCTGGGCTGCCCAGCCATTCGGTCATATTGGCAGGAAGTAACACAAGCAATACAAAATATATTTAGTGATGGAATTGACTGCTCTTTTACTACAATTTATTTAGGCAACATTGCAGCTCACCTATTGGCCAAAGATAATTACCTACTAAAGATATAATTAGCTGCCAGAAAGAAAGCTGTAACACGAAAAAGGCTACAGGCCGAACCTCCAACAAAGACCGACTGGATAGATATTGTTACCACTATTTAAGGGATGAAAAGAATAACTTTACTAACTTTTAGATTTACAGACTGATAAATTCCTGCGCTACTAGGAAAAATGTAATGTGTACGTGACCTCACAAAATGAACACTGAATATTTATCATATAAACTGACTTGTATATCCAGCAGTGAAATTGCTTGTATAAACACAAGGTTACCAACTGTTTTTATGTTCTGCAGTGTTTAACTGTATTTCAATGTTTCTTTTTAAAAAATAAAGAATAAAAATAAATAATAAAAGGCAATAAACTAAAGGAATTTCTTAGTTCTTTGTTAGTTACTTAGCTGATAAAAAAAAATAAAAGATACTACACAGGCTATATCTGTGAAGAAAGAAACTTTCTGAAATATTCCCTTCAGTAAACTCAACCTGTGACTGATGTGTACAGACACCAGCCTAACTACCACATACTGCAAGCTTCTGAAATTGAATATAAACAAATATAATTTCATTCCTATTGTAATGTTGTTAGCATGTAGCATGTAGGATGAGTCTAGCAACAGAAGAATCCACCAACCCAGTCCTACACTGGTTATCTGATTATGAGAATATTGTCTGGATTTGCACCGAATTGTGCAAATATAGAGATGTCAACATGATTAATATGCCGAATTTTTTTTACATCAAGATATATTATTACCGGAGGAATTGATGAAACTGTCAAAAAATACCCCATCTCACAATGTTAAGGGAAGTGACAAAAAAATTCCTGGATCTGGCTGTTTCATATCAGCACCAAAATTTTATTGTTTCTTCCCTGGACCCATGCCCCATCCCCTCACCAAATTTAGTGCAAATTGGTTTGCACTTCTTGCATAATCCCGCTGACAAATAAACAAACCAACAAACAGACAAGTGAAATCATAACCTCCTTTGCAGAGGTAATTAAAATGTAAGAGGACTAAATTAACCTTACAGCATTTCCAAAAGCTTTCTTATGGAACATGTTGCTTTTTATTACCTTGTGTTTGGATCTTCAGGAGACTGTTGTTTGCAGAGGGTATGAACTTTCTGAACGAGGTGGTTTTCAAAGTTCCGTAGCTGAGGCAAACAAATGTTCCCTCCTTTGAACAAAGAGAGCGGAAGACTATCTGCTATCTGGAAAGACAGAGAGAGGGAGAGATAGAAAGAGAGTAGTGCAGGATTAAGAACACCAGAGAAAGTGAGGGATACAATAACAATCAACAATAACATCATTGTCAAGACTGATGTGTGCATGGACTCACTCCACATTAAAATGGTGAATCAAAATACCTTTTTGCATGTTAGGACGGTATTGTTAAATTGAGTCTGACTGCACAGAGTGGTCATCAGGTATCGGTTCAGCAGTTTGTCCAACATCAGTTCCATCAATACAGTCTCAGGAAGCAGCAAATCCCATTTCCCCATGTTACCTAGAAGCTAATATAAAAACAAAAAAACTCTGGCTAATAGCTGGCAGAATTTAGCTCCCCACTAGGAAATGCATCTTGGAGAGACAATATAACATACAAAAGTGTTTTTTTTAAAAAGTATTTGTTAAAGAGCAGTACTTTTATGGCCGTCCAGAGCTGTTGTTCCCTGAAGCAACTCTGAGGCGACGACCTGTCTTCTAGGAACCTGGACAGAAAAACAAACAGCATAAATAATACATGAAAAGACAATAAATGTAATAAGATAATATTACACTATTTTTATTGACCTAAACTTTAAAAAATACATCAAAGTAGGTCACTATGACACAATTTTCTATCGTGATTGAGCAGAGACATATGACATATTTGCATTTATACAGTATGCTGGATCAGGAAAAGAAGAGAAGTCTGTTGTAAACAAAGAAGAACATGTATAAGAGCATGAAATCATTATGTGTTATACTGAGGTGAAGTCAAACCTGCTTTCTCATTGTTAGTCATTTAAATAAATCCTTAATGCTTAAACCGTCAAAGTCATAAAAGAGACTGACTTTTTGGGGTACAGAGGGATGAAGACATCTTCGTCTACACAGCTCCTCAGTCTCCTGACCACAGCCTCGATGAATGCCTGCCCAGGATATAAACACACATTGTTCACACAAACATGTTCTTATATTGTGTATCTGACTTGCTAATTATTGTATATTTATTTATATATGTATTTTAGGTTAACATTGTTTTTCATATCACTCCTTAATTGTTAGATATTAGGCATTCTAAAAATCACTGTAGGGCTTGGTGCTTATTGTTTGAGCAAAACCTTTAAACATTAAAATTCAGCTAAAATAGTAGTGCAAGATAGAAGCAGAAGGATTTCTGTGTTGACAAATACACATAAGCCTTATGTGTAAGTGTTGGTCTCACCTTGACTGGTTTACTCTGCTCTCCCTCAAAGATGGAATAGTCCTCCTTCAGTCTGTGACAGACATCAGAGAGACAGACTGACTGTTGGTGGGACATGGGATCCCACACCAGCTCCACAAATGCTGATCAACAGAGCAGAGCAAAAAGACAGGCAGAGTATGATGCTTCTGTAGTTTGACACATCTGTAGTCTAAAACAGGCCACGGAGGTGAGGAAAGTTTGTGGACAGAGTGTTTAACTATGGGTGAATAGCAAACATGGTAAATCACTTAGAACTGGATGCTAGCGTCGTCTACATTGTGGAGAAGCTCCCCGCTACTGGAGCATGTGGTGGAAAAGCAAGACGCACAGAAGGCAGAGGGTGAAGAGAAACATTTAGTCCTTGGAGAGAGGACAGAAATATGGTACATGTACTGTGACTAGTAAAAATATCTTTTATAACTCAAGCAAATCATGTACAGTCTCACTACAATGAATTAAGTGAAATTTGTGGGTGAGGGTATTGTTAAATAAGTAGCCACTAAAATCAACATGTAAGCATTCCACTTATAAAACATATTTCCAAGGTACTTGTGCCGTTATTGCTACCGCCATAAACAAACTCAAAACTTATGTGTGCCTTCTCATTAGTTTACATTTTAACACATAAAACCTATTGAAAATATGGCTCATTTAATAAGAAGTGGATAGGTACATGTGTGAGAATAAGAGTGGGAAAAGTGTGTGCGTGTGTGTGTATTACCAGTTATTTTGGGTAGGACAGTCTTTTCTATGACATTAGACAGCGTCCGTCTGTCTGTGTGCTCAAGCTCCTCATGACCGTGTCCATGACAAAACGTCTCCACTGCTGTGAACCAGGGGAGGTTTTCAAAGTCCCCACTGGCATCCTGAGATACACACATGCATTACATTAAACACATAATGTCATATATTGTGTAATGCCAGTTGTGTGAATGTATAAGTAAGCCTCTGTGTTTGGGTGTTCAAATGTTTAATCACCTTTAGTGGGTTCCATGCCAGTAGCTGATGTCTAATGATGGGGTTCAACAACTTGGGCAGACAAAGAGAGATGTAGGCACTGTGGTAAGAGTCAGAGTAAGATTTTCTCCATTCTTCAAAGCGAGACAGAATCTTTTTAACGTTGCAGAAATCATCCTGGACGTCAGAAAACACTGTCTGGGACCTCAGCAGAATATCAGCTGGAGAGGGAAAGAAGACAATGAAACAAAAGCATCAAGTGGATCACTTGATTCAGCCTAGACATAACAAGGTAAAAAAAAATTGTTTTCTCTACTTAGGTTTTGCTGAAATTTTCAACATAAAAAGTGAAAGAGAAAGAGGGAAAACAAAAGAGAAAACAGAAGCTTGCAGTAAGTAGTGTACAGACTAATTTTGCAGCCTGGCAGAATTTTACAGATTCACACTTTATAGTGTTAAAGCTGTGCTGTTAACATATTATTGAATATTATTATTCAATAATTATTCCAAAGAAAACATTTAAGCTTTCAGTTAAACAGATGAGAGTTGAATAGATTTAATTCCTCCTTACCCATCTTCTTCTGCAGCTGCTCTTCCTCTTCTGCTGAAGGTTGTGTGTCTTCAGGAATATCAAAGTCTCCCTCAGCTTTAGCAGCAGTGCCTGCCACACTGCAACACATAAGACAAATATACAAAAATCTGTGTAAGGGTAGAGTGGAGTACATATCTTTTTTATATACTTTTGTAATATTTTTGTACTGGATTTTATTAGATCCAATTTGTTACCATTTCTAATTGACTATTTCAGCAATCTTGTTGTAGAATATATTTAACATAACATATGAAAAAATAATAAACCAAAGAAACTTTATCTTGAAAGCTATTTAAGTACACTCACCCTGGAGTTTCTGTTCCATTGGCTGAACTTCCATCCTGCTCATCTGTGCTATCTAAAAAAGTGAGATGAAAAGTCCACTTAATTTAAATCTTACAACCTGGTGACTGTTTTACTTTCAACTGCCAGGGCTTCTTAAATCCTTTCCAGTGTTTTCACTGTAAACCTGAAGTAAAATTCTATTACTTTCTATGTCCATACCAGAGAGATTCTGTAGCCTAAAATGTTCCTCTTGGGAAACAATGTAAAGAAAGGAATTTTCATTTTACAGTTTTGTATCTTTTGGTGCTACATTGACACAATGTCTTCACTAAAGAATTGGCCCACACTCTCAAATGTTCTGTAGATTAAAAAGTCACACAGGACTTCGACTTTGTCAGTGGCTTCGAAGTAACAAACCTAGTCTCTGACTTGGATCCAGAATAACAAGAAACACACAAGCTTACATTGCAAAACTTGCAACAGTTCATCTCAAATGCACATACAGACACAAGGAAACACAAATGCACAAACTCACAGCTGAGCTGCTGTAGACTGTCAGCCTGCTCTTTAACCTTCTGTCTTCTCTGAGCCAACAGTGCCTCCAACTGGTCGGAGAGCAGAGTGTGAAGCTCCAGTTCGAAAGAGTTGATCTTAACAACCTGCAGTCCACAAATTATTGCCAGTCAGACAATTATCACTATTTAATTTCCAAAGGGGGAGCATCAATGTTCCCTACAGGCTGCTGGTGTTAGACAAAATCTCTTCATAATTGGTTTTGCACATTCTAAGGCTCTTCAGCATCACTTGCCTTGAGTAAGGCACTTCCTTGTGATATATTGATTGTATTTATTTTACCAAATTAGGAAAGTCTGAAAAGTGCTGTATAAATATACAGAGCCATGATCCCACCAGTTATAAATAATCAAAATGGCAACCATTTCATCAGCATTGGCCACCCAATCTTGAAGGCTAGCTAACGGTCCCGCAGTCACTAAAATTTAGAGTCGGGCCCTGCCAACATTTCTGACAGACACACGGCTGGTTGATAAACTGCCCTCATCTTGGAAGAGAAAAATGTAAATTTCTTACCCTTTTAACTTTAATAATTTTATTGACAAGTTTGCTTTTAAGAGACAGTTAAAAGTAGAGATACTTTAGACAGACTTATTAATTGCTGACCTTCTCCCGCAGACACTCCACCAGGTTGTGGGCATAGAGCGTCATGCCCCGGTAAAACTTAAGCTGAATCTCTGAGGAACTTTCCTCCAGACTCTCCACTGAGGTTTTAGCGCTCTCAACATCCCCCTCCATCTTCCTCAGCTCTGCCTGCCGTGCTCTGTGCACCTCCTTCAGGGAGTCCAGTCTAAAGGACGAAGGACAAAAAAAAAATTAAAATCAGAGGAAAGTCTACGTGTAATTAAGTAATAAAAGTGATAAAATAGGAGACAGGAAACTGTATAAGGAAATATGAGCATGAAAAATGTTAGGAAATACATCTGATACAAAAGCATTTTATCACTAATATTTCAATTTTTGCAGTGTGTTATTAAGGCAGGTATAGCAAAAAAATATATATATATATAAAAAGAAAACCTACTTTCCAGTGATCCTCCTCTTGACCATTGAAACACTGATGGAAGGAAGGGTCTTTGGGATTCTGACCCCTGATCTCTTCTTTTGTCTTTGTCTGTCTCGCCTGCTGCTGCTGGATCTGCTGGATCTGCTGGATTCACTGCCAGATGGGCTCTGAGAAGAAGAAAATAAGAGCATAAAGGATGTCAATGCTGCAGTACAGAGGGGTGAGGCTACACTTGTTGAGTCTTGAGGCTTCTTGAGGCTTGATTCTTCAGAAAGAGAGACTACAGTATTCTGCAATATGCCCAGTTCTAGACAACATGGGACAAGATAGCAATACAGAAAGAATGTGACACAGGAAAAAAAAAACCCTAGAAAGAAAAGGGAAAATTTAGATAAAAAGGAAAGAATTTGAGAAAATATGCAAAAAAGTGCAAAAAGAAAAACAGAGTAAAAGAAAAGAGAAAAAGTAAAAACAAGACAATAAGACCTCCTACCTGTTCTCCTGGCCGTCTCTTGACTCCCTTCCCAATTTGTGTCTCCTCCCAAAGTTCCTGCTCTTCCCCATCAGTCCCTGACAGGCTGCCATCACTTCCTCCTAGATTACACAAAAACATAAAGAAAATAGTAGACTTCATATTCCCACAATCAGGCAGGCTTATTGTTATGTAATTCATAAACAACAGACCACTTCAGTTTAATCCTGCTGCTACTGTAGTTTGACAGCTATACTAATTCACATGCTCATAAAAAAGAATCACAAAATGCTAATACCATGTTATGCTAGATATCACCAATACAATAATGTTTGACCAATACTGCTGCTTTTTAAAGCCGTTACTAATTGGCAGCTGATCTATTTACAAATCAAAACATACATTACATTTAAAAAAAAAAAAAACTGCTTTAATCCACTCTCTTTCTCCCCTCCTTTCCACCTCCCTCTCCTACCGAGTTTCTCAGCAATCCTCTCTCTTATGCTCTTCAATCGTGGTGCAAACTCGATTCTTCTCTCATGGTCATCTGGCTCATCATCATCATCATCAACTCTGTCTTCTTCATCGTCCCTGCTGTAGTGATCCGGGGTGCTACCACCAGAGCTCTGGCCACCTCTACTCAGTGAAATGAACTCTTTCTGGGCTCGAGTGGCACGACGCTGCCTCCTGGCTGCTTGGATCTCTTCAGCGTTTGGGATAACTACTGTAAAGTCAATTTGACAGACATAAAATTGAAGGAACAGGCATGCAGACAAACACACAGGAAAACTGTGATATCTAACAAGTTCTTTACACACTGTAATAAACTTGTAACAATCATCGGTGGATAAAACACCCAAATACACACTATCTATGTGCATCCCACAAAAACACATACCTGGTTTGGCAGTAGAGCGGCTCGAGTCTGAGGCTGAGCTAGCTGAAGGAGACCTGGCACCACCTTCATCACTTTCACTGTCTTCACTGTCATCATCATTGTCATCATTATAGTGCAGACCATGTGGTGAAGCCTGACTGTCATAATCTTGCCTAGGAGAACCAGATGGTGGGACACCTACACCAGCTGGGGCTAGGAGAGAGGAGAGGGAGACATTGCAAAGTATAATGATGTTGGCCAACATTATCGCTTTATTATCTAGATAATTATGGAAGAAGGAAGTAAGATGATAATGAGATAACATGAAATAAAATGATAATTTATAAATTGTTTTAATTACATTCATGGCTAAGACATGTTAAGTTCGGGAGCAGACAATTCAACATTTTCAACTGATTATGAGTTTTGTATCAGAAGTGCCTTTTTGAAACCAAAATAATTCTACCATCCATTTCCATGAATCTATAAATAAGTTTATGTCAAATTACACGGCAACCAATTGGATTCTTATCAGAATATACTCTCAGTTTCTAATTTATTAAGTACATTAAGAGGTGCTCTGGTTTATATCAGATATATCAAAGTATACATCTTTATCTAAACACAAACCTGAACATTTTGCCCTAATACACTGGCAATTTCGTGAATATATGCATCAGTTAAAGTCCCTTCCCTAATCAAGACTGACTAAGGAACTGGGGGCTTTTGTGTGGATGCAGATATTCTGCCTTCCCAGTGATACTTCTTTTTTACACTCTACCCCCCCCCCCCCAAACATGTATTTATTGCATTATTAATATGATCCATCCATGCACCTACCTGTGCTGTAGGTAGTCTTGGCAGGTGAAGCTTCCTTCCTCCTGACTTGGAACAGCACAGCTTTATCAGAGGACTTCTTTAGTTTAAAGGCTGGTTCTTCAGCTGAGACAAGAAGAAGAAAAGCAGAGACACATGAGGAAAAAGTTGCTGCTGATTTCCTATTAAAGTTCCCCTGTACAATGCACACAGCATTATACATTTAGTTACTTCATTACATGACCAGAAAGCGAAAAATCAACTAGTCCCGTGCTGGAACTCCCCAGCCACAGGTTGTCTCTGTGTCAAATACTTTGTGATAAACTTTAAACTCAACTGTATTTTGAGGACCCCGATGAAAGACAGCCAGTATCTAAGCTAATGCACGTGCAAATTTGCAATTAATCAAATTAATTACCTTAATCAAATTTGGCTTGCAGTGAACCTGGGGCTTTGGGGGCCCCAGGAGCCCCTGGAGGTATGGGGTCAGTTGACACTATGATAGGGAACAATGTAACTGGCGGTAAAATCCAATAATCTAACAATTCTAACCAAATATATTCTGTCAGTATATCTATATCATCCTCATAAATACACTACAAACCCTCACTCCTGCTGGCAATTTAAGGTAAATTGTAACTAGTACGTGGAACGGTCTCCCACGGCAGTTCGTAGCCGTTGCTTTGAGGTCTGTTACCAGGTGTCGTTGAGTGAACGTTTGAATGAGATCCATCTTTGACTTCAAAACGCTACATTTACTTATATATTACTTACCTTCTTTGTCGTCAGAGAAACTGAGGGCGGTAGTTGTTTTCTCTTTCCCTCCACCTTTATCTTTCCTCCTTGCTTCTTTATCGGCAGTCACTTCCAGCTTCTCCTCGTCCTCTCCGTCACTGCTGTCCGGCTTCTTCGAGCTACAAGAGATGCCGCGGCCCTGGGCAACTTTAGACTGTTTATTTACCACCGCCGGAGCTTTCTCAGTCTCCCCTCCATCTTCGCTGTTCTTCTGTCGGTCCTCTTCGTCACTGGAGCTATCTTTTCTCTGCCGAAAGTTCCTCCGGGGCTTTTTGTTGAACATTTCGCTCCTTTCACCGTAGACGTATGAACTGTGGTAGTAAACTCGAAGTAAAGCGTAATACGTCACGTCGGAAATTGCTTGAAGAAGTCGCAAGGAGTAACGTAAAACTGCCGCAATGCACCATGGGCGATGTAGTGAACATGTGAGGGGTGACCAAATTGCATAGGAAAAATGGGAAACTTTACATTCTTCAGATTTTTTAAAAAGCACCATGAATTAAAACATTTTTACATGTAGAAGTAAACTGTATTGCGGGCCCTCATATTTATCTGGCCATTCTTATTGTGACCGTCTGTTCGATTATGTAAATATAATATTCAGGAGAAATAAATTATGTATGAATGTTGGCTCAGGAGAATATCAGTGATAAAATGTCAGCCAAAATCAGATGAGGTTAGGACTATGACTATCTGTCCTCACGTCGACACTCCGAGCACTCCGTGGGTAGCTGAAGTCAACGTAGAACTTCAAATGAAAAAAAAACCCAACTGTTATTGTGTTGCTTTCTCCCTTATCTTTCCCCCATCAGCTCTCCCATCAATTGTTCTCCTTCTCCATCTGTTGAACTTTTATTTCTGCGTCTCTCTCCTCCCACTCGGTGCCCGGTCAGACGTTAACAGCCACTCATCACTCGTAGTCAGCCATGTTGTTGGTGTGACACACCGAGCTGTCAGCAACAGGTTCTCAGACTAGAACCGCTGCTAAACTTTAACATTTCTCCAACAATTACTGCTTTCTTTGGATATCAAACCTCTGCAGTGTGTCTGGGAAACCTCCCAGAAGTGGCGAGTGATAACTTCAGACCCCTCGAAAGCTCGGAAGTTGATGTTTTTTGGCCGCGGTGAGGGAGGTAAGCGAGCGAAACTGCTTATCTAAGCATGAGTATAAGTTTGATATTATGATGGTAATGTTTCTGTAGATGACTTTTGAGCTTCACGGAAGCTTTTAGACTTTGTGTAATTTCGCCTAGTAAGTGTTCGTTTGGTTGGTCCTCGTTGATTCAGGAATATGAAAGAAAAACCTGTGTTTGACGGAGGGGGTGATGCTTCTGTACTGATCTAGGACACGGGATGGGAGTTAGTTTAGCTAGCTAAGTTATGATTTCATCAGATGTTGGTTGCAATCGATACCTATATGTGTGGCATTCATTGGTTCCTCTGTAAGGCAGGTTTGCTGGTAGGTCTTCTAAATTCCTCTCGGTTCAAACTAGTCGAGCAGGTTGCAGGCATGTCTCAGGCTGGCTAGTGACAAGTGATCAGCGAATGATACTCTATCAGTTTATCTTACAGACAGGCAGAGGGAGGTAGAAGTTAGGTTGAGAATGGAAGTAAAGACAATCTGTGGTCCTCAATACAGCAGCAGTGGTCAGTCCTGCCTTTGTTGGGAAATCAACATAGTGTGTCTGTAAAGCCACCAGAGAATAAGCATCAACTATAATATCAGTGATACAGGGCCTTGTAGGAATCCACAATATCTATGTCTTTGCCAGAATTTGATAACTGACAATATCTTTGTGCAAATTTATGAGTAGCCAGCTGTCCTGATTTAATTTTATTGTTTTCATAAAGTAACTACTGTCTTCATTTACTGAAGGTGGTGAGTGGAAATGAAATCAATTATTTTTATGAAATGTCGTCAGACATCTTTTCTTTTGCACAGAAATCTGATTAAAAATATTTCCTATCAAGTGCAGCTGCACAAAATTATTGCACTATAGGCACTATCAGGTGTAATATTGATGACATCTCCAGTACAGTTTTTATGGTTGAACAGTCATTGCTTGACACTGATAAGCTGTATGGTATGGCAAACCTCTACAGGGAAGGTCTGGTCCTTAGGGCCTTTTCACTATTCTTGTGACCATAGAGCAATCAAATTAGATTATTTCTTGAAAAAATAAAGAAGGGAGAGAGATAGAGAGAGAATGGATATTAGCATACAGTGTTCAGGATAATAATTCAGTTTGAAGGGCCGGGTGTGCAATAGACGAAGAGTCTTATCATAGAGGATGCCAATAGTTATATACATTTTTGTAGCTTAGTACAGGTTTGGCAAGCCCCAATTCTTGCAGTCTCTCTGTCACTGCAAATACTGTACTAAAACAGACTTTTTGTTCTTGCCAGCTTCCTTTACTTCCTCACAACTTGATGTCTGTCATTTTATTACTGAACAGGGGCCTACCCTGTTTGGTAGAGTCTTGAAAAGGGACATTGGCTTAGACCTCCATGTTTGCATACATCCACTTGGCTGAAGTATCCTCAAGCCAAGACACTCAATGCCTGCCACATGCAGGAGGGCTCTATCACTGTGACCTTTCACTCCACTAAAGGTCAGGGTTGTCATTTACATTATTATTACAGTGTTAACATTATCAGTGTGCCTATCATAAGCTTAATTGCCAGTTTACTTCATCGCTGTCATGCCACTTTAGATCATCACTATTGTTATGAATGTGATCGTGTGATTTGGAGCAGCTTTTATGACATTATCTCATCATGGAAGCCCGATGCTGGGTTGACACACAATTGATGCAGCAACTGTGAGGCTTAATCAGCGCTTTGACTCCTCCTTTTTGAAAATCTTCCCTGTTAAAATTGAAGCCAAGATGACAATGATGAAACACTTACAGTATACCCACAGTGCAACAGAAACAAGCTAGTTTGACACTGCATAGAACATTTTATCAAAGTCCTTTCTCCAGTCCTGTCATATCCTGATATATTTACAAATCAGGGTGGGTCACAGCCGACTTAAGGGAGAGGCCTGTCTTGCCTCTTAAGAAAACAAAACACAGCAATGCAAACAGCATTAATCAAAATCCAGTCCAAGTCGCTCCAAAAGGGCCTGTGCAGCACTTTCTGAATGTGTGAATGCCACTGGTGGATGGGGTATTTATGGCAACATGAGTGGATGTGCTGTGCTGAAATATCACTTTAACAAGGTCAGCTGAAGAGTTAGCTCTGTGGTAGGAAGGAGTCAGAAAGACACAACAGAATAATAACAGAAGAGAGGGCAATGGGTGATAAAGGAGATAGACAGGCAAAAGGGCTTGGGTAGCTTTATAAAACACACACACACACACACAGAGGGAGAGGGAGAGAGTCATCGGGGCAGAAACAGAGTTGTGGACTGAGTTGATGTCATTGGTGTGAGGTCAGCGAGTGAGGCGGCTGAAAATCAATCATTTCTTAGAACAACAGGCGGTGCTTGTTTCTGAACAGAGTAGTGATGAGGACAGGCCAGGGTCACACAACTGGCAGGGTATAGATTTAAGGGCAGAAGAACAGGCATAGATATATAATGAAACATGGAGAGACAGAGGAAGAGGAAAATGAGACGGTCAGGGAATGAGGAAATGGAGGAATTAAGAGAGGGGAAAAAAGGTGACTACTTATACTCATCCATCTCTATCTGGTTCTTCATTGTGGTTTTCATTTCCTTCTGTAAATGTAAAAGAGAGTCTGTATGTCAGCAAGTTGCAGTATAAAAGATTCACACTAAAAAGATTATAAGAGACAAACAAACAGACAGATGCACTGGTGGACAGTGGTCAGGGACGGGCAGGCTGACTGAGGGTCGGAAATGTTTCAACAGGGATCAAAGCAGAACTGAAGCAGGTGAGGTCTGACTGACAAAGGCAAGCCAAAGATGAAAAGCTAGAGTTTTTATTTAGCCAACACACTCAAGTCAGCCAATTATAATGTATGAAGTGAGAGGTTTGAAAATGGTTATATATAGTTATTTTTTAGTTTAAAGAAATGTGCAGGTTCAAATCATGTTTTAGCTTTTTCATTGGTTTTAATGAAATGCTCTGTAATTCTAACTTCTAATTAATAGAGACTGCTAAGTCTTAGTTTGGATCAAAATGCCCTTTTCACAGACATAGCAGAAAAAGCACACTTGTTATTAATGATATAATAGGGGCTACACTGCATTTAGCTTTACTAGTTTCAGAGTCATGCCACTGCTGGCTCACTGGTGAGGCCTACTGATATACTTAGATGGAACAGTTGTTGTTAATGTATTAATTACACCTGTGCTTTTTCTGCTATGACCTATAATAGCCCATGTAGAGCTTGATTTTACCAGTTTCAGCTGGAAATATAGTAGAGCTAGCTGTGATTGTCCCTGTCATGGAAGCCTTTGTATTTACACCTGGTATTAACATCTGATCTGGATATCTGTATAATGACACTGATTAACAAGTGATTGGACTAAACTGGTGGACTTGTTAATAGTTCAAGGGAAGCAATGCCCAGGATAGGTGTTATTCATTATTAAATCACTTTTTTTGTGAGAGAAAACTTGCTAGGTACTTCTGCTGTTTGTAGCTTTTCACAAGGCTTGTTTGAACTTGCAGGAAGAGCCAGAGCTAAGTGATCTTTCAACTTGCTGGGTGTGTTTTTTTTCAGTGGTCACACTGAAGAGATTGCATTTACACCTGGCTGAGATCTGAGAAATTATGTCAAAATGTCAAGGTATCATTTTAGTTGTAATATTTCTCCAAAGCTCAGCGATGCCCTGTTTGTTTAAAGGTTGACAGCTGTTAGTAAATATATATCCTGTATACTTGCATGTTTCACCACCTCTTATGCCTCTTAAATTCAGCTTCACACAATGGTGTAGCTAGAGCTTGGATGGAAATCAAAGTCTTGCTCATGGGCACCTCAACGGGATGGGTTCTTGCGGTCACAGATTCAAACACACACCTGACTGTTGCTAGTCTCCATTCATTACAAGGAAGTGGTGTTTAGACTATACAGCGTGTTCTGAAAGTTTTTTTTCTGAGGTTATGAAAATTGCCCAGCCCATATGATGATCATACTTTTATGTACAAAAATAAGAACTTTTTGTTGTTTGTAAATGTGTTACTAATACCTCCCTCTCTATGGAGAAGGCTGTAGCGCTGTTAAAGCAGTGCGTCAAGCTTTTGCTCAAAGTCACGTTCATGTAGCCTAGTGTCTGTTTTCCAACCTTGTTTTTGTGGTTTTTTTAATAGCTCCTGCATCATTGGTAAAGTACAAGCTGTAGTTAGTTTTTATTGTAGGTGGAGCCCTGTTGGCCAACACTAACCCTGATTTTACCCCTATCACTATGCAATTGCTGATTCTGCTGTATTCATTTAGCAGCTGAAGGCTTCTACTGAGACACAGACCACTTGTGTGTGTTCATGTGTGTAAGAGGACAAAATCAGGCAGGATTTGCATGAGGTTTGCAAAGCTGACTCTGCCACTGAAGTCAGTCTCTTTTGCTGGCCAAGTCAGTCAATCAGTCGGTCACTTGGCCAATCAGCTATCCATTCAGGAAAAGTGGGACTCCTCCGTCACTCTGGAAATGGTTTAAAGCCAACAGTCTATGGCTATCTTTCATTTATCCATTATAATTCCTACAGTGTTACATTACCAGAGGTTACACTGCTTTACTAGAGCCTCACCATTACTGGATGACTGATACCAGCTAATCAGTCATACTAAACATTGTATTGGCATATATGTATGATGGGCAATATGCAAAAAAGTGCTTGAAACAGTATTAGGACTTTACGCTTAAATCCATATGCTGCTGTGAATGGTAACCTGATTCTTTGTGCCGGCCCTGTAAATGAATGCGGTCTTGCTATTGTATTACTGCATACATTTGTGATGTCAGGAGTCTCCATAGCAGTTTTCAGTAAGAATAATTCATATGTGCACTCATTTTGAGTAGTTAATAAAGCATGTACAAAGAAGAATAAGGGCAGGATAAAAAAAAAAAGGCAGAAAGTGAAGAAAGAAAGGATGATAAAAGAGGGGGACTTATCCCAGGAAGCGTGAAGGAGAGGGAGAGAGGCAGGTAGCAACAGATGGCAGGCAGTAGATTAGTAGCTCTCCCTTGCTGTTTCTCTGCCCTTGTGAGAGCATTGAGCAGGTCACATTCACAAAAACGACACGCGCTCACTCTCATTCTGTTTTTCTCACCCTCTCATTTCTTGTTTCTCTATCTCATTCATGTTCTCTTTCACAAAGCTAATATCAGTAGGTAAGACAACTGTCGCCAACTTTGCTTCCTAAAAATCACTTTTCAATCTGCTATTCTTATACTCCCCCAGGTCTAACCTGAGCTCTGACGCTAATATATTTTCTGGGACATCAAAGCTGTCTCTAGGCCAAAATCCACGATCACTTCCTGTCAACTGAGGTTGCATGAGGAAATGCTTGTGTCTGTGGGTTACCGGGCAGGAAGTGTTGAGTAGAAAGATTGGAATTTTTCTCCTCCTTTTCCTCCTCCGATTTCATCATGTGAGCCTGACTGGCTGATGGGAGAGAGATAATCATGGAGGAAGCAGGTGTTCAGCACGCCTGATGAATGTGAAAGCTGCACAAATGACACGATAAGTCTGATTCAGTGTGGGCGTGTGTATTTCTTTCCACAAAAACAATTAATTTGCCTTCTAGAGAATTAAAGATAAATTCAGTATTATATTCAGTGTGACTTTTAGAACTGTTAAAGTAAAAGTTAATCCTCATAACGCTTGGGGCTTTCTCTTTATCTGTCCATACTGTGACCTCATTAAACAAAAGTTCACACCATTCATCCCACAGCAAAAACTGTTTTAAATCCAAACAAAGCAGTTTTGTGGTGGCTCTATTTAAGCAGACAGAACTGTGCTGTGCAACCATAGACGAGACCTATAAATATGCTGGCAAACCCAGCATGACACAAGTCACTGGTCTTTTGTCAACAAGGTGCCCATATATGGGCCATTTAGTCTGTGGACATACAGTCCAGTACATTTACCATGTTGTGACCCATGACAAACATCCTCTAAACCATCCCAAGAAATATGAAAAGAAAAAATTGTGTTTTAATAATTTGACAGAAAATCTAAAAATGTTTAAGGATAATGAATCATCAATGTTCTTTGGCTGCTGAGCTGACTCTGTCATCTGACCACACTGTTCCACAGCTTCTTTATCTTTATTGTAGTAAACTGATAAAGTGCACACACAGAAACATCCACCCTTGCACTAAATGCAATCACTTAAAACCTAAAAACCCCAACCTTGCAGAGAAGTGGGCCTTCCGCTGCATAAAACTGGTTTGTTCTTAAGTAGCTCCATTTATGCACTCGTACATGACTTGACAAGAATGGGTTTAAGGCATGATGTAACAGATATTGAAAAAGGCATGATCATGGGTGACAGAAAGGTAGGTTGGAAGTCCACCACTTTGCTTCTTAAATATCTCAACAAGTATTGGATGGACTGCCAGAAGACTTTGTGTAGACGTTCAAGCTCCCCAGAGGATAAATTCTTAGGATTTTGTTGATCCTCTGACTTTTCCTCTACCGTGATTATCAAGACAAAATGTTAATTTGTCCAGTATTTTGGTTTATGAACAAATACTTGCAAAACTCCCATCAGCCTCAGCTGTATTTGTTGTAATTAGCACATGTTAGCATTCTAGCAGACTAAACTAAAATGGTGAACAGGTAAACATTATCCCTGCTTGTCATCAGCATGTTAGCATTGTCATTGTGAGCATGTTAGCATGCTGACATTAGCACAAATCTCAAAGCACTGCTGTGCCTTAGTACAGCCTCACAGAGCTGCTAGCCTGGCTGTGGACTCATGGTCTTGTATGAGGTAGACAAGCTCAAGGCTTCACAGTGAATGAACGCAAACATAGCATACTTGTTTATTTTTTGAGACGACCCAAAGTAGATGAATGTTGTAGATCGCTGCCTCTCGTGTCCACGGTAACCTCTTGCAGCATCTGCAGAGAAAACTTGGGCAGCTGCATGAAGAACTGATGTCTGCTTAACACCACAACACTACAGGTCATTTGTCAGGCTCTGACACAGCCTGTGCCAGCTGTTACTAGAGCCAAATCTGAACCAACATAGTACTGAACAGGGGTTTGTATTCCTCTGAACATAAAGTGTAAATGTCCTCTTATGAGAGTTTGTCAGCCTAGGCTGTGTAGTGGTGTTGCACTGATCTATGGTCCCCTACAGAGTCAGTGTGGATAGTACTGGAACAAGTCCTAGTGGTTTAAAAGGTTTGGGATGTGGCCAGACTGCTCCTGACTGAAGAGAACAGGAGGAGCCCTGTTTGACTCTGCTGACTGACCAGAACCCCCCCCCCCCCAACCTCTCTCTCTCCATTTCTCTCTCCCCTGTTTTCTCTCCCTGCTCTCAGTGACAGCGCTGGCCTGTCTTGGCTGCAGTATTGACTGATGACTGGGCTGTGACTGTGTGTTTTGCAGATGGCTGCAAGCAGTAGCTGAGGACACCACCGGGAGTTCCCCATCTCTGTCTCCCTCTGCCACCTGCAAACATGAATGGTAAGACCACTGCAGTGTGTTTGTGTGTGAGTGGGTGTGTAAAGGAGGGCAGCCAAACCAGAAGTGTACGTCTGTGTGGAGAGAAAGCTGTGTGTGGTTTTTGGCTCTGCAGATCTGTTGGGGCAAATACAGTGCTAGGTATAGTAATAATTCCCAGTTCAATGCCTGTGTTTAGCTGCACGTGCGTCTGTCTGTATGCACACTGTTTTATTAATTTGTCTCTGCTATCCTTCTGTGTAACTGCATACTTTGAGTCCTACATTTAGTGCAGTTGTGCTCTGTCAATTTGAAGTTGGTTCCAATTTTTTTCCATATTATGACACCAGCTTTGTTTATAGTGCCAGTTACAGGACTAAAGGTAGAGCAAATGTTTATGTTTTTCTATGATGTAGTGAACTGTCCATTCAGTGTGACTGCTGATGTGACTGTTGAGTAAACACTGATGTATAGTCGGCCTTGGTGGGGTAAATAGTAGTGAAAGGCTGAGCTTGTTCTACCCTCCCGTCTGAACAAAGTGACACAGCACCACTGGCAACACAGAGCTTCATTATCACTTTGTCAATATCGGTGCATTCTCATCTCTTAACTGCCGCCAAGGCTGGCATTTGGGTTGTCTCTCATGTGTGTGTGTGTGTGTGTGTGTGTGTGTGTGTGTATGTATGTGTACTCCTGTCTTCCAGCTTGTTTATTTGCAAGTCATAAAATCATAAAATTGTATTCATGCAAAATATCTGCTTGTTTGCCTTGCTCAGATTTAGGTGTTGTTTGTGTGTAATTCACACTTATGTGATTTATTTAAACAGTAAGAAAGTAAACAGTTTGGGGCCTTTTCAAGAAGCAAGTTTTCCTAAGAAAAATGAGTAAACTTACTCCTTGAAGCTGATTGGCCTGGTATTAATATGACTTTAAGGTCTGTGTTCCATGTCTGATGCTTCAAATTTATCTGAACCTGTGACTTCTTGTTCTCTCCAGGTGGTCTGAGTATATGGGCGATTAGTCCGGAGGAGAGGGACAAGCATGATCAGAAGTTTGACACCCTCTCCCCATCAATGGGATATGTCTCAGGTACACACACAAACATACGTCATTGCAGAGACTGTTGACACATCATGCTCACAGTGATTGCCCTGACAGCACATTTACATGAGACATTACAAGTCAGACCTTTTCCCATTGTTTAAACTGATAAACGCCAACTGTTTAAACCAAAACGATTCCCTAATCCCACAATAATACCAAGACACACATGTCACATATACTGTATGTAGTGATGTGTAAGAGTCATATTTTTAAGGTGATGCATGCAGGAGAACCATTACCCTCACAGTTTTCTTCTGTTTTTCTTTTTCTTCCCTCTCTGTCTTTTTCTGTAGGGGAGCAGGCAAGGAAGTTTTTCCTCCAATCAGGGCTGCCTGCTTCAGTTTTGGCTGAGATATGGTGAGAAACACACACACACATTCACACGTACTGAGATTTTTTTGAGTGATGGGTTCTCTGGAAGTATTCACTGAAATCTATACCTGAATATTTTAACACTCTTTTCTCACTCTCTATTTTTCCTCTGTCTCTCAGGTCTCTGGCTGATATGAATAAAGATGGGAAGATGGACAGGTTGGAGTTTTCCATCGCTATGAAGCTCATAAAGCTAAAACTCCAGGGTACGCCGCTTCCCTCAGCACTGCCAATCATCATGAAGCAGCCTCCAGTGCCTGTTCCCAGCCTCAGTAAACCCACCTCATCTATGACCAACCCAGCCTATGGTACAGTATTACATATATATATGGATACTGTATAGTCAGGAATGTAATTGTTTTCCTAAACTGTCCATGATGTGAAAATGTGTTTTTGGCTATAACTTCATATACAAATAAGTCTCCTTGTGGGATTTTAAACAGCTGACGGCTGGCTATTCTAAGGGTTGTCTAACTGATTGTCTCTATACATATTGTGTATATGCATGTTGACTGCTGTGCCATCTAATGGGTGTACCGTGTGTTTGTGTTTGTGTGTGTACGTGTGTGTGTTTGTGTCCTAGGTATTGGTTCTGTGCCTAACATGCCCATGATGTCCGGGGCAAACTTTGCCATGTTGACCCCTATCTCCATGGCAACCCCTGGACTCTCACCTTTGACACCAATGACAGGCCTCACCTCTTTGGTTCCTACAGCAACAGGTCTAAGCCCTCTAATAGCCTCCAACCCCACCAGGCCCCTGATGCCCACTATGGGAAACACCACACTGCCAAACGGCACCATGGGACTTCTGCAGCCAATCCCAGCTGGAGCTTTGGCCACTGGTACGCGTGATTCTCATTTTTATCTCTCTATTGGTTTCCTCTCTTCTTTCTTCTATTCTGTTGTGTATCTGTCACTGCTCTGGAAGAAAAGTCATCAGGAGGGTCTCCAGTATGATTGAATGTATTCATGTGTCTTGTGATTATCACTTGCTCGATGCTTATTATCTGTGTCCTGTGGCATAAAAACCTTTGAGGAGGAACGCCCTGCTCTGAGAATACATATGTTTGCAGCAGAGTGCTGATGATGAAATATTTCTGCAGCTTTTGGGGGGGAAACAGGAGAAATGAATCCTAGTCCAGTTTTGCAGAGTCAGGTCTCTCTGTCTCATTTCCATATAAATAGCTTCCCTGACCTTGACAAGGGTACAACAGTGAGTGCACGATAGTATATTACTGAGCCTCTGCAGGACTCTCCTCCCCTTTCTGAAAACTTTGAAAAAATTTTGGGAGGATAATATGTTATGGCTGTCGTTAGGTGTTAGAACAAAATGTCCTAAAAATGTTGCACACTATTATAGAAATGGATATGTTTTGGTGCTTTGTGGTTTTAGGCCTACCTCTATCTGCATCCACCTACTCCTCTCCACTAGGACTCTCCTCTTCTCCTGCGGGTATAAACAAGGCCTCATCACTGTTGGACCTGGGATCCAGCAGGTAAAACATACCCACACATTTACATAGAAATTTGGAAGAACTATGCATTTCCCCCTTTTACACAATCAGCACCTTGTTTATCTTGTTAGTCTCTTTAAAGATGCAACACACAAAGATGTCTGAAGTTTGTTGCATTCATCTTTTAATTTTGTCATGTCACTGTTTGTCTTTCAGCTCTGCTTCCTCATCTCCTTCTGTGATGTCCCCTATGGTTGCTGGTCCCAGTGACTGGGCTGTGCCACATGCCTCTAGACTTAAATACAGACAGCAGTTCAACAGCCTGGATAAACAGATGACTGGATACCTCACTGGTATGATGTCTGTGTGAATGTGTGTATGTACAGTGTGTAGGTCAAACAAAACCAAACTATGCATGGAATGTAGGCGTGGATGTTCATGAACAACAGCCACTGATCATTTCGTAACAGTTGTTTTTTTGATGTGTATCGAGTCTTAGTTAACTCTAAGGAAGTGGAGACACAGGAGGGACAGTTTCTCAACACACACATACAAATACACAAACACAAACACACACAAACACTCACTCACTTACTTCAGCTAGATTTGCAGATGGTTTCCTCTCTAATGGGACTAGGCACAGACAGTAGTATACAGCTCCACACACCTTACCCATGATGGACAAGAGTTGTTAAATAAACCTTAGGCTGACTGTTGTTCATGCTGTCACAATCCTTTTAATCATCATCTTTTCCATTCAGGTTAAATGAGCAAAAGTTAAAAAGATTCTAGTTTCCCATTCAACATTAGACACTTTTATCAAAAACATCTGCACGGGGCTGCCCCATCTCTACACATGCTACATTTAAAATTTTATTTGTTAAGTAAATCCGTCCTCCACCACACCCACACATCTGTGCTATACAGTTGTTCTGACATTGTCATTTTTGTTACCAGGTCAACAGGTGAGAGGGTCCATGGCAACCACAATGCTGACTCAGACACAGCTGGCCACCATCTGGTGAGTGTGTGTGTGTGATGAAAACACAAGACCTTGGTTGTCTTACAGGTGCCAAATATTTGTTTCTAAACTCAATATACTTTTCTCAGTTGTATATAATTCTTCTGCATTCAAAGGTAATATTGTCAGTGTAAAATCATGCAAAAACAACTTTTACATCTCATTGTTAACTGTTCTGCAGGACTTTAGCAGATGTGGATAAGGATGGCAAGCTGAAAGCTGAGGAGTTTATTCTGGCAATGCATCTGGTAGACATGGCGAAGATCGGACAACCACTGCCGCTAACACTCCCAACTGAGCTGGTACCACCCTCACAAAGGTATTTGCACACATAACAAAAAAGTGTTTTGAAATACGTTATTGAAACATTAAACATGGACTACAATAATGTGACTGTTTATTGAATATTTGAATTATGTGAATTGTGTGTATTCAAACAAATTATTTTAACTATTGCAGGGGTGCAATGAATGGATCCAGCTCTTCTCTCTATGCTGCTCTGACTGATGACTTGGACATAGAACCTCCACAGAAAGCCAAGACCAACAGTCAGTGCTCACACACCCACACTAGCAAAGAGAGTGCAGTCTCGTTTAACTACTGGCACAGTGTTAAAGCTTGTTCTCCATCAGTTTTTATTACTAAGATAATACAAGGCTAAAACAATACCTAATAACCAAACTCACTACAATCAGTGGCTATGGATCACAGCTGTGCAGCTGAGTTGGCTGCCAAACTCTCCATTGATCACCATAAACATACACTCACTGTTGTGACATACACAGTCATAAGCAGTCGAAAACAGCCAAGTAACTCTAAAGTAGAGTAGGGCAATACTTTGTTGTTGGATTTGTACACACTATTATAGTCACAAAGCAAGTTGTAGAAGCTTGATTTAAAGTTTGTATCAGCTGTTTTTAAATATTGGGTTCACAGCTAAATGCAGTTTTTTTTAAATCCACAAATCTCCTAAACTTTGGTTTCAATCTTACAGACCTGTTTTTGATTATGGTAAGATGGTAAGATAAGAGAGTTGGGTCTATGAGTTTCTGTGTAATCCATCCTTCTGGTTTAACTTTCCAACATATTTTAACCAAATAAGCTCAAATAAGTAATCATTATTTGTGCATTTTTGTAAAACAGAGTAAATATTTGCAGGATTTGACTCCACATTCATAATAAACTTTTTACCCGTCTATATTCAGTGTCATTTGAGGATAAATTCAAAGCCAACCTGGAGCGAGGAAACGCAGAACTGGAGAAAAGACGACTGGCGCTGCGGGAGGCAGAGAGGAGGGAGCAGGAGCGGCGGGCTCAAAAGGAGAGAGAGGACCGAGAGAGGAGAGAGAGGGAGGCTCGGGAGGCTGAGGAGTTCAGGAGGAAAGAGGAGGAGAGGAGGCTTGAGCGACAGAGGGAACTCGAGAGGCAGAAAGAAGAGGAGCGACAGAGAGAGATAGAGAGAAAAGAGGTGGGGGAGCATGTTACAGCTTTCTGAATGAGCTGTAAATACTGTATGTAAAAGGATGAATTTTTGTATGAATGTTTCCTTCTTTTAATAGTAGAAATGTTTGTTCACACTTCTGTGAATATATATTTACTTCAGTGTCTTTTGTCTGTGTTCATTCCAGGCTGCACAGCGGGAGCTTGAGCGTCAGAGGAAGGAGGAGTGGGAGAGAAGGAGGCGAGGAGAGCTCCAGATAAAGAAGGAGCAGGAGCAGGATGATATAATCAGATTGAAAGCTAAGAAAAGGAGTCTGGAGATGGAGCTGGAGGCTGTGGTGAGTGGTGAAGAGACAATATCTAGAGTTTATTTCAGAGCAACATATAAGCCGTTCATAGACGTACCCTCATTATGTCTTTCACCCATTATTAAGTTTCTAACATCTCTATCTGTCTTTCTGTCTCTCTGTACCTCAGGGTAACAAGCATCGTCAGATCTCAGATCGGCTGCGTGACATTCAGAATAAGAAGAAGCTGCAGAGGACAGAGCTGGATCTGATTAATCAAAGGAAAGAGACACGCCAACAAGACATTAACAACCTGCACAAACAGCTAGAGGTGTGTGTGTGTGTGTGTGTGTGTGTGTGTGTGTGTGTGTGTGTGTGTGTGTGTGTGTGTGTGTGTGTGTGTGTGTGTGTGTGTGTGTGTGTGTGTGTGTGTCTCTCTCTCTTTTCTTTTTCCAATGTGTTTCTAAGTTTAAGGTGTAAATGTGATTTTCTGACACTATTTTCTTGTGGCAAAGTAACCAAGACAGTTATTGATTGTAACCATTTTGTGTTATCTGTGATTTATGTGTCTGATCTTTGCTTCCCTGGGAAATTGTGTATTATTGTTTTCCTGAACATTTTCTTCCAATGACGCATTTCTTGTTGCTTTTGATGCATTTCCTCTCGGTCAGGAGTTCCAGAGGAAGTTGTCCCAGTTGACTCCGGAGCAGAAGAGGCTGACAGAGAAACTCAAAAGCATGACTCTGAATAACCTGCCTGGTTAGTGCTGATGGATGAACATAAAGAGCTCAGGAACAGCAGCTTAGAGTAGATATTAAATAAAAGAATATATTAAATGGGCAATTTGAGTAGTAAAATAAATTCAGAAAATATGGAGTTATTTGAAATAATGCACCAAACCAGTGCAAAAATGAAAATACTAAATAGTTAAAGTGAGAAGCATGAAACTATCTTTATTGCTAATGTATACAGAGAGTGCAATATATATGAAAATGTATTTAAAGAGTTTTTCTTTGTAAACCTCATTTTCCTTCTTAGTACACCTGTGTCTGGGAAGCAAACCGACCTGGTGTCATAGCAGTCTTTTTCACAGGGAAGGTTCTGGCTTGTTTAACTGTATTTCATCTGTTTGTAGTGGCGACCATGTCCACCCTGAAGGTGGGTGTTTCAGAGAAAAAGGGGACATGTATGAAACTGCAAGAGCAGCTGGAAGCTCTGGAGAAAGAGACTGCTGCCAAACTGGCTGAGATGGACCAGTACAACAAAGACATGCAGGTAGGAATAAGTTACAAGAATAGCGTTGTTAAATTAACTTCTAGTAACTAAAGTAATTAAAATAATCATCATTTCACACAGAACATTCGCATCAAGCCTGTTTTAACCACAAATAACATGGAGCATGTGTTCAGATCTCAGAATGTCCTCAATCATTACATCTAAACTAAATGGCTAAAGTGCTGTTGTGGTATGCAGATCACTTAATCAGAGATTCTACATTACTGCTGGACTGTGGAGGGTTCAATAGGGTTGGGCAGACAATGCAAAATGCCACAGCAGCCACGTCAAACAATTAACACTGATGAGGACTCCTTTCAGTTTAATTGTGCCAGTGAGCAATGACGCTGCCTGAAATCACTTCCTGTTTACTATATAGTGCCACTACATTTACTGTCCGCCACAAAAAACGCTGTGTCCTAGGCATGTAAAATTACTGTTGTGGATCTCTACAGCTGTCAGTCATATGATGATGATTAGTGAGTGACTGAAATCCCAATTTATTGCTCACTACTGAGTAAACTATTGAGTGTCTGTTACAGAGGGAGTAGTGAATGAGTGAATGAGGGAGTGATTTTGGACACAGCCAGAGCCAACAGTGTAAAACAAAAGGACTCTACCTGGCACGCCTTAATTTAATGCTGCCAACACTAATATTATTTTGTTTGACAAGTCAGAATTTCAACCATGAGAAAGCTCGATAGCCTGTCCAGTCAACACTTGTTTGATTTTCATGTGCCCAGCATTAAAGAGACGGAAAATACTTCATATTGACTTTTTGACTCCCTGCAGACAGTGTAGTCTTTTTTTTTTAGCAAAACCTTGCCTTACATTCTCACAGTTTTAGTTCACATTGGGAGCTTCTCACTAAACTACTACTATCTTCCACCGGTGGCTAGTTACATACTCCTCCACAACAGTATTGTTTTGACTAGCTTGAAGAAATACAGTGTCAGTAGTTGTAATGGAAGGTGGACTATTAGTCATTCACTTTTTTCAGCCTGATTAATCAACAACCACTCAACACCCCCCCAAGCAGTCATACTTATTCTTTGTAAGTATCAATCACTACAAATGGAATAAAGTGCTGACTGAGCACATTGCCATGTTAGTCCAGTATCTGAACAGAAGTGTGTTTCTTAAATTACATAAAATCAAGAGGGTTTTGCTGCCAGTGTGAAGCTTTATTGCAGAGCAGGTTGTAGTCAAGGTTATTTTTCCTGTTACTTTCCTTACAAACTTTGAGTGTCTATCTTTAAGTTCCACAGATATTACATACTAATTACTGCTGCTTGGCCCTTATGCCTCTGTTTTTCTCCTCCTCCTCCTCCTCCAATCATTCTTCTCCTTCATAACCCACTTTCCTGCCTTCTGATACCGATTTTATCCCTTTGTTATCTATATCTTTTGTTCCTCTCATCTCCTTTGGAAATCCTCTGTTCTTTCCTACACTGGATCCCATTCCTCTCTTCCCTCCCACCTACCTCATATCCCTTCTCCCCAACTTTACAGTATGTGGGTGCTGACGACTCTATGCTTCAGGCTGTCTTCTGTCTGCTGGCCTGCCTTCGTAACCTCTTCTACCTACTTAAGGTTTTCACTGTTCTCAGCTGGTCTAATCTGGTCTTTTCTAATGTTCACTGCTCTGCTCATGTTTCTCGATCAGTCACATCTCATTTCCTCAGGTTCATTCTTATGCTTTGAATTATCTCTGAATCTTTTTTTTCTTCTAAATATTTAGCCACCTTTGGGCTCACTACGTGTTTGTGCATGTTGTTTGTGTACAGCACATCATAACTGTGTAGTCAGTTCAATCTTAAATTCAGCCTCATATCTTTCCACCAGTAAATGTGTGTTGTTTTTGTTTACATTAGGAGCTGAGAGAGAGCCAGAGAAAGCAGCAGGCAGCATTAGAGAAACTACGGAACATCAAAGAGGACAAACGGCGTGAACTGATTCGAAGGAAGGAGCAGGAAGAGGAGAGGAAGAGGAGAGAAGAGGAGAAGAAACGACAGGAGGAGGAGAGGAGGCAGAAGGAGGAGGAGGAAGCTCAGAGGTATTTTTCCACTGGTTTAATTTTAGATTTTAAAACAAATCAAAAATGTCAGTTAAAAGTACATTTCCTCTTGATATATTAACTTTTACAATATTGTCAATGTTTGCTTCCCACTCTCAGGCGTATTAAAATGGAAAAGGAGCGCCAATGGCAGGAGAAGCTGAGAAGAGATGAAGAGGAGCGTCAGAGGAGGCTTCAGGAGGAGAGAGAGGCCAAACAGAGGGAGGAGGAAGAGAGAGAGAGACAGGCTCTCATCCAGGCTGCCAAGGAGCAGGCTGAGCGAGAGCTCAGAGCAAAGGAGGAGGCAGAGCGAAAGAGGAGAGAGGAGGAGAGAAAGAAAAGAGAAGAAGAGGAGGAGCGTCAGAGGCAGTCAGAGAAACGGAGGCAGGAGGAGGAGAGGAGAAAGCTGGAGGAGGAGAGGAGGCAGCTAGAGGAAGAGAGGAGGAAACTGGAGGAGGAGCGGAAGAAAGAGGAGAAAAGAAGGAAAGAAGAAGAGGAGCGACGCCGGAGGGAGGAGGAGAGAAGAGAGGAGGAGCGCAGGAGGGAGAGGGAGGAGGAGGAGTGCAGAAGACAGAGGGCGGCTGAGGCTGCTGTCCGAGATGCGGAGGAGAGGAGGAAGCGAGAGGAGGAGGACAGGAGGAAGAGGGATGAAGAGAGGAGAAGGCTTCAGCAGCAGCAGCAGGAGGAGGAGAGGAGGAAGCGTGAGGAGGAAAGAAAGAGGGCAGAAGAGGAGAGGAAGAGAAAAGAGGAGGAAGAGGGGAGGAGGAAAGCCGAGGAGGAGAGAAAGAGGAAGGAGGAGACATCTCGTCAGCAGCAGCACCTGAGTGGAGGAGGGAAGCTGGATATTCAGGAGAAACTAACGTCTCTGCTGAGAGGACTGGAGGAGAGGAAGGGTGAGACACACTCATTCATTTTAAATCCAAGGCATCATTATTATTATTATCATTATTATTATTGTTTCTATACTTCTCCGTAGTCTCTTTCTGCCCTCAGTGTCTATTAATGATCAAATCACATTATAATTCTTGTGCTGCTTTAGGTGGGCAACCCAGGGCCACACAACACAGGAAGTCAGCTGCTCTCACATCCTTCAAAGCGCTCTACCCGTTCACTGCACGAAACAACGAAGAGCTCAGCTTCAATGCGGATGATATCATTGAGGTAAGCATGACAATTATGTCTCAAAAGGGCTGAACTGAACCGAAAATTCCCTGTCTCTTCCTTCTAGGGGATAAATAAAGTATCTATCCATCTCTTTTACTTTTGCTCCACATCATCCATGCCTTTACACCTCTCCCTTCTTCTCTCTCAAACTCCCCTGTCTCTTTTTCTCAGGTTGATGAGACGACTGAGCGGGAGGAAGGTTGGCTGTATGGCAGCAAACAAGGGAAGATGGGCTGGTTCCCAGAGAGCTACGTCGAGAGAATGGCCCCATCAGACACGGCTAACAGTAATACTGCTGCCGCTGCTGCCACCGCTCCTAAAGTGCCGCTCCAGTCACAGCTTTCCAGTGTCCTTGAGGCTGCCAAGGCAGCAGGCACAAAGTCTGCCTTCACACCAACACACTCTCCAAACCTTGCCTCATTGGAGACACAAGGACAGGTGAGAAGTTTACAGACCTGGATGAGCCACTACCCTCTGATTACGACAGTATGATTATTGTCTGCACACAAACACTCTCATGCTCATTGTACTTTCTTTGTTTCTGTGCTACTGTCAGCAGGTGGTTGGTAACCTGCTCGCCCAGGCCCTGTGTTCATGGACAGCGAAGACAGACAACCATCTGAACTTCAATAAGGACGATGTCATTCAGGTGCTGGAGCAGCAGGAGAACTGGTGGCTGGGAGAGTTGAACGGTGAACAGGGCTGGTTCCCCAAGACATATGTGACACTGCTGGGAGAAGAAGAAAGTTCAGAGTAAGTTTACTTCCCATAATCAAACTAGTGGCAGTGGGTTTGTCTCACATTTTTTCATTTTAAATTCCTCTTGGAGTTCATTCTAGAGACTTTGCCAGCTATATCAAAGTCAGACAAGACATGAAGGCCAATGATTGACTTAGCTGGCAAAGTACCAGCACTCTCTTGGTACTAAAACACTCTCAGCTGTGTATTTTACTCCCTTCAGTTCCCAAGTTATTGTATTATTGTAATTTTTGTAAATTTCTTTGGAACTCAAAAAGGTTGATAATGTCACAACACGATCCCTGAAACTTGAATCTGCACACTAGTTTGGTAAGACTTGTGTTTGCCAAAATATCTGAATCATAAGTCATGATCCTTTTTTTGTATTACATTTATAAACTTAAATAAACTCAGTAGCACAAAGCACATACCTGTCCTCCGCTTTCCATGCCATTATATCCTGTAGCCGTTGGGACACTTTTAACTCAATGTAAGTCAAAGAAAACAAGCATCAGTCACGTGACAATGTAGATGTGCTTGTGAGTGCATCAACAGGTGTGGTAACAAATCCAGTATGGTGGGAATTCAGGCCAAAGAAATAGTTTTGTCCCTCCTCAGTGATGAGGAAGCTTTAATTTAATAAGCGTGGTAGTGTAATGTTGGTTTTCTGTGTTTATAGCAGGAAGAGTTCCCCTCCTGATGCGTCAGAGTCCAGCGACAACCTGCAGCTTGAAGGTACACTAAGACGTTATCTCAACCTTCCTTATTTATCGGCCTAATGTAGTTCAGTTAATATTTATCTTCATATGTTACACACTGTACATCATACACTCGTGTTGCTGTCTAGCTCATATTTCAACATCTAAGGAGCACACATGGCATCATATACTAGTTTTATCTTGCTTTTCATGGCACAGTGAAATCTGGATTTCCTGCTGAATTACATAGATTATGTGTTTATCCACTATGTCTACAACCTTTGTGGTATATTTTACATTGAACATACAGTATATAACCACATTATCTGAAATAAATGTGTTGTCATAATAGATGTGTTGGAAATCTTGTGGCCATTCATTCTGGTCTAGTTGAAACCATGTGTCCTTTTACTCTCCAGAATACGTGGCGTTGTACACTTATGAGTCTCCAGAGCCTGGTGATCTGACGTTTAGAGAGGGAGATGTGATCTTGGTGAGCAAGAGAGAGGGAGAGTGGTGGCACGGCTCTATAGGTGATCGCACAGGCCTCTTCCCCAGCAACTACATCACGCCCAAAGAGACAGATGTAAGAACTCTTTACACAAACTGTATATAGGATAAACTAGCGTATCATAAAACTGGGTGATAATGGATGATGTATTATATTGCAATATGTTCATGTTATGTTTTTTCACTCCCTGTATTTTTGTGTAGTGCTCTTAAAGATTTTAACTGATGATATATTAGACAGATTCTAACAGATTTATAATTTGTTTTATTTTAGACATCAAGCATATCTGGAAAGAAGAAGCCAGGTAAGCTCATCGTCTTTTTAAAAAAAAAAAAAATAATAATAATTCTGTCTCTGGCTCACTTATAAGAACACAAATCCTGCTTTTGCATTTTGCTGCAATTTCAATTTAGGTTTGTGTTTTGTGTGCACAGAGATTGGCCAGGTGATCAGGGCCCACTCCTCTAGCAGCCCTGAGCAGCTAAACCTGGAAAATGGCCAGCTCGTCCTCATCCTCGGCAAGAACGCCTCTGGCTGGTGGCTTGGAGAACTGCAGGTCAGTGTTCGACTGCTGTTCAGACCTGTTTGAGGTGGTCTATCGTACTGTACAGGAGGTAACCGCAGAGGGTCTGTGATTCAGTTTATCTATGCTAAACTGAACTCTGTTGCCCTTTAGCAGCTGTGGCCCCAAATTAGCGTAGCAGCCAGAAGTCTCAGCACTTCTTAACAACGTTCATTAGAACAGTGGTTCCCAACCCTTTGGCTTGTGACCTTGGCCGACATCTCCGCTTTCTGGTTAAAACCTCAATATCCACATTTGTTTATGTTTTCTGATTCTAGGCCCGTGGTAAAAAGCGACAGAAGGGCTGGTTCCCTGCTTCTCATGTCAAAATATTAGGATCCAACAGCGGCAAGTCCACACCAGCACCCCAGCCAGGTAACACACACACACACACACACACACACACACACACACACACACACACACACACACACACACACACACACACACACACACACACACACACCTTTCTGCAAGTCAGTTGAAAGCCAGACGTGGAGAGAAACAGTCCGCTACATTTTCTACAGTTGTGATGTGATTAAATAGTTGGCTGAGAACATTCTGTCCTATTCTCTCTCAGTCTGTCAGGTGATCGCCATATACGACTACACCGCCTCCAATGAGGATGAGATGAGCTTCTCCAAAGGTCAGCTGATCAACGTTCTAGACAAGAACAACCCTGATTGGTGGAGAGGAGAGATCAATGGCGTCACTGGCCTGTTCCCAACCAATTACGTTAAGATGACCACAGCAGAGTGCGACCCCAGCCAGCAGTGTAAGTAAATCTCTTAAACATCATATCATGATTGTAAATGAAGATGCTCTGCTCCCATGTTGCTTCAAACCTCTGTGACTAACTGATCCTTATCCTGATGTTCTTCATCTGTGCAACTGCCTTCTGCCATCACGTGTATTCTTTCATCCACCCACCTCTTCATCTGTTTATCCCTTCTTCTCACTGACTATTTCACTTTTTCCCTGTTTGTCTCACTTCCTCCCTCCCTTCCCAATCTGTATTTCTTCTTTCCTCTCTGTCTCTCCATTCCCCGGCCTCTGTCTCTTTCTCCTTCTAGGGCGGTAGAAAGTCCTCTTCCTCCTCCACCTCCTCTTCCTCTCCTCCTGACTTCAGAGAGACCCACTATTGCACTCTTCTCTGAAGAGACGGAGGGTCTGGACTCCCTATCCACTAACTTCTCCCACTGAGTTAATGCTACCGTGTGTGTGTGTGTGTGTGTGTGTGTGTGTGTGTGTGTGTGTGTGTGTGTGTGTGTGTGTGAGAGAGCGACAGAGAGAGAGTGTACTGTGTGAGTACGTGTTTTTGAGAAAAAATGAAAACGGGTCCTGTGTTACCTTTGAATGAAGCAGGACCTGAAACAACTTTCCTACTACTCAGTGCTGTATCTATCAATTGTTAAAGCCTTGGTGCCTTTGGTGACTGTGAACTGATGCTGAAGCACAGAAAAAGTGTCTGAAGCAGAGAGATAGTGGGTCTCTCTGTGGCTTCTCCCTCTCCTTTCCTTTCATTTCCCCTCATAAGACACTTATTTTCCTCTCTCCTTCCTTCCACATGTCACCCTTTTTTTTCTCTCTCTCTCTCACTTAATTTCCTTTTCTTATTCATTATTTCTATTCTTTGTTTAAAGCCTTATTTCCATTCTAACTCCCTCTGTCTTGGGAGTTCAGCTCACATAGAGCCCACTATTTATCTCAGAGATGTTCAGACATGTCACACAAGCTTTACTGTCACTTTCTAAGCCTTGTTCTCAAGTAATGAGCAACATTGTACTAACCCTCAAGCCTGTGGGTAATTTGAGAAAGAGTGGACAGTCCAAATTCCAAGCCGTGTTCATGTGCAACCGTCCTGTACTTGTCTTTAAAAATGCTTGAAACAAGCCCTGAAGTTTGACCCTCTATATTCATAAAAGAAATATTTTGAAAAAAAGGAATAAGACAGGACACAATCAACAGTAATTTTGCTCAGGATTGAGTTGGAAACTTGAGAGGAGAGCCTGCTAAAAATAAAAATTCTTACCCTTTGCTTTCACCTTATGTAAACCCTGTTACCGTTAACCGTTTTGCAGTGGGCTTTTGATTTCATGCCTTTGAACACCTTTAGTTTCACTTCATTTGGACACAAAATGGTACAAGCAAAAGTGTACATCTCTATATGTGAAAGCCATAACTAGGTCAGCTGTTAACACCAACAGAAGGAAAAGAAGTAGTTTTGAAGTGAGATGAAGCGACTCTTCACCATATGGCAAACTGTTTCAAAGCCATCGACAGACATAAGCTTTGCCTCATGGGGTGACATTACAAACTGCTTCTCCTCATATTAACTGAATGCTGTTTTGCTGCTGCTCTGATGGTTTTTGTTTGTGCATAAAGTGAATGCACGTTACACGGTGAGAAAAACAACTGTAATCATTACTGTCAGGATTGTGGATACATTTTCCTCAGGCCAACAAGTGAAAAACTAATCTATGCAAGCTTCACATGAGGAACTGACTCCTGAGTCCAGTCTAATGAATACTGAGGTACATCGACATCAAGGAAGCAAATGAAAAATGATAGTTTGAGGAACCCTAATGCAAGAAAAAGGAAATTGCTGCAAATGCGCTTGTCCCTGTCTTCTGTTATTTTAATTCAGAAGTTGCATCAGTCAATTTATCACAAACCTGACATACATTTCAAGTGAATAGCTGCAAGAAAATTGTGTAAACCACACTATCAGCAACAAGATTTCATAGCAACAAGGGCTTGACGATATAAACAGTGGGGTCCAAAAGTCTGAGACCACTTGAATGAGAAAGTGGTCTCAGACTTTTGCCAGCACTGTAGACAGAACATTTGTGTTACAAGATAGTGGAACTATTTTTGAAGATGTGCTTAATATATTTTCTGATTCTGAAATAAAACAAAAAATAAAGATTGGTTTGGGATCACACAAGTGTTTTATTATGAAATACTCAGTGAAATGTGTGTGTGTGTGTGTGTGTGTGTGTGTGTGTGTGTGTGTGTGTGTGTGTGTGTGTGTGTGTGTGTGTGTGTGTGTGTGTGTGTGTGTGTGTGTGTTAGTTATATTCAGTGTTTATATTGTCAACATAATAAAGGCGATTAAGATGAACAGATATGTGAGCAACCGTTTCTCAGCTGGATGCAGAGTTACATCTGTTGGTCTTCATCAAAATTAGACTTTCTTCTAGCAGCCATAGCCCTTCTGTGCAACGTAGTCCCTAAGGTTTGCTTCTCAGACAATTTTGATTTGTTTTTCTCCATCTTTTGTTTGTTTTTACAAATTTTTTCTATCTCTGTAATATTGGCTACATTGCTGCCATCACTGTGTTAATATTAGGTATCTAACCCGGACACAATTTTTTTGGTTTATTTTGTAGCAGAAATCATGGAAAATTGGAAAAAAAGAGTAAGCTTTATCCACTCTGAACATGCGCCAAATAGGTGAGCGAGAAAGAAAGAATCCCCCTTCCTGTTTTGGTACAAACAGATTTGATCTAGGAGAAGTTTTAGTCTGATACCAGCAATGAGAAGATAACGGCACCGAAGGAGAAAGAGACAAACAAGACAGGAGAGACGGAGTACTATCAGACTTTGTGACAGAAGACAGATGGACAACTTGAATACTCAGAGAGACAGAATTGGTGTCATAGCGATGACTTTACAGTGCAGATTTCACTTTTTAAACCTTTGGGATGAGAGAGACGATGAGGGGGAAGGAAGAGAGCGAGGGGAAAGGGAAGGGTCAGTGAAGGAGAACCAGTCCATTTGTATGGGACCCTCACAATGGGCTAATGGGCACCATGTATCAGGTAAGTAATTGTGTGCATGTGTGTGTGTGCGTGTGCTGAAATAGTGTTTCGTGTTCCCCTTTCCAACCCACCTCTTCTTCTTCTTCTTCCCCTTTGTGGTCTTCCTCCTCCTTTGTGAAACCTTCATTAATGTGCACTTAAACACAAGACAGTGCAGTAAGAAAAGAGAAAAGCAGCTTGTTTTTTTGTTGTTGTTTTACTCGTGTCAGAACCTCCAGCAGGAGGCAGTAAATGCAGCGCTGAAGTGATGCTGTGGTATAAGCAGTGTTGTTTTGTTGAAGTCTTTTTTTCTTTTTCTTTTTTTTGTACAAAATAATATGAACCGCCCCTCTTGTGTGTGCTCTTCCTCTCCTGCAGGGTGTGCAGACCTGAACAGCCTGGACACACTGAGCCCCCAGGAGAAGAAGAGACAGGGTTACATCCATGAGCTGATACAGACTGAGGAGAGATACATGGATGACTTGAACATAGTGCTGGAGGTAATGCACACACATCCTGCTGAAAAACTCATGTCATGACCCAATACAGTTAGACACTGTGGAGAAGCAGTTATTATTTTAGGAGAATGAGATGTGTCCCTCCTGATCACATACCTGACAGTGTGAAAATTCATCATTTTCTTTTATTTATTTTATGTGTGTGTGTGTGTGTGTGTGTGTGTGTGTGGGTGTGTGTGTGTGTGTGGGTGTGTGTGTGTGTGTGGGTGTGTGTGTGTGTGTGGGTGTGTGTGTGTGTGTGGGTGTGTGTGTGTGTGTGGGTGTGTGTGTGTGTGTGGGTGTGTGTGTGTGTGTGGGTGTGTGTGTGTGTGTGGGTGTGTGTGTGTGTGTGGGTGTGTGTGTGTGTGTGGGTGTGTGTGTGTGTGTGGGTGTGTGTGTGTGTGTGGGTGTGTGTGTGTGTGTGGGTGTGTGTGTGTGTGTGGGTGTGTGTGTGTGTGTGGGTGTGTGTGTGTGTGTGGGTGTGTGTGTGTGTGTGGGTGTGTGTGTGTGTGTGGGTGTGTGTGTGTGTGTGGGTGTGTGTGTGTGTGTGGGTGTGTGTGTGTGTGTGGGTGTGTGTGTGTGTGTGGGTGTGTGTGTGTGTGTGGGTGTGTGTGTGTGTGTGGGTGTGTGTGTGTGTGTGGGTGTGTGTGTGTGTGTGGGTGTGTGTGTGTGTGTGGGTGTGTGTGTGTGTGTGGGTGTGTGTGTGTGTGTGTGTGTGTGTGTGTGTAGGTTTTCCAAAGGCCTATGTCAGAGTCGGGCCGTCTGAATGATGCAGAGATGGCCATGATCTTTGTCAACTGGAAGGAACTGCTGGCCTGCAATACTAAACTTCTCAAGTAAATATCACATGGACATTGAGTCTGATGGAGTGATTATGCAGCAGTTTTATTGTTGTGTGCATGAGGATTCTGGCTGTACAGAGACACAGAGCTGTTTGTGCTTATATATGTACATTCATGTGTATTTGCAGGGCACTACGTGTTCGTAAGAAGACGGGCGGGGAGAACATGCCGGTGCAGATGATTGGAGATATCCTGGCAGCGGAGCTGTCCCACATGCAGCCTTACATTCGCTTCTGCTCCTGCCAGATCAACGGGGCCACACTGCTCCAGACTCGCACTGACAACGAGCCAGACTTCAAGAATTTCCTCAAGGTAGGAGGGTGAGGGGCGTGAAAAAAAAAAAGTCTGCGATGAGGCAGAAGAAACATGGAGTCGTTATCACAAAGATAGAGAAAACTGAGTTTATCATATATTAAGGCCTTTGTGATTCAAATTTTTTAATGCATCAAATTTCATGCCACGTATTTATGTATGTAAACTAGATTGATAGATAGATAGTTTTTAAATTTGTCCTAAATTCAGTTGCATGTAGTGTTTTAGAAGTGTAACATTTGGTTTTCTGAAACCTGCAAATTCTCTGCAATTATAAACATGAAAGTGGAAACAAGATTCCTAATCTGTTTGTTAATGTTGTCATTTATTCCCATCAGAAAATTGCCACAGACTACAGGTGTAAGGGCATGCCGCTGTCCAGCTTCTTGCTGAAACCCATGCAGAGGATCACACGCTACCCACTGCACATCAAAAACGTAGGCCATGGTGTTCATGAGCGTGTCTGTGTTTGAACTCCTCATTAAATGGTTCAAATACGGACCTTCCTGTGTGCAATGAGGAAAAAAGAATGTTTTGCCCTTTTGTCTTTTGTTTGTGGGTGTAATTAATTTGTCTTTGTGTGTGTGTGTGTGTGTGTGTGTGTGTGTGTGTGTGTGTGTGTGTGTGTGTGTGTGTGTGTGTGTGTGTGTGTGTGTGTGCGCTTTAGATTCTGGAGTGCACTGCAGAGGGCCATGCTGACCGAGGACCTTTGAAAGAGGCTCTGGAGAGGGCGGAGGAACTCTGTCAACAGGTTCATTTCTTCACTGAATCATTTACTCGTTACTTTAATTTAATTTGAAGGTGTTTTTTCTGTATTCTGGGTGAAAAGAATCATTTCTTTTTAGTTAAATGATGTTTCTGTGCTGAACATTTAACTTAACCAGGTTAACGAGGGTGTGAGAGAGAAGGAGAACTCTGACAGACTGGAATGGATTCAGAATCACGTACAGTGTGATGGTGCTGCAGAGGTATTAAGCTTAATTAACTATTCAATATCAACAATTCACTATGAATCAAGTTATTTATATACAAGTTCTATAAATTCAGTTAGTACTAGCTTGATTATCTTATTATAAGTTGGAATAGAGAGAGTCTATATTGTTCACACAAACAACCATTTCCTTAACACTCAAATCTAAAGAACATATGAAAATCCTTATAACATTTACTTTTTTCCACAGTACTTGGTCTTTAACTCTCTTACCAACTGTTTAGGCCCCAGGAAATTGCTCCACAGCGGGAAGGTGAGTAACACTGCAATGTTTCTGAAACTGTGGAAACACAGTCAGTGAACAACTCTGAGGGTTTTCCTAATTAGCATTAGGAAATTAGCATTTTTCAATGCACTGAATAACCTTTTAAAATCTAAAAATGCAAAAGTCTGGAGGGTACAGGTAGATGAGATGTGAAACACCACTGGGTCAGATCCCGGGTTGTCGTGGTTACATGTTACAAGCCTCAGATGACTGAGACACTAGGAAGACCAGTGAAGAGATTGTCACAGAAGAGATGAGTGGCCCAGTTCATCTGAGCAGAAACCCAAACAGAAGGATTTCAGTCAGTTGTGACCATTAAAATATTGTCATAGAAATGTTGACATTTACCATCTGGCTTGAGAATAAATGTCTTTTGCTGAACAGTTAGCAATAATACAACCATCATGACTAAGCAGTTAAAAAAAAGGGAGCGTAGTGCATTTATAAATGTATGTTACTGTATCATTAATATTAATATTGTACATATTGAGGATGAAATCTGAAATGTGTCTCTGTGATGTATTTCACTTGTTTCTTTCTAGATGTACAAGGCAAAGAGCAACAAGGAACTGTGGGCTTTCCTCTTTAATGACTTCCTGCTTCTGACTCATGCATCTAAACAGTTCACCTCTTCTGGGCCCGATAAACTGTTCAGCAACAAGAACAATGTTCAGCTCAAGATGTACAAACCAGTAAGAGAGAGACACACACACGCACACTATGAGGATATGTCTTCCTTTGAGGCAACACGAGTCGTCATATTTTCCCTATACTTTTTTTTTTTCCATGTAATTTGTCAATTTTACTGCTGTGTATTTTGATGCATGACAGTGTGTCGTCTTGTTTTCTGCAGCCCGTGCTGTTAAATGAAGTTCTGGTGAAGCTGCCGGATCCCTCCAGTGATGAGCCCATTTTCCACATCTCACACATTGACAGAGTCTACGTACTCAGGACCGACAACATCAATGAACGGTGGCAGCACACACATGTTTACACATACATGCACCCAGACAGATTTTGGTTTGTTTGGCGGCCTGTGTAATTACTCCGTGTTTGTGTTTTTCAGGACGGCGTGGGTTCAGAAGATAAAGGCTGCGTCTGAAGAATTTATTGAGAAAGAAAAGAAAAAAAGGGAAAAGGCCTATCAAGGTTTGTCGTGACACTCACACAGCCGTGCTGATGCCAACACGTGATGATATCTCGGATTAATCTGTGTGTGTGTGTGTGTGTGCGTGTGTGTGCGTGTGTGTGCGTGTGTGTGTGTGCGTTTTCAGCTCGATCTGTGAAGGCTACTGGAATCGGCAGACTCCTTGTCACCATCTTAGAAGCCACTGAGCTCAAGGCGGGAAAACCCAATGGTGAGCTTGAATACACATGTTACAGGATGTCCTTACAGTTCAGTGGACTTAAAAACACGTCATAAATTTGAACAGCTGTGTCCAGCTTTTAATTCCTGCTGCATGAACAAAAAGCCACATTTAATTGTGCTGTTGTGTCATCCCTTTTTCCCTCAGTTCCCTTTTAGTCAGAGACTTTTCTGTGTCCTTTAAGCTGCTCCTTTCATTATTATCTAGTGTTTGGTTTCATTTTAAGCTGTCTAACACTTCATTTCTTTTTTCTGCTTTTTATATTTCCTCCCCTTTCTCGACTCCCCTTACTCTGCTTTACTGTTGCTCCTCTCTCATCTTTCTTTTGTTTCCACTCTTCCTCTTTTCCATTTACCAAATCCCTTCCTGGCTCTACCTGCCGTTACCATCCTTCTCCCTCTCCCCTTCACCTGTCTCCCTGCTCACCTGTCTTCCTTCCCTCCTCCAGGTAAAAGTAACCCTTACTGTGAAGTGACCATGGGAGCTCAGATCTTCACGTCAAGAACGCTGAATGACACTCTGAATCCCAAGTGGAACTTCAACTGTCAGTTTCACATCAAAGACCTCTACCAGGACGTCCTCTGCATCGCCATCTTTGAAAGAGACCAGTTTTCACCTGATGGTCAGTTACCTGCCAATTTCCTTCTCTCACTCTCTCTGCTCATACTCCCCCAATAACTCCCACTGATTCCTCTGTAAATCTGCATAGTTAGACAAGCAAAATCTAACTGCCAAATGAACTAATTGAACTACTCACCTTTCTAAATTGTAGAAAAAATTTTTTTTGCCCAGTCCTTGTTCATTTTTCATACAGTTCCTCCAAACACATGTTCCCCTGTTTATTTATTTTCTTATATCAGACTTCCTGGGTCGGACGGAGGTTCCCGTAGCAACCATAAAGAAAGAGTTGGAGAACAAGGGACCAGTGACACGACGTCTTCTGCTGCATGAGGTTCCTACAGGGGAAGTGTGGGTCCGCCTCGACCTGCAGCTCTTTGGTGGCAAATAGACATGTAGGATGAACTGAAATAAGAAACCGCATCTTCTACCGAGACATCCAAATAAGGATAACTAACCAAATAAGCTGCTTTTTGTCACATAAACAAACTCGGATGGTTCCAACCACATTCCTAAAATAGACTCCAAGAAGATTCCTATATCAAATGAAATACCCCTTCACACATCAGGCCTTAATATTTAATATTAACCAGCACTAATAATACCTCTTCTTATGTCCTCTGAATCCTCCAGTAGGGATCAGACCTGTTTTTTTCTCCCCTCATGATGACATCAGAGGGAAAGGGAAGCTTGGTCAGTGCAGGAGTTTGCACCCGCACCATATTTACACTGTGAGGGAATAAAAAGAAGAACTGCAGCGCGGCTTTTTAAGCAGTGGAGACACAGTCTGTCATGAAGCTTGATCTGGGTCCTTGGCTGTAATAATTTATAACCTTCAGAAGGAAGTTAGAGCTGTTAATAAAGCAATAAAACTACAAATATAAAGGTTCTCTGCCCTCGTCTAGACTCTCACAGCTCTGTATCTCAGTCGGTTTTTAAGTATTCAGTCACTGACACACAATCTGCCAAGTCTGGTCAACTAAGGCCATTTAGTTAAAGATAAGATAACGAGTGTTAACTTTCAATATATATATATGTTGATGAGGAGGTTGTGACTGATGACTGTTGACCTGCTTTATCATCACTCATCATAAGCTGTCTGGTCTCAGTGACATTTAGGGCATCGTAAACAGGAGATGGCAGATGACGGACAGCGACATGAAATGCATTGAACAACCTGGAAGAGAAGTTTTTGTGAGTAGCTCTGGTCAGGAGTCAGTTCACTGGAAGATCTCAGGATACGTTGTTCTGGGTTGAGTCACTATAACAATACTGAACGCTTATTTTGTTTATCTGGTGTGTGTGTGTGTGTGTATGTTTTTGGAAGTGTAGAGATGCTCTTGAGATGCTGCAACTTTGGGAGTTAACTTTTAACTTCTGGCCTTAATGCAACTCATCTTTTAACTCTCGTAAAATCTGTTCCTAAAATCATTCGGTTTCCCTGGGATGATGATGTTCTTTGGGTAGATGTCTTTTTCTTTGCTTTTTCCTCAGCCAAGGCCAAGTAATATCTCCAAGTGGGTGTGTAAAATAATCTAGGTGAAAAAATGACAGAGGTGTAAAAAGCTATATTGAATTAAGTTTCCTTCTACACCTTGCACTCCTCCTCCAGCTGAGTCTGCTCTTCCTGTCTTATTTTTCGATGAAGAGGATTTTGAGGATGTCAGGATTTTGAGGCGACACAGATCGGCAGTTTGTCAGCAACAATAAACAGTATTTGCATCTTGTATGTTACATGTTACATTTTTACCTTGCAATATTTTTAGTGTCATTCTCCAGTCGCCGCCTCATTTATAACAATACTGTTGCCTCAAAAAGCTGCCCTTTATAAACATCTGCTATTAAAACCTTACAAGGATATAGTGTGTAAAAGCTGTATGTTTATGTTGTAGGTTGACTTTTTGGTGTCTTCTGCCTTGTTTTTACTCTTTTGTCCTTTGCGTCCAGTTTCCTTTCTAACTCTGAGCACCTGCTGGTGCTCTGAATATTAACGAAAATGTGTCGTATTTATTTCTTAATTTATGCGTGTGTGACTATCCAAAGGTTAGGAGCAGCTTTGCTTTGCTGTGTCATCTTGGATAATCAGTTGGTATCCACTGGGCTTGTTTTGAACGTGTGACGGCAAATGCTAGAAATGTGTTCATCGGACACATGTTGATACTGTTTTGAAAAGCAATATAATCTCTTAGATGACCCTTCTGCGATTGAGTTTTACTGCAAGTAGACTAGGTCTCTAGTAATTTTGTTGGGCCTGTTGATTTGTGCTCTTCTATTAATTAGTCTTATTCAATCAACAAGTCTGTTTTTTTTTGTTTTTTTTAGTCTTTGAAGTTTTATTTTGATTGTGGAAAATGTGCAAAGAGACTGGACTACCTTCCTTGTCTGTGTAGGGGTGTTAAAGTTTGTCTTTTGCTTAACTTTTTATTTTCTGCAGCCCTCTGCATTGACTGCTGCTGTGCTAAATGAATATATGGCCTCTCTAACTCAGACTGCCTGTTCACAGCTCTGGAGTCTGTAACCTGCTGTTTGTACTCACTTTGGCCTCTACGTGGCACTCTGTGATTCAGGGTTTCTTAAGTCAAATTAAATACATTAAAAGTGAACAAACTGTCAAATTATTGACTGTCTTCAGAAAAGTGACATTTAACACTGTAAACGTTGAGTGCTCACCCTCCTACTACAATACGTAAGAGGTGAATGGACGATGAACTTTTAGATTTAAACTTAATCTGGAAAGCAACTTCATGTCATCTCTTTCAAAAACATTTATCTGCTCGACTGTTTAAGCCGTTGTACATAAACAACACCATCATCCCACCACCAGAGAACAGACCTTTGCTTTTATTCTTAAGTATGATATTTGCTTGGAGTGAATACATGATAATCATGATGCATTTATTCTTAAAAATAATTTTTCCCCTACAATTAGGAGAAATTACATGTTTGACACGTAAATGTTTTTGTTGTCCAGTGCATTACAAACTTGACAATATTGTAGTTACAGTAAACCAGAAAAATTCAGGCAAATTAAATCCAGAAATAAGTCTTAATTTTTGTGATTTTTATTTACTTTCTCTCTGGTTTGTGTCAGTGTCCAGCCACAGAGGCAGTGGAGTTCAGTGTGGAGTTGTCAGTGCGCACCAATAGACCTCATTAAGTCCTTCTTCACCCTCCACTGACTCTGGGTCTACAGGAGCAACAGTCATTATGTAACCACACTGAGTGGCTGTGCGAGGGGCTGACAGCAACACACACAGCTGCGTAACTGAGTCGACAAAGTCAGCTGAACTCAACCTTGTGTGGCAGAGTGCCACAGTGGTAGTAATGGACTCAGTGCAGTGGGGACGTGGTGATATAAATGATGATAACTGATGGTAACTAATTCTTTTGCATTTGATTAAAAAATGCATCACAGACTTAGTTGAACCACTATGGGCTTACTCTTGATCATGGTGGCAAAATGACTTCATGTTGTGATTTTACATGAATTTAAATTATAGTTGTGAATGATAATCTTCAATGATGCTGTGCTAATCACAGTCAGTACGGACGTATAACTTTCTTTCAGTTTTAGATTGAACAAATTAAAAAATAAAAAGGAAAAAGACAAATAAGTTGTTGGTTGTAAAAGCCCCCCCCCCCCCATTAATTTTGAGAGAGGAACAGCCAATGAGGAAACTCCAACTCAGTCACATGACATTCAGCTGACCAATGGTGGAACTATGATCAGTCAGTCAGTCAGTTAATTGTGGGGCTGGCCCTGCTGTTGCGGTCCAGCCAAAAACCTCTCATCTAATCAACCCACTGTACACTACCTGTGTAAGAATTCAGCAGCAAAAGACCAATATATTTCCTTCAGGAGTTGGTGTAGACCAAAAACAGAGTGAACATTGGAGTTTCACTCATTAGGTGGACACAAACATGAATGTAAAGTTGCTCCAGAACTGCAGGTGTGTAAATAAGCAACTGTTTGCTACAAGTTCTCCATATCAACTTAAAATGTGGTGTTAATATTGTGTTGACAACTTGTGTTCTCTGCCCCCATGTAGCCATTATTATTATTATAATAACTATTGCAGCCCAATGTCATCTCCTAAGATAAAGCGTCATGAGACTGTATGTTTTCTCTTTGAGATCATTGGCTGGTTGATGTTGATAAAAAAAAATTCTAGTATCATGGGAGAAATGTGGCGTTGTTACAGCTTCCAGCTAAAACGTTTTTTTTCTCGCTGTACAGTTTGTGTTTCCCTTCTAATATTTTATTGATGTATTATTTATAGTGTTCATGTAAAAATAAATTATACATCATCGTCCTATAGAATTTTTGCCAGATAAATAAACATAGACTAAGTGTATAGGTAGAAGACAGGAATACAGAAAGATGAGGCAAAGGGAGAGAGAGAAACAGGTTGAGAGAGCAAGTGAGTGAGATAAAGAAACATGCAGTAAAACAGGAGAAGAGAGTACTTTAGAGGTAGAAGGAGAAAAAACAGAGAGAGAGAGAGAGTGATATGTGTGTGGAGGATGAGTCGGAGAGGCCCTCAGTTACACTTGACTCAGTCATGGAAATGATTTGATTATCACCACATGAACAGCTGTCTTATGTAACACACACACACACCCACACACACACAAAACACACACAAAGAAATAACTCAAAAATAATGAGGGGTCTGTGCTCTGGCCGAAAACCTACTCTGATTAAAGGTGGCCTGTAGCAACAGAGAGACAACAGAGTAAAAGCTACATCAGAGAAAACCTACAGACGAGGTCAGCCCAGGCTCCTTCTCTATAACGTGAACAAAGCAAATTAAAATGTAAATCTTCATTTATTCTTCATTTCTTTCTTCATTTAGCAGTTGGCAGTGTTACTATTCAGGATATAAAAATAAAACACTTCTTATTGGCAAAACTTGAATTATAATTTGTTCAATGGTGAAAGGTATTCAGGTCCTTAACAATTCATCACATGACTACTTGTATATGCAAGGGGTCGCTGTAGTGATGAACCCACAGAGAATTTGGTTTTCCAGCATGAAACTTTACTATTTTAGTTTCCTCCAACTCCTATCATCAATGTTGTTTCATACGTAGCTGTTTTCAGGGAGAAAAACTCCCTGTACACTAACACTGCCTGCTCAGCCCCAAACAGTAAACAGACAAAGTCAGCGACGAGCCAGTGAACATAGCGGAACATTTCACTGCTAGATTTTCTGCAGTTGACATTTTACAACAAGAAATTTTTAGAGGCCACATTAGTGAAGGGTGCCAATAATTGTGTTTGAGGTATTTTGTGTTTTGTATGATTTTAAATGCAAATTTAGGGTTTTTTTTCTTCCTTTTGTTCAGTAACCCTGGAAATTTTATGAAAATAATCTGGTTATGCAAAATTGTTTCATTTGCATTGATTTATGAAGGTATTCTGAATTATGTACCTGAAATCCAGGGGTGCCAATAGTTTCGACTATGACTGTAGGGGGAACCACCAGGGCCTTCTAGGAGATGGCGACACTTATTAAATGTTATATTTAATCTCTTTTATTTAATAATTTATGTCTTTCTAGTTTTATAATTATTCTCTTCTAATTCTAATTTTAGCCAAATTTTCTACCAAATTTGCTACAGAAATGTAAGGGTTACTGTTGTGTCTATAGGCAGAGCAAAGATTGCCCTAGGCCTTCTCCACGGCTCAAGGCCAGAGAGTTATCGAACTGCGGAAATCGTCATCAACTTTTCCGATAGGAGCGCTAACTGTGTTCATGAAACACTCTCAAGGTGAAAACTCATCAGAACATTTAGGGGACACTTCCAATTTGTAGACAGTAAACTAACGAAAACAAGCCTACCTGAACTCCCCACCCATAACTTGAAAAAAATGTTTTCATGTTGGAAGAAGTACAGAAGTTGCCCGATGGTCTGCAATGGACTTCACACGACAATATTCACATACTTTTACCTTTCAAAGCTTTTGATCGGTGGACCCTTACAGAAAAAAGGAAAATAATTGAGGAATAGACAGACAATCAGACTTCATGACAATTTCAAGTAGCTACTTCAGGCATTTGCCAACTTTTCACCGTCTTGCTGGTTTATGACTCCGGTAAATCTGAATTAATTATACTTTTGTACTCATGGTTTCTGTAAAATGAACTGAACAGTTGAAATGTGGAAAATCTATCAGAGTTAACAATATGTGATTCAACAAAAGTTTAAGCATATTGCCTGTTGCTTGCTGCTTTGCAGGAGCTTTAAAATGTTCGCCATTGACCAGGTGGTTTGTATGAGGCCTCAGCCCCCCTCAGTTATATTTTTAACCTCTGTTTAAGCTTCATTTAGAAAAATAACAACAACAACAAAAAGAGAATTTCTGGCCAAGATGCATTGGTTGCGAGTCATGACCAATTGTCAATTGACCAATTGATTGTATAGTGGAGCATAACATGACATTCAGGCTGAGGGGGCAATGCAAGGGTTCCTTCTATCTCATACTTATCGCCCTGTTTTAATAGTTTGACCTGTAATATTTAATTCAAATTCAATACAAAACACGTTGTTTAGTCATGGCATGAATCTGTATTTTACGGGTTGGTTGGCGACCTCCTGCAGTCTGGGGTGCATGTTTACATTTATCAGTAAATATTAACTACCCACTTTCATCCATTAGAAGCTGACCCTGTTTTATTTTCGGTGCTGACCTGAAGGTTCCTCTCTCGGTCATGAATAATGAAGTGAGATAACTGGAGCAAAGACTGTATGGTGTGCAGGTCCAGTGTTCCCTCACACCATGTGAAACTCACAACTCCTGTCCCTTGCTGTTTCAGAGATGACTGACAACAATTCCTCACAGACCACTCTGCACAAAGTTACGACTGTTAATATTTTATCACACTGAGCAGAAGGTACAGAAATGGATGCATTATGGATGTTAAGTGGTGCGTATGTTGTGTATTTTGTATGTGGAACAAGGTTTAGATATGTGTGTGTTGTTTTAATTTGTCAGTGATGGTAGTGATGAGATAAGCTAATAAAGGTGGGACGGTGTCAATGAGGAGTTTTCCTTAGCAAGTTGCTTGTTTTCATTGTCTTCACTTTCATCTATATTTGTTATTCTCCTCACACACACGAGAAGTATGAGAATGGACTTAATTAATGTCTGTTGTTTTTCTCTGTATCCAATTCAATGTTTTTTTTTTTTTTTTACAGATTTCAGATATACAGTACTCAGTTACCAGATTATTAGTTACAACTGTGCAGTCAAATACCACTCAATGCAACAGTTATACAATCCATCCTATGATGTTCACTTCTACTTTAATTTAGTTCAGTGGTTTTATCATATTGAGAAGTGTTTCTAATATTCTTCTGCCCCCCTTATAAATGGGGATGGACAAAATATCAGAGACACCACAATACCATGTGATGGAGACAGGAAGTAGCACTAGTGAAGACAATGACGGGGAACAGAGCACAAGGTTGTTTTAATGGTTAATGGATGAGGAGAGGACTGGGGAAGAAGAGGGACACAAGTGAGAGGAAATGCTGAAGAGTATTTTCCAGGTGACCTGGGGCTATGTTTTATTAACCTTCTCACAGTGAAGAGGCTTTTCTACCTTTGTTTCATGCCCAGGGCGCAATAAAGACCACAACAACCATGAAGGAATTACTGTAATGTCTTATAATGCCCATCATTGAGAGAGGAGAGTTAAAATGTGCTGAGATTTCAGATCGTGCAGACTGGAGTACGAACAGCATTACAATTCTTTTGAGTGATATTAAATGTTCACTATAGACTTTTCTAATAATCTCTACAGAGGCATGTGTTTAGTTGTTGATTCAGTATTTTGTAAATGAATTGGAATGGATACAAGAGGGGAAATGGGTTCACTGACACTGTTTGCAGAAGGTCCACAGTTTATTTCTACACCTGGTGAAGTAAACACATATCCAAAGCTCACATGACTAAAGGCAATAATGTTTTACATTAAGGCAAGGATTTAGCAAACACGCATGCATGGTGTTTTTTCTTTCTCATATACCTGTTGAGAGATGTTGCCCCTGATAACTCTGTCAGACCCCGACCAAATGCAGGAGGGTTATTCAGGCTTTCCCTGTTGCATAACATCTGCACAAAAATAATCTGCCAAGACGACAGGTTGGCTGATAAAATTTTCATAAACTTTATCTGTTATAAAGTTATTTTTAGAAAATTGTTGACTTAGCTCTAAAACATCATTCCCATACTCCCATAAAATTCAGTCAAGCACAAACACACAGACACTCTAACACACGCATACAGTACACAAGGTCCTGGCACAAACAACAACGACAACAGCAGAAGGCGTATAATTCGGCTGTGTGTGTGAGCATGTGGCAAGAAGGTGAATTCCCAAACACAGCTAAATGAAATCCTCATTCTCATAAAAAAAATACTCTGGCTGTCTGTCTCTCTTTTTCTCTGATTCATTGCTATTTATTGTTGCCTCTGTCTATTCATACAAACAGGTTAGTACACTGCACACTTCAGGTTTTATTCCTGTTTCTTTGTTTTCACAATTTGTGGGGGGTAAAGCGCTTTTAAGATATTTCACAAATGAAACAAACAAAATGTAAAACATCAGTAATATTATGCCCATTGTGAATGTACATTTATTTACACATGGGCATATGGTTTTTCAACATGGATCATGAAATATATTTTCACATGTGAATTTTAATTGAACTGATTTTCTTGCTTTCTGTTTGCTTTCCTGTTGCTGTGTCCTCCCTCTGCTCAATACTGTGCATGAAAGACAAGAGAGAGAGTGTGTGTGTGTGTGTGTGTGTGTGTGTGTGTGTGTGTGTGTGTGTGTGTGTGTGTGTGTGTGTGTGTGTGTGTGTGTGTGTGTGTGTGTGTGTGTTTAAGAGAGAGAGAGAAAGGGATGCAGACGTGTGGCAGAGACAGAGGAGAGACATTTGGTCGACCTGTCGGACTCTCTCATGTCACATCTCTGCCCTCGGGACCTGACCTCTGTCTTTCTGTCTGGAAAATAACCTGGAAAAATTAAAATGGAATATTGGAAAAGTCCACTCTGGAAAACAGTCAGAGCAACATCCCTCCTGCTGCTGCTGCTGCTGCTGCTGCTGCTGCTGCCTCAAACAGAGAAGAAGAACTGAAGAAAGAGGGAAAAGAAAGAATGACTGAAAATCTTAGTTTGTATCTGTATACGAAAGTGAAGAGGAGACGAAGGCTTGTACACATTGGCCTATCTGACAACTGGGGGCGGACACACAAGATTTATACATATAATTATACTGTTAGTGGGTTTTTTTTCTTTGAGGGTAAGGCAGAGAGCAGAGAGTAGATAATAGGAGAGGAGAGGAAGGGAGGAGAGAGTAGAGAGCACAGAGGGTAGAGGAGTAGAGAGCGGAGCGGTGCAGAGCAGAGGACCAGAGCAGAGAGGAGGAGGAAGGAGAGGGGAAGAAGAGTTGAGGGGAGGAGAGGAGGAGGAAGATGAGAAGAGGAGAGGAGTAAACACACTCCAGATGGGATCTTGGCATAAATGTGAGTAAAAACATTTTGTTTGCATGTGGTGAGAATTGAACATGATGCTGCTGCTGATATTGTTGTCGTCTCTACTGATGATCATGCCGATGTGAAGGGTAGTGAGGAGTCTCCACTCTTGTCTGTAACTGTCTGTCCTCCACATTTTGTTTGTTCGCCCTCTCAACTATCTTTTACTTCGTCTTGCTCTAATTCTCTCTGTCTCTGAGGGTTTTTTTTTTTTATCTGATTTCATAGTTTTCCACTCTCTCTCTCTACTCTTTCTCTGCAGGTCATGTTAGATAGTAACAGCACAGCAGAGGAAGGAAAGGCCAGTGTCACATTGCATTAGCATCACACACACACTCACACACACACACACACACTGAGAGAGAGTGAGAGAGAGAGAACTACACTCAAAAGTGTGATGAGTGCATGCAGAGGATGTGTGTGGGGATTGCCTGTGTATCTCCTTCTGTGTGTGTGTGTGTGCGTGTGTGTGCGTGCGTGCGTGCGTTCGTGCATGCATGCAGGTGTACAGTGTGAGCTAAGCTGAAACAGGCAAAGGAACCATATAGTCTTCTTAACCACATGGAGAAAAACAAAGAGCTATTGTGCCACATAAGAATTTGGCCAGACTGCACAGACACACAGAGAGGAAGATCAGTGTCTATGGAAAAAAAGAATTAGGAAGGAAAAGTATCTTGCATTTATACTGTTGCCGTGGTGCATCTAGACTTTGGTCATGTAGCAGTAAAACGAAAATTGTGGATTGTGCCACACAGGGTGATACAATATGCACCCAAAAAAAAACTGCTTTCCTCTTAACAAGCCACTCTTTTCTAGATTTACCTTTAACTATATTAATTGTCCCTGATGCAGTAAACCTGAAACACTCATCGCTTCATGTAGTTTAAGTCATGTTTAAGAGAATAGTTAGACATTGTCAGAAATACGCTTGCTTGCTTTCTTGCCGAGAGTGAGATGAGAAGACTGACGCCACAGGTGTGTAGGACAAATATGAAGCTACAGCTGCTTAGAGTGAGATAAACTGTGAGAAAGATCCTCTCATGCGTGGTCATGCCATCAGTGTAAACAGCTCCTGTTGTCTAGACCGTTTGACAGAGTGTGATTGGCCGTAATGAGCTGGCTGCGGTCCAAGTGTCAAACACTAATGTCATTACGTAACTGTGATGCTCAGCTGCATGATAGTGAATTAAGACATGATGTTTCAGCACACCCACCTGTCGTGACACTGATGGAAATCTGTCACGAGTTCTCAGCTCAGACGTGTTTGTAGAGGTTGTATAGATGCAGTGACATCATGACACAAAACGATGAAAGCAGTTTAAAAAAAAAAAGTGATTCATGAAATTCTAAATAAAAAACTATGCTGTTGATATTAAAAAAAAACTATGAATTATTTGTGATGGCACGATGACATGCTTTTTGCTGTAACTAACTGTGACCCAAATTGTCAAATCCAAGAGAAGGAGGGAGTAAGAGGAAGAGAGAAGGGCAGCAGCGTCCTGCAGCATTTACACACAACATCACAAAATGACCCTGACAGTCAGTGAATTTAGAAGTGCTTGGAGGTTGTGTTATGTTTGGTAGTGTTATGTTGCACTGCAATGTCATGTGAGTTGTTGTCGTATTGTTCCTCTCTTGCACTTGCCATGTCGATGCATTGCTTTTTGACAGTTTTTTTTTGGTTTTGTACCATAACAACAGGCCCGAGGTGTGTTTTTCAAGCTATTTACAATGTAGGGATGAGACAAACATGCATTTTTTTTTTTAGGTGCATGCTTTCGAAAATGTGACCGATAAAATGCAGATATTTTCCTCAGCGTGAGCTCGGTTTTCACTCACAGGTCAAGAGTGCTGCACCTTCTGTTTCAGAGTTTTTCCAGCTGAAAGCATCCTAAAAATTAGGCCAGTTTGATGTTGTGTGAGAGCATCATCCATTTTTTATCTGTTGAAGTTTAGACTTCTGCCGTGTCCTTACAGCTTCACAGAGAACAACATGTTTTGACATCTTTATACCTCTGCTCTGTTTTAGGTTTAAACTCCTGAAGACTGGACACTGTGTATTTTTTAAAGATGGTGTTTTCATGGTGAGGTACGTTTACATTTTAGTCATGAAGTCTGGTCTGTCTTCATGAACTAATTAGGGCCTGTTTCCAATCATTAGTAAAAGCTTTAATGGGGAAAAGCTCATAATCAGGGAGAACACATTCACATGTAATGAGATGTGTTAAATGTTGTCAGCTGGGGAAATCATAACACGTTCATGAAATTAAAACAGTTCTACAAAATGCTTTTAACCCTGCTCCGCTCTGTGTGTGAACTTTCGTAACAGGATTAGCACAATCAAGCACAATCACGCTTCACTCACATCTGCAGAGCTTCATTTTATTTGGAAGAAGAAGAGATTTAAAAGTTTTGGATGAGAACATTTTGAAATGTTACTGAAGAATGTCAGTAATACAAATCATGCCGAGGGGCTTCGCAGATTTCCTGTGTAATTAGAGAGTCATGCTTCAAGCACAGTTCAGTTAACTGTCACTCACAGCGTATGTGCAGATACTGCTCAGCTCATGGGATTCAATTTTGCAGATAAAGAGAATAAAAGTACCACGGATTGTCATTTATCTTTGAAAATGCTTGAAGGGGGACTCATATTTGCAGGATTTCATTGTTGATGAACCCAATAAGTGATGATAATATAAACACTGCCAGCTCTTATCTTACACTGTTACACAACACTGTAACTACAGTAAGGGAGCGATAGTTGTTCATCAGCACCCTCCTCTGTAAGAGGACGGAGCTTTTATTAACTGGACGAGCTGATGCAGACAGGTTTATTTCTGGAGCAGCTGAACTCATGTCAGTCAAACCGCATTATGGACTGAGCGTCAGATATACGTCAGAATAAACACGCAGAGTCTCAGTGCCTCAAAATTTTACAATATGTTCAATATTTTGCAATATTTTTTAATTATGTAAATAATGAATGTACTGTACTGTAAGTCACCTGCTAGTATGACAGTAACTTTGCACACTGTGAGCAGCTCAAGCAAAGACAGACTTTTCATTTGAACATTTTTTACAGGTCAGTGGAAACACTACCTGGTATTTGACAGGTAAATGTCATAATTTATGTTGCAGAAAATTAGTTGTTTCTTTTGTTCTAACTCACTAATCATCTTGTGAGCCTTCTGATTTATTGTGTGTGTGGGGCCCTGAACCACTAATTTATTTATTTTATCATCACTAAGATCGCAGCTGACCATCGAGCCAAACCTCCTTACAAACATTATCTGTTTTAAATACTTAAACTCTTGTATGTTTGATGATGACGAAACGCTCAGTGAAGCGCTAAGATGAAAAGCCTGATGAGGCCTGTTCCTTTAGAGTCCATTATTACACTGAGGAGCTGCTGGGCTGAGCAGATCAGGTTAGAGAGGAGTTAAGTAAGAAAAGCAGACACAGTGGAGTCTCTCGCCATGCTCCCTCACAATCCTCCTCTCCTTTCAGAGGATGAAGGATCCTCCTGGATCTTCTCCAGGATTTCAGCTCTGTTAGTATAATTAGTCTGCAAGTCAGAGTGACTTGCTCCCTATACCCTCCTCCCCTCTGGCATCTCAGGCTCTCTCCACCCTCTGACAATCTGGACCCTGGGACACTGTGCATTTATGTTTCAAAACGTCAAATAAGCAACACACACGCGCACACACATGCACACACACACACACACACACACACACACACACACACACACACACACACACACACACACACACACACACACACTGAGGGTATAATTGTGAGTGTTTATGGGGGAGTTCCAGTAGAAGTAACCTCTACATGTCTAGACACAATGCCGTATTAAAGCTATTTGTCTCTGTCTTTACTCTGCATTTAACCTGGGTGCTGCAAACTAACTCAGGCAATAAATGCTGTGGTATGTGTCACTGGTTGATGCTGTGTATTTGTCAAACTAATGAAAAACAAATTTCTGAGCATCAAGCATTTTGAAATGGTTAAAAGCAAGAGAACAAAACTCCTAAGTCCTTAAACATCGTTGCTTTGTCAGAATCTCCAGGAAGACTTTTGCCTCAAGACTTCAGCCCATGACATCAGCTGGTCTGGACTCTAACATCACGTCTGTATAATGCTTGTGTGTGCGTGTGTGTGTGTGTGTGTGTGTGTGTGTGTGTGTGTGTGTGTGTGTGTGTGTGTCCACCTCCAAGTCCAGTTACTTGATCTGAATGATTGTATTTACAGCCAGCGTAAGTTGGCTTATGGCTCTTTGTTGCCACCTAGTGGTTAGAGCTCAGAACAAAACCCAGTGACCAATTTCTTTACCTTCACTTGATTCCCTGTCATTTCTACTCAACAAATAAAGCTCATTCAGGTTAAAGGGGCCCCTTTGACAGCAAGTGAACCAGCAAATGACAATTAAGAAAATTAAGTTTAAATTCACCACTGTCATCGAATTAACTAAATTTGCTAACGTGATGATTTATAGTAAGTAATTAATTTGCATAAATATCCAATCTAACACACAAGAGAATGTTAGAGGAAACCTAACTTTGGCAAAGGTGTAGCACAAAAACCTGAATTTATATAAAGACACTAATTACAACTAAGTGTTTTTATGCTACTATGGAGTTGATGTTCATGTTATGAATCTACAGGTAGAAGAAGTTTGTGTAGCAGTTGTCATTAGATTCTGTCTATGTAGATACACTTTTTTTTAAAACTATGGGTAAAGGATGATATGTCATGTTTCTACCTTTTCCCTTTTCCCCTCCTCTTGCTTTTCTGTCTTTCTATCCCGCTATCATTTCTCACAACTGTCATCTCACCTCCTTCCCTCAAACCTACAGTCCACGGGAGTCATGAGGAATGAACCCCACTCCAGGATGAACCCCAGAATTCAGTAAGCTCAAGTCACTGTTGAAATCATGAGCGCTCCAACGACAGGAAGCCCAAATATGGAGCTGAAGGTGGTCTCCCAGGAGATGGCACTGCTTAGCAACATAATGGCAGCTTACACCTTCATTGCAGGTTGGTCCAATCAGAGTAACTGTCACACTCTAAAACTCTTGTGCTAAGTTTTAAGAAGTGAAGGAATGATACTTATACTGTAGATCCCTTTTTCTCTGAGGATCCCATGAATTCCCTGATGGACCCAATTGGGGTCCCGGACCACGCTTTATTAGCAAGGTGATGAATTCCAATTGCTTTCACAGCCCAAAGATCAGTCTTGGATTTGAAGAGATCAGTGTTATATATATTTGAAATTTGAAACAGGAGAGAAAGATACCTATATTGTCGCCAATTGTGGGAAACCGGTGAGGACAAAAAATAAGATGGTTTTTAGATGGAAGAAGCAGGAATAAACCGATCAGCAACAGATCAACATGTCTCTGGCAGCGAGAGGTGATGGGGGAACAGGTAGCAGACAGTTGGCTGTATTGACTCAAAGGAAATGTATAGAAAACAGGTGAGTAAGATCAGATGTGGAGATCAGCTCAACAGACTGAGGGACAGGTGAGGGTTGGCACAATTTAAAACAACAGGACATTGAAAGATCAGAGGAAGAGAAAGAACTGGGTACAGAGGAGGGAGGAGATGAGGTTGAAGAAGCAATTGATGTATTCATTGTAAAGTTTTCATTCTCTTTTAATTCACCCTCTCTCGCTCTCTTTCGCTCTCTCTCGCTCTCTCTCTCAGACCAACCCGAGCGGACAGCATTGGTGTTTCTGGGTGGTGTCTGTGTTGGTCTTCTCGTCACACTCTGCGCCATCGTCTTCCAGATACACTGTCGAGCAGACTGCAGCTATGGAAACAGTAACAACCCTCACCATCGCCACAGGAGCAGGCATCATCGCCGTCGCCTTCACAGCTGTCCCCACCATCAGCTCGGTGACAGTAATCCAGACAGCACTGCTGTTGTTGCGGCTGGAGGGACCGGGCCTGCTGGGGACAGCGAGTCGGAGGAGTGGGATGATACATCGGAGCTGTCGGCACGACGACGCAGACGCTTTGAGAGAGCTCTGCTGCACGCCAGCATGTTCACATCAGCTGAGGGTACAGACACACACAGACACACACAAAACTCACGACACATATCAACACCATGATCCATTTAAGTAGGAGATAAAATAAAACTATTAAAACAGCAATTACATGAAATATATATCACATTAATTGCACAGGTGGCACAAATGAAGACTTTTAAGATTTTTTTGTTGTGGTTTTTGTGTGATGTGAGTGATCTCAGCCTTTAAACAGCATGTATCACAGTCAGAAAAATGTTTAATAACACAAATTTGCTTTACCAAATTTGGCCACTGGTCAAGGAATACAATCAACATCTACATTAACTGTCTGAACTGTATGTTAGACATATTTGATAATGTCCTCAGGTACTGTAGTCAGCTATTGTCTAAAATTGATTTTAAAAGCAGACAAAGTTGAATGTTGCGGAACCATCAAAACTATAAAATAAAACATTTTCATTTTAAATCTTTGTATAAACATATTTCAGTGTGTCAGTGCACCTTTATACACACTCACAGATGCTCTGTTTATCTCTGTGAAGACAACTGTCAGAAATACTCTACTAATCATTTTAATGTGTGTGTGTGCGTGTGTGTGTGTGTGTGTGTGTGTGTGTCATCATCAGAGCTGGACCGAGCCCAGCGGCTAGAAGAGCGGGAACGGATTCTCAGAGAAATCTGGATGAACGGGCAGCCAGACATCAGCACAGTCACTCAAAGCCTCAACAGATATTACTGACACATAATCATTCAGATGGAGATGGACTGGCAGGTAGATGGATAAAAGATGAATAAATAGGTAAACAAATAAAAAAAAGAACGAACATAAACCATTGGTTTGGGAGCTCTGTCTGCACTGCACCAAAGAGACGCTTATAGATCAAACTATAACTATCAGCACTGTGTGGAGCAGTCTCCCCTACTGTGTAAACAACAAGGAAACATATGAATTGTGATGGCTCAGCCCTCCAATACAGGATGACACTCAAGTGTTTGGAAGAATGTCCTCATGCCCTGACAATCCAACAAATAAAGACACAACAGGACCTACAGAGCATGGACCTGCAGGATTCCTGTCATCAATTGTTCAGCGAGTACAGAGGAGGAACAACAGGCATCACGGAGGCTGCAGCTCTGCAGCCTTTGATGAGTGTATGGATTCAAATGTTAGTGGTACTGTGTTGTCTCTCAGCTCATCCTTTATTTGTTTTTAAAAATGCTATAATAATGAGCTGAGTGCTGGAGCCTCTTTGTACGATTAAATGGAAGGGAAGAGAAACATTAGCTCCATGACAGGATGGAGAAACTCACACTGGTGCTTTTACTGCTGCAACTTTTCATCCCTAATTAAACTGATGAATGCACACTAACAGGAATGGTTGTGGAGCTTGATAAAAAAAAATTGGGGTGTGTCATCAAGGAAAACCTGCCTACAGCCTGTTTGTGGGTTGTATCTGTAGGCCGGGAGGTAATCAGCTGTAGGTGTTAGACATTTGGACAGCAGGTCGTGGTGTTTGAGAGGATCATGCTGCCTTTCTTTATTTGGCTCCTGTGGTAATGAGCTGAAAAAAATTGAATAAACTTTTATCCAGGATTTTATGAGCTCTGTGTTCTGTACATATTATTAAGTAAAGTCCCTTATTAAAACCAAATAGTGGCTCATATTTCTTCATTGGTTTTTGAGTGCCTCGGGGTATTTTGTACATGTACAAAACAGACAGTATGTCCAGAGAATTATGTTGCTGATGGACAGCATTAACCATGAATTTTGAAAATAGCAAGGTATCTGTGGTCCAGGTCAGTGGTGTTTCAGAGGTGGAGGTAAGGTGATGATGAGAACCAGCTTTGAACCAGTGAGGTGAATATCATGAGGAGTCCAAGGAGCAACAGTCACATGACTGAGCCACAGAAGGAAACACTTGTTAATAATGGAAAGCATCAGCACAGATATAAACATACAGGAAGTTGAGCAACCCTGCCCATCATATGGTTGTTGTTTGTTTCGTTGGTAGATCAGTATAGACATATTTATCAAGCATGTCACAGTCACTCTGAGGAATTGTGCAAAAAAAAATCTGCCCAATATCATCGCAATGAGGTGCCTGTTAGCCCCCCCCCCCCACCCCCACCCCCCGGTGTCCATAAAGTGCCCCTGCTCTCCAGGCCAACCCTCCTGATGACCACACCTTATTATTTACATACAACTTGAAAAGCTAAATGGAAAAGAGAAAAAGCAAGAGGGAATGAGGGACATTAAGAAGAAAAAACAAAAACTTTGAATCAAGTGTAGTAGTCAAAATATCAGGTAGTCATAGTAACATTGTGCAAACTCAGTATATAGTATTATATATAATACATTAGAAAAGTGGCTGCTCTGACTCACTCATTAATCAAACCTCCAAATCAATTATCATGTACACCACCATTATCAGTGATGTATTCTGAATAACATGAGGATAAGTTCAAGCTCACTGCTGTTGCTTCAATCACTTCATCACTTCCCATATTCCCTAAAAAACAAGTCTGGTCACTTCAGGGTTTTACTTTGCTCAAACAGACTGTTCTGCAGAGAAATGTTTCCTGTGCCCTCCAATGTTTCAACAAGGCATCCATTACAAGCAAATAATTTGTTATCAAAACATGCAAGGAGTGTATAGGGATAGAAGATAAATATACAAATATAAATATCTAAATAAAGGATGGATACATTTGTATATACAGTCTATGGATAAAAGACAGATTTAGTCAGATTGGTGAAGATTTGATGCTTTAATGCCACATCGAACATACAGTTTTCATTTAGGCCCAAAATCGAGTTTAAAGTTCATACTTGTGAGCATCTTCGTGACAAATGAAAGTTAATTTCTGTGACTTAAATTAAATGAGTAAAATCCCAATCTAGTCTTTCCTCTAAAATCCTCTCACGTGCATGGCTAAAGAAACGTTATAGTCCCTGAATATTCTTGATGTATGAAGGAAGAGAAGAAAAGGAAAAGGAGAAAATGTTAAAAAAAAAACAAAAAAAAACTCTGTACTTTAGTGTGAGTCATAATCATTTGTTAAATATGACCGAGCCTGGCTATTCAATGCTCATAATATTGACTTAAAAGTCAGCATTAAACCAATCAGCTTTACTGCTGTGTCTTCCTGTGCTGTGTCTTACCCACATCACCAGTGTGTATCGCTTTAACGGGACGGGCGGTGACGCTGGGACGGGGAAACGGAGCTGAGAGAGCGGGCTGCCGCAGCTGGACCGACTCCCGCCCGGAACCAGAACAACACCAGCCTGCAGACGGACACACGGTTACCTCTGTAAACCATCTGAGACACGGTGCACAGCCGCTATGAGAGACTACACGGCGACTCCCAGCCATGGAGGCTCCTGCATACCCTGCTGCCAAGTTTGCGTCTTCGTCTTTACCGCATTTCTCATCGTTGCAGAGAGGACGGCGCGTGAGTCCTACCTGGGACACACACGCACACACACACGCACGCACGCACCTACACACACACACACACACACACACACACACACACACACTAAGACTGAATGTTGTGTCACTAACGGTGTGTTGAAATGTTATGGAATGTGTCCGTGCACATTCCTGCTGTGTGTTATTTGACTTTATTGGCGTGTGCATGCGCGTGCATGTGGGTGCGTGCCTTTTTTGGCCACAGTGAATGGATGTAGGCTGCAGTGTGGCTGGAGGAGATACTCCCATACTCTAGATGAGACAGGAGGTTTTTTGATAATCCAACATATAAAGTTGGACATTTGTTTTCACTGTCCCCTGTTGTGTTGTCATGAATAATAAAGGCAGAACAGTCTCTGCAGTCAGCACAAGTGCGCCTATTTCCTATTTTTATACCCTGCAGTTATGAAATCCAGTTTGTCGCAAAACTGCAGACTCATGCCAGTTTGCCATCTTTTAAACGGCTGCATCATTTCAGCGTCTGGGTGATCTGTCCTGAACAGAAACAAAGCGGAGCCATGTTGTCATATTCCAGCGCCCTTTTTTTTGGAGGTGCATGAATGGACGAGGGGATGGGCGTACCCCGGGATGGGGCCTAGTCTGCCCTAAACAGCCCGCCTGCTTAGCAGCTAAAACGGGCTCAGGTTACATGTATGGGAGGATGGAGGGAGGGAGGCAGAGCTGCAGAGCCTCAGAGTGCAATCAGGAGAGTCAGTGAGGAGAGGAAGCATCAGTTGCCTTGTTGTTAGTAAACCTCAGATGAAGACGATGAGCAGAACAGAGGTCATTGAAGAAGTGGACACTCACAGAACACACAAACATTAAAATGCTGATCTGATCAAATAGTGTAGGTTACTCCTGATGTGAACAAATACTACAACCACAACACACAAGTCACAGTCTGTCATTTAATTTGGAGTATACAGGTTTAAAAAAAAAAAAGAGACAGTCTCACATTCAAAATCTCACTTAATGAAAAGTATGCAAGTCTTATCAGTTACATGTATATTACTACCAAAAGTACAATGACTCATTAATGGCATTATATCACTATGTATTACATCATTTGATTATTACTGATGTATTAACATGTAAAGAGCATTGTAATTATGGGACTTGACAAAATGGAATTTATTTGATCTACAGTATACTGTTTATGTAGTTTAATTCTTATGTATATTTTATAAAGCAATGATAACATTTGTGTGCAAAATATCAGTAACTTAGTGACTGTAGAGGTCCAATAAATGTAAGTAGAAGTATAAAGTACATTATGTACATTATGTAGTATATTTCCCTCTGAAGTGTAGTGGGTAGAAGTATAAAAGAGCATCAAATTGAAATACTCAAGTGAAATACAACCATCTCAAAATTGTACATTTCATTAATTGTACATATTTAGTTAAATTTCATCACTGGATTTTTTATGATATAGACTTTATTACAATTTTTCAATAGCAGGCAGCAACGGGTAATGTTGTAAATGTATTTCTGTGTGTTTATGGCCTGTTTGTACGTGTGTGTGTGTGTGTGTGTGTGTGTGTGTGTGTGTGTGTGTGTGTGTGTTTGTGTGTTTCCGTCTTTCCCCAGTGATCTACTGCTTTGTGTACTATCTGTGGGTGGGTCACAACTATTGCTATGCCCATCTAGCCGGCTTCACTGCACTGTTCCTGCTGCCAGGTGAGATAACATTAGCAACAACAACCCAACAGATCAATAGAAAGCTCCCGTAAATAGATTAATGGACAGATTGATATTCATTTTTATCATTCTATGTTTCCTAGGTTGGGGTCCTCAGTGGCTCAGTTACCTGTGGTACCTGTCAGATGGACGTATCCGCAGGAAGTCTCTCACCTGGACACATATACTGCACCTGGGTATCTTCAAAAGGTGAGCAGACCATATATATACATATATATATATATATATATTTGTGTTGCGTGTGTGTGTGTGTGTGTGTGTGTGTGATGGAGTGCGGTCAACACTGGACCAGGACCAGATCTGCTTTAATTAGTCAATGATCAATAAGTCTAAAACCAACGGTAATGGTAGTACCGGAACTCTGGTTTGAGTGAGACATCTACAAGTCTGAGAAACTCTACATTTGTTAATGTTTGATGATGTTTGATGATCTTGATCATCAATACAATGATGTATCTCTCTCTGTGTCTTCATCCTTCTCCCTGCCTCCCGTTTATCCATCTCCGGCCTTCATAGGCTGTTGGAGTGTATGCAGCTGCCAGATGAGGATGTGTATGGTGAGATCATGCAGCAGGCGGATGTATCTGCCTTACGTCTGTTTGAGGCCTTGGTGGTCACCCTCCCTGAGACGCTGCTGCAGACGTATGTGCTCATCTGTACTGATATAGGAATCAAATCTCCAGGTAAAGGGACACACTGAATAGAGAATGTACAGTATAAAGTAGGTGTGCAAGGGTGATAAGGTCTGAAACAGCATGTGTAAATGTGTGTGTGTGTGTGTGTGTGTGTGTGTGTGTGTGTGTGTGTGTGTGTGTGTGTGTGTGTGTGGTAGTGAAAGGTATGTACAGTATATGTTGTCTGACAATGACCAGCAGCTAGAGAAGTTTAAAAGAAGTTAAAAAACAATTTCATGTAAAGGACTCAAACAAATCTGTGATAAACTGTGGCCCAATAGACAAGGGTAAAGACCTACGTAACACAATTATAAGACATACAAAGACGATTAGGTTATGGACATAAAGCCAAATTTTTCCCCTCAGGAATTGGTGGAGACTAAAATAGAGCTGAAAGAGAGTGAATATATGGAGTTAGATTTGTCAAGTGGCCAGCGACAAGAATCCAGATGAATGATAATTTCTCTCTGTGTCTGCTTCATGTTTAAATAAGTTTCTGGTAACATGTTCACCATGACAACTTCATAAGGTCATTATATGTGAGATGTTTTGTTTTCAGCTTGTTCTGCTGCCGCCAAGTGGCCAGAAAATGAATTATCACAGCTTTGATTCTAACCAGGGCGGCACGGTGGTGCGGTGGTTAGCGCTGTCGCCTCACAGCAAGAAGGTTCCGGGTTCGAGTCCCGGCTCGGACGCTGGGTCTTTCTGTGTGGAGTTTGCATAGGGAGTGTTTGTGTGGGTTCTCTCCGGGTACTCTGGCTTCCTCCCACAGTCCAAAGACATGCAAATGGGGACTAGGCTAATTGGTTACTCCAAATTGACCATAGGTATGACTGTGAGAGTGAATGGTTGTTTGTCTCTGTGTGCCCTGCGATGGACTGGCAACCTGTCCAGGGTGTACACCGCCTCTTGCCCGAAAGGATGCTGGGATAAGCTCCAGCCCCCCCGCAACCCTACTAGAGGATAAGCGGTAGAAAATGGATGGATGGATGATTCTAACCAGTTTTTCTGCCATCTATTTCCGATCTGCAGCAGTGTTGTGTCTAATGTACAGTAAATATATATGGCATTAAAATATATCAAGGTATTCACACTTCCTATTTTCTCCGCGTTCTCCCTCTTTATGCTCCATCTCCCAGCCTCGGTGTGTTTTGTGGTGTGTTTGTTGTCTCTCGCCTGGGCCTTGGTCCTCTATGCCAGAGCCTGTTCACTCATCAGACCAGGACACTTACAAATGACCCCTGCTGCCATTCTCTGTCGACTCCTGTGGAGGGTAGGCATATTTAAACAAACTTCAAACAACCGACATGTGCAACATGCCCCCTCGATATAACAGTGTCAGTATAATGAACTGGGTATTTATAGGCCTGTTTTTGCTTTGTAATGAGTGGGTTTGTTGGTTTGTGTTCGTTTTCTCTGTCTGCAGGTCAGTATGCTGGGATCTCGATTTGCTGTTCTCATGCTCTTCACACGCATCTTCAAACAGTGGATCCTAGGAGTCATTGGCAAGTTGTTGAAGTTTGTTGAACCAGTCAACGATTTTTTATGAGTTAGTGTGTTTACGTATGTGTTAGAGGTTGAATATTTATTTAGATGCGTGTGTGTGTGGTGTGTGTGTGTGTGTGTGTGTGTGTGTGTGTGTGTGTGTGTGTGTGTGTGTGTGTGTGTGTGTGTGTGTGTGTGTCTGTGCATGTGTGTGTGTGGCAGGTGTGCACTGGCTGGGTGCAACTTTCTGGATGGTGTCTCAGCAGACTGACATCATACGATCAACTAGTCGATGGAGACTGTTTAACCTCTTTCTGGGAGCCATTCACATCTTTCTCTTCCTCAACGTGAAGTACGGTCAATCCAGATACCGCATGGCTGGATTCTACCTGGTACGTTTGGGTTTGTGATCAGGTCTTGCTTGTGTGAATTTGTCATTACATTCACATCAGACATCAGACTTTGTTAGTATCACTGATGTGGGTAAATCACAATGGAAATGAACCTAATTTTTGGTTAATATTCATTTTACATGCAGGGGGCTCTGACAAACACAGAAACACTGCAGCACACAACTTTTGAGAACATAAAAACTGAAAAATAAATTTGATAAAAAAATTTTATCCCTCTGCGAATAAATCTAAGTGCAGCTCACCAACAGAGTCAGTGTGACAATTTATGATATTTGTACTGAAGAAACAGTTACCTGCTTAATGCAAGTAAGAGTTGAATTTGTCTCAATAAAGGCACGTGTTAAGTATAAATCAACAGAATCACTGAAAACACATGCTTGGGATACTGTAGTGCCCTTTGGATAAAGGAGTCCATCAGTTAAACAGATGTCAAAAACAGAAAATATATAAAAACAGTCAGTTCTGTGCTGAATAAAAACTGCATGACTTGAACTGAGCAGTCATAAATGTGAGACAAATATGGATTTTAAGTTTTTGGAAGCGTTAACCATTTTCCTCTGTTTCTGTTTCCTCCTAAGGCCATGTTCATAGAGAACGCTTTTCTTCTTCTGGCCTCCTCCTGGTTGTTTACCATGGTGTCCTGGGATACTGTCGGCATCCCAGCAGCAGTGTTCTGCAGCTTCCTCATTGGTTAGACACAAAGACACATCCTGTATAGAACTATACAGTATATACATGTTGTTGTTCATGGTTTTCCACACCTGTATGTTCATGTAGCATTTCCTGACATTTCCTTCTTTACTTCTTTACTTTTGACTTGCACACCTTCATCCCAAGTCTTCCTCATTTCTCTCTGCTTTTTGACTGTTCTTCTCTCTCCAGGAGTGATAGCGTTGGTGCTGTACTATCGTTTCCTGCACCCTAAATCCTTTGAGATTTTCCAGAGTATTCGCCACAGAGGGATAGGTGGAGCCTGCATGGAGCGCGGATCTACACTGTCATTGGAGGAGAAAGTCACACCCACTTTCCATCGCCACGCAACACTGTCTGGTCTGTTAAAGATCTATCTATCTTATCTATCTATCTATCTATCTATCTATCTATCTATCTATCTATCTATCTATAGAATTTAATTATAATATAATTATGCCTGTGTATTAATCTGATCAGGAGGTGGGACTCTCATGGACCTTCCAATCCAATGGGAAGGCTGGAAACATCACCACTGGCTGCTGATTCGCTTGGCCCTGAAAACAGGAGATGTGACAAAGATCTGGTCGTCGTATGGCGAGGGGGGTCTGGCTGGACTGATGGGTCTGTCTGAAGAAGTTCACTCCCCAGATGAACCTTATGTCCCTCGGGTTTGTTGCGTTCCCGTTATTGAAAATGTCTTGTGAATTTCATTACTATTAGTTTTTAGCAGCTTAAACCGGTATCATGCAGCCTATGTCTTATGCCTTTTGAAGATTATGTAAAAGGGTGTCTCATTCCTTTTTTGTGCTGTGAATAGCTTCCACCCATTCAACCACAGATTCCTCAGATCTCACATCCAACTCCTCAACCAGCTCCCCCACAAGTGACCCTGGCTCCACAGGCAAGATCTTTGTTTAATTTATCATTTCAACACAGAATACAGTAAATCCATATTTTAAGCCACTATGTGTAGGATTTGAAAACAGAGATAAATGAACTGAAAGCAGCATATAGACTGCACACATTCTCACATTTTTCTATGAAAAAAACTGATGCGTTAAGACTAATTATAAAAAAAAAAGGCTATAGTAACCACTTAACGATGCTACACAGTGGATTGAAGAGTGTAGATCTGCTACTAAAGAGTCGTATGTGTGTAAAATAATCTCAGTTCGTCTGTCTGCAGTCTGAGGCTCAGCTGTCTGTTCTGTCTGCCCAGGTGAGAGAGGTGGTCCAGCCACCAAAGCCAACTCCCTCCACTGTAGTGGCCAGACCTGTGAGAAAAACTCCTCCCACAACAATCCATGACATTAGACGGTTCCCAGAGGTTATCCCGGTCCCGGAGGCCATTCCTGAAGAGACTGCAGAGGAAGAGTCCTTCAGCGCTCCACCATCAGAGGAAAAAGGTTGGATGCCTGATAAACACTGAACACTTCTAACATACCAGTAAACACACTAAAAAACACACCACAGAAATATAAAATACTGTTTCATACAGCGTTGGATCACCTTAATTAATTGTAAAAAAAAAAAAAAAACTCAACAAGGGGCCTGTAAAGTCCTGGTGTTAAAGCTAATCTTCAGTGCTTCATGCCAAAGGTGGATAGGTGGACAGTCCTCTCTGTGGATGCTGCTTATCTCAGGTCATGCAGTGGGATTAATGTCTGGGAATGAGACTATTGAGAGTGGACTACTAGATGTCTATTTTGCTAAAGAAAACTGTGTGCAGAGCTTTTGCCAACATCACAACTCTCGCTGCGTGATAAACTTTAAAAACAAAAGTATTTTACATCGAGATTTTTTTATTTTTGAGAATTATTACAAATCTTTTATCGTCATTGTAGAAGTTCCCCATTGCTTCGTCCATAGAAAACGTGTATTATTATAAACCCACTTTACCTTTAAATTTAATGTGATTTCATTTTTGAAGGTGATGATGAGTTTCAGAGTGCCGCTTACGGCTCACCCACACCCTCATCTCCACGGCAACCAGGAAGCCTCCGCCACATCGACAGCAACGCTGCAACCCTGACTGAGGCCTCGTCCTCCGCAGGTTCCCTGGACATCAAGACTCCCGGCTGGTCACCTGAGCGACGTTCCCCTCTCCTGATTGGTTCGCCAGAGAAAAAACCGGGGATGCCTGGAGAGTCCAGCACTACACTGTATTTCAGTGCAGATGCACAGTCTCCCTCCAGTGGGAGCTATCTCGGCTGGGGCTCCGAGCTGTCGCCCATCTCCAGCTACCGAAGTCCCTACCGGATCAGGGAGGCTCGTTTTGTCACATCCACCCCGAGAATGGAGCCTCGAGCTGGGGCTGAAAGTCCGGGCCTGGCGCCGGTTGTTGTGATCCCTGCCACTCCAACACCAGGCACCACCCCTGGCGGGACCCCTGGTACTTTGACCCCTGTTGTTTCTACACCTGCAGCTTCATCACCTGCAGCTTCAACACCTGCTGGTTCAACACCTGCAGCTTCAACACCCGCTGCTTCAACCCCCGGTGCATCAACTCCTGGTGCTACTACGCCCGGTACACCGGTCATTCCACTCACTCCAGTCATCTCCCACGCTCGCAAACAGATGGTCCAGTTTGTGGACAGTAGAGAGAGGGCAGTCTAAGGAGGTTGGGGATGAAGGCAAGGGGAAATCCTGGGTGGGGAATGGTATCTTTGTGAGTTTAGCAGTTGAGGATATACCTGACTTCATGCTTTAAATAACCCGGAGAAGGCTTGGTGCGGGGTTAGGGGTCTTTTAAGTTCATTTGATTCAATCATGAAGATACAGTATACATTTTTCTTTTCTTTCCCCTGATATGCAGATACAGAGGTTAAAATTGCAGATAATTGGGATACATGGGTGGCACAATGGCAAAACAATCGTTCCAGCTCACACATTTAGCAGTGTTTGTGGGTGGTCAGCTGGTGACAAATCATGTTAGTGCACTAGCAGCTCCTGGTTGTTTGAAGCAGCTTCATGGAGAAGGGCTGAACAGTATAAACCTCCTCACATGTGGTGCTCTTTGCAGGCAGGTTAAAAAAAAAGTATCTGGCAAGTTCCTGTGTATTAGGGGCGCATGTGGCTGTCTGCTTCCTATGCAAACCATTAGAGCAGTAAACAGTGACAAACACCACTTTACAAGGGAATTGTACTCACAAAATTAGGGAGATAATTGGGAGAAATTAGTTTTTCAGTTTAGTATAAGCAGTTGCTGAAAATAAAAACTATACAGAAGACTATACACTGCAGATTTGTATACACAGAGGTTGAAATCTGGGTTAGTCAAAGAAACCACTTACAGAATTTCACAGGTGCTAATAAATGTGAAGCATCGCTTCCATTCATTTAAATAAACCCTTACACTTAATTTTTAATCTTTAGAAACTAAAATGCAGTTAAGTCCCTGGCTTGTTCTATCAGTGCAGTCAGGTGATGTTACCTATGATAAAATTCAAAAGCAAACAGATTATTAAAATGAGGGGTTGTGATGAAAGTACAAAGCATAGCTTGCTAGCTGTATCTCAATGACAAAGAACTTTCTAAATGAAGCAAATTAAACCAGTTTACAATAACCAAACATGCTGTCTGCCAGGCTGCTTGTGACGCCACTCACCAAAACCAGGCTCTTTTTTTAGATTGGCAAGATTAGTCTGATACAATGAAACCAATGATCTGTTATGAAATATAGAATCAATATATACTTAATGCAAACCCAAGTATATATATATATCCACAGGCATTGATGTTAATATGCTTGAGAATGCTTATCATTATTTTTTACAAAACCTTTTAGATGATGTTGAGATGATCTTGTCCAGTTATCAGGCAGCCACTCGCTCATCGAACCAGTCAGTTACTCACTGTATTTACCGTTCACTACATGGTCGGTGTTAACACACATTACTGTCATACACAGAGACAGAGACAGAGGTCCTAATTTACAGTCTGTAAAATAGTAAAATCTGTTCATTAGTGTGTCTGTCTTTGTTGTAATGAAACTATCAGATTAACAAATGATGAGAAGCAAAGGTTTGAAGGAAAAACAGTTTCTAAATTATTGTATATGCTATGCTTTCCTTTGCTTATTGTAGCTGCAGTCATGTCAGTCAGTCAGCACTTTACAGCAGAAAAGGTACAGCTTAAGTTTACTGTTAGATGCCAGAGTGGCTGTAGCATGATATTCTGCAAACTACACTATAATTAGAACGTGGTAATTTATCAAAGGGAAATTACTGGAAGCAATATAGAATATTAAAGCAGCGTCAATGGATGTTTCTATTACTAACATATATTCATTTCATTTTCTTTTTCTAATATTTATATATATATATATATATATATATATATATATATATATATATATATAGTGTGTTATATATAAAAAAATAAAACAAATAAATAAATAAAAAAAGGAAATTACACATAGCCTTGAAATTCAATGTTGCTTTGACCAAGTATGTGTTCAGCATAACTCTGCACTCTTGTTGTAGTTTTTTGTTTTTGTTATGTAAAGGGAACACAAACACATAACACAAACTCCTGTAGGACCTGTGGAAGACCTCCAGCCAGCTGATGGTGATGCAAGCTCTGCGGGGCCAGACTGATGCAAGCNTATATATATATATATATACATATATATATAGTATGTTATATATAAAAACATTAAACAAATAAGTAAATAAACAAAGTTTCCAGAATTTAGACAACGTCCCTGTACACAATCATGCTTTCTCTGCATTTAAAAAATATTTTTGTTATGTTTAGTCCAAAAAAAAGTACAAACAAGGGAGAAAAATGAACCTGGAAATTTGATAGGCAAAGAAAAGTTACAATGAACAGACAATTTCTGTAGGACATAATAAGTTTGTGGTCTTGTCTCTAACAGAGAGAAAGTAACTTTTATGGCCACCTCTGATAATCACATTTTATTTCTCTTTTACATGGATGGAATTATATTTAAATGATGAATGATAAGATATAATGTGTGATACATGGTAATTAAATGCAGTAGCAGCAGTTGTCAGTTCTGATAATGTGAATTATAATGGCAACAAACCTGTATGTGCTGGGATGGAAGTTTAACTAGTTCATTACATGGTGTTTTTCTTACTAAGTGATTGTCTCAACTTCTTGTGGTCCCAGGGAGCTTAATTTTTTTTTATTTTCAATTTGCCATTCACTTTTTTTTTTTTAATTGTTGATATCCATTTACTGAAGTTGGTCTTACTGAAGAGCTCACAGCAAGCTGTTGTCAGTGAAGCTTAAAGGCAAGTGTAGAATGTATTTGCCTTGTGAAGAAAGTTAAACATGTACTTGTGAAATACTTGTCATCAACTGTGCAAAGGTTACGCCTAAAACCAGCTGCTATTTTAAGTGGTAATATGAGTGCCTATTGATAGAGGAAAATGTAAGTATTTCATTTTGTTTTGATAAAGAAACAGCTTCCACACATGTAGACAATCCATCGCAGTAAACATTAGGCATAAAACTGGTTTTGTCAACATGTATTTGTTGTTAAATTGTGCCCCTGTAGAGTGTTTTCATGGTGCTCATGCAGCATTACACATGGATTACCTGGAAATGCTATTAACATTATTTTTAGAATGACATACAGTAAACACTAAAACTAGTTTGCAAGCTAATGAGCATTAAATGATTGACTTTAGGGAATTGTGTTGAATGAATAGTTGTAACTCTAAATTACTTTGGTGTTCTCCTATAACGCCAGCTATTCATAAATATGTGTCGCCCTTCAGTCTTTCCATCAGTTGAACCTCCTACCTCAGTAAAACTGAATTTCCATGAGACAGAATTGGTTTTATTATCTTTTTTGTCACAGTGATAAAATGTAATTGCTCACTGTATGACTGAAAACGCTCTGAGCCTTTGTTTAACAGTATAAAACATTTTTGATAATGTAACTACCAGACAGAGGGAATCTGGATAAAGAGGAGATGTTTCTGAATAGAAATGTTGCATAAAGGTAAAAATGATGTGCTGCTATGGATTTCCAGTTTGGTTAGTGCCAGTATTATGCCATGTTTTGATTATTATTATTATTTATTTCAATATTTGAATTGTCATTTTAATCACAGAATGTGGTGTTTACCAATATTGGGCTTCCATGTATATTTGTCTAATATTTTTCTGTTATTCTTTTACCTATGCTCTTTTATTTTACTTTATCTCTGTCCTTTTAAACAAAAATAATAACTATAAAGTCAGGTCTATGTCTGTAAAAAGCAATTAAAAGGTTGAGCTGCTCATGTTTGAAGGTAATAAGACACGGGCAGCCGTTTGAGAATATACTGTAACTTGGGGTTGATGGAACAAAGTACAGAGAAAAACATGCTTTTGGCAGAACTGCTTTATCAACCTGTGTCAAGCTGTTATCCGTGTACCGCGGCCTGCTGATACATAAAGGGGGCAATGCATGATACTTGTTCATACAAGCAGCAGAGTTGTATCTATTCTCTTAGAGACAGAAAGCACTTACTGTAACTACACGCACACACGCACACATTACAGTAGTTAACGCACATGCTAGAGTGTATGTGTATGCAAAAGCAATAAGTCAGCTAATGAAATCTATATTAGTGCACTGATGAAAAATATCTATGCTCACGCTTTAGACTGCAGTGATGCCATGGCTTCATCATCATGAATCAGCGCTTTGCCTTGTAGAAAGACAGCTTGTCTCATGTATGTGTATTGCTTTGTATTAGTACAGTATGCTTTGCTTTGTGTACCTAATGTGTATGAAAATATTTGCTTGTGTTTCTAATTTGATTTGATTTTATATTTGTGACATTTTTTTCTTTTTATATTTGATCACATTTACTGTTATGAGATGAGCCACGGTGCAGTACTTCAGGGATTCGTGCTGAAGTTTCACATGTGAAATTGTTTAGAGCCAGGATAGTTTTCATTGACAGACTGGAGTTAGTTTGCTGTTTGAGTGTAACATCACCTCGTCACTGGACGACCTCCACTTATAAACACGCATCGCTTCATCTCTACAAGGGATTTCCACAGAGCAGCTGTGGGTGGTGGTACTATGTCATTAACTGTGCTATTGATGTGACAAAATAAAGTCATTAATCACGATTAAAGCCCAGAGTGGTGTGTTGATCACCCTTCGTTCATTTACCATCAGCAATGTGCCAATATTATTACAAGCTGTAAACACAGGTGGTAATGTGGCACTGTGAGTCTTACGCCAAACCTCATTATTAACCTTGCAATGTTTGTAAATAGAGATGGTGATCACAGTGTAAATGATATAGTAATGCGTACATTGTAATTTGAGTATAGGCACAGCGCCATGGCAGCTATAGTGCAATGTCACAGTGGACATAATGTGCTTTACATTACATTATCACAGAGCTGGATTAACCTGCCAGGGGGTCCCAGGACATTAACCACCATCCCTCCAACTCTCCTCTACATTGTACAGTATTCCTATGCTGTCATACTACATGGCTTTGAGTCTGCTGTGCAGTCTTTTTATTAAAAACATTATTATGGGATTTTAGCACAACATTAGCTGAAATAATAAAGGTCTTGAACTTTTATTTAGACAAAGGGCCTGTCCTCAAGAGAAAGCCTCAAGTTCAGAAAATAAAGCACAAATCATCTTAAAGCCCCAATCATCTACTCTGATATTGTGCTTTAATTAACTCAATTCAGTACAGCTTGTTCTTTCTATTTGTACATGCAAAAGCACTTGTATATGCAGTAGGTAAATAAACACACTCAATAAAAAGGAGAAGAGAGAAAAAACACTTATTCATAAAGCTGAAACAGTAAAAGGCTAAAACATTTACAACTATATGTGGAATTAGTAATAATACATTATTAAATAACTATAAAATTGAAAAAACATAAACAAAGTGAGAAGTAATGAGAATTAAGAAGATGTATTACTGCAGCAGAGTAGAGTTTTGAAGCTGTATGGTCAACTATTCAGTACACTGTAACTCAACCCCAGGCTGTTGTTTACTGTAGTATGTGTTTATAAATGATCTCTAATAAGATGATTAAATCAGTTGAAACAAGAGCGTGACCTTGGTTACTGGTTAAATAAGGAATTAGTTTTGGTCAATAACTCTGTACTTTAAAATGAGGATCTGCTCTTTTACGCAACATGCTTGGTAAAATAATGATTAAAGTGCATGTGCTGTGCTTACAGTATTTTTCCCATTTCATCATTTTGAAAGTCAGGTGACAGTATCATAAGGAAGAGAAAGCAGCAGGACAATCAGCATATTCTCTGTGGTCAGTGATCCATGTCACAATACAGCAGGACACCCACAAAGGCTTGTCTTCATCAGTTCAAAATCATAAGATACTTCTCAAAAGAATAAAAAAAGAAATGAAAGTCACAAATAAGCTAAAAGTAGTCAAATATCAAAATACACACACTGCTGTGCACTCATTAGTAAGCATTATGCTACATGTCACTGAGAGGATTGAGTCAAAATATAGTGTGTTTTGGCCTATTAATGTAAAACAAGAAAACACTGAGTTCTTTGAAAGGATGCTTTTAATAGAATAACATATCAGCATCTATCTGGTTACAGCAGACTAACAGGGTATAACTGTCAACTTTATGTCAGAAGACAGGAAATTTATTGTCTTGATTTTTAATAAGTAAAAAATATAATTAGAGTAGCTTTTTAGCAAATGTCTTACTTAGATCTATAACAAAAAACAAAATATGAAGTACTTTAGACAGACAATAGCAATTGTTAGTAAAATGGCAGTGAGCAACAGATGTGCAGATTACCCAGATTTGTGGACTTGGGATCACTGTTGGGATGGATGGATTGCAGAATGAGCATACCTGGGCCACCTGAGGCCTGGGGTGCGAAATTTACATAGAAACTAAAGATCAAAGATTTGAGGATTAAGTGGTGAGGGTGAGCTTCAGCACCATCCAGCGGTCAGATTGAAATAGTTTAGATCCACTGTGTCCCGCTGCACCAAACTGTCTAAAGTATCCCATACCGCGTTTAATTGTGACTTGGATCTGGTTATATCCAGATCCATTGTTCTGTTAAGGGAACGAAGACACCCACAGCCCGGGGTAAAAAACGGAAAGGTGGTGATGATGGTTTGGTGTCGCCACCGATCACATGAGCTGCCTTCATGTGACTGTCTCACGTGGTTTCTGGGATAAATAGGACCGTCTCACACTCATACACTTTGTTGTTCAGTGGCCCACCGTTAAACACAGAGGAGAAGATCTGATCAAGTTCACTTCAACAGCTGATAAATAAGCTACCGGTAAGAGACTTTAGCAGTAGTTGTTGGTGTGTTTCTCCACGTTTAAGCGGCGTCTGTTTGTGAGGCTCCTGTTATCAGACGTTATTACAGTTACTGATTGTTTACACAGTGAGTTAGCAGTTAGCTAAGCGTAGTTTATATAAGCCAGCAGACACAATACGTTAAATGTGTGCAATTAATATATGTTTTGTTTGACAACGATTTATTTGGCAAGAAGGAGCAGTTTCATCGTAGCAGTTACTTGTTTTTGTGATTGTTTGTGACCGCCTGACCCCATTTTAGCTTCACGGTCAAAGGTGATGAGCGTTGGAACAGGTGGAGCTGCTAAGTTGTCCAAACACACGTGTGTCTTATTTATTCATGATTATGGCACATCAAACAATGATCAATGAAATCTGATTCAAATGAGGGCGATGACTTAATATCAAAAGTAAAAAATTAATATGGAACATAATACTGAAGAGGCAAGGAAATGGAAAGTGAAAGCAAAGGCAGCCATTCCGTCCTCTGTTTTAACCAGACAAAAGAGAAGGACTGAGACTTTGTGTTCTTACTTATAAACATGTCTGGGATAAAGCAGAGGGGAAGTCAACCTGAACGAACTGAAAGTAGTTGGTATGTAAATCATATGACTATATACCGAGCTATAACAGTGAAAACTACAAAAGTTTTCACACTTGCAAGTAGATAGAAAACAGACTTTGGCCTTTTTTTAATGACTCAGTAAATCTGGCTGCATTCCCCTTCCCCTCAGCTCTGTGACAAGGAAGGAGGAAATGCATTTTATCAATCACATGACGGAAAGCAAACCAGACAGGTTGATGGAGTACTATTAGAGATTTATCAGACTTTTTTTAAAAACATGATTCCTTTAGTTTTGACATCAGAAACTTCGGGTGTCATGTTTAGTGTGTAGTTGTTAAAAAAGGAAAGAATAAGTAGTTGAGCACAATATTTCAAAAAATTGCAGTAGTCAACTCTTTGACAGCCAACAGGATCATTGGTTCTACTTTTCTGCTTATAAAGTAGTTGTTCAGGGACTTGACTCTCTGTGGATTTGGTGGTGACTCATCCATTTCAGACTTGATCGGAAACCTCCCACACAGAAGAACTTGCACAAGCCCTTGGCCCCTTGAAGGTATTTAGAAATGTTAAGAAATAAATAATAATTTATTCATTGTCAATTGTCAATACTGCCACAAAAGGCCTCACAGCCCTCCACTATGACTCAGCGAGTTAATTTGGCTGTGTGAGTCTTTGTATGACAGCTGTGTTGAAAGTAATTGACATGAGACTGATTTCTTGAGGACAGCCAGCGCTGCAGATCAGCAGGCACATGGTGACTTCCCCAAATCATTGTTTCAGCTACAAGGGTGTTTTTGGTTTAACCACTTCCTTAAAACCTGACCAAAGAAAACCTTGTTGTCTTTCATACTTTTTGTTTGTTTGTATGAGTTTGTCCATGGTACAGCTGGAGGACCCATTGAAATCTGTCTACAAACCACCCTGTAACCATAACCTAGTGGTTGCAGATAAACTTCCAATACCCAGCGAAGAAATTCAAAACTGACCATTTTCTTACATTACACAAATTATGATATATGATGACCTGCGTGTGGTGTTAAAGAAAGTTGAGCACGTACAAGAGCCTGGTTTAGATTTTGGAGAAATGATGGAGGGTGATTCCAGCTTGGCAAGTCGTACTTCAGCGTGACTTCAGAGAGCAGATGTCTTTTTGTAAAGTGCAATTTTCTTTTCTTTTACTTCCCTCTGTGTATTTTTTTTTTTTTTTTTTTTCTCATGAAATTTCATCAGCCTCAGTCATATGGTATCAAACCAGTTTCACTAGAGTTTTTTTCTCTCTGACACACCTGAGGTGTTTTCATTGGATTCTCTTCTGCTTTTTTCATAATAGAAACAGGACCTGTCCAGACAGGTGTGCAGATATTACAGGTCCCTAACAAGACTGGCTCTTGTTCTTGAGGATAGCTCCATGGCAGTATAACAAAATATGCACAGAGGGTCAATAAGTCTGTTAAGTTCCTAAATAAGTCCATGTAAAATTGTGTTTGGATTCAAATTTAGTTGTGGTTGTCAGCAGATTTTTGGCTAATTCTCAGAATAACTGCGTGCTGAAAAAGTCAACATGTGTCTCTTTCTGACACAAGGCTTTTATTCACTCCTGCTGTTCATGCCTCCAGAAAAGATACATCATCATCATCTGTTGTCCTTTTTTTATCATGGGTGTCAGGGTTTGAAGCTACATGTTAGTTCTTCCCATTGTATTTATAAAGAAGCACAGTGTCTGCACTGGTATTGATTTTTCTGGACTTGGAGCATCCTGCTTATCCTGAGAACAGCCCTGCCTTCAGTTTAATAGGCTACAGTATGATGTCTAATGGAACTGATCTCAGCTCTCACTAGTGCATCTCACCTCTATAATATGGTCCATATTATCTATTGCATTGTTGCTGATTTCTGCAGCACGAGGATATATTTTTCTTCTTCTGCCTTTTCTTAAGCAGTAACTGAAACACAGCCTAGTTACAGTTAAGTGAACAACACTTGTACAAACGAAATGCACTGCATATTGAAAGTCTCTTAAAATCAAATCAATTTCTTGTGTGTAGATTTAAATCTAATGAATTAGTCCAAATCAGTGGACTGTTTATTGTACGTGTGCTGACGCAGTCTGTTTAACCACTGGAAAGGACTCTGACTAGTGTGACTGAGGAGGAGGTTTTTTCAGCTGTGTGTACACATGTTCCACTTGTAGATGCAACCGCAGTGATGCGGTCTAGTCGGCTGTGAAAGAACTTTTTTTGTAGACTGGTTTTAGGAGGGTATGTAAGTGGGGAAAAACTTGTGTTAAAGCATAACATTACATTTTCTCATGCGTGTATGGGCTACAAATGTGAAGTTTTTCTACACAGCTGAGTTTTTGTTTTGAGGTTTCCTTAACTTCCCCATTTCCTGCTCATATAGCAGTTTGTTTTTTTTTTTGGTTTTTTTTCCCCCAGTATTTTCAATCTGTCGTCCACCCTAGACTGTTATATTTACTGTCTTTTGGGGTTAAGTACTGCACTTTGTCTTGTCTCCCTTCATCGTTCATGCCTGAAAGTTGAGGGAAATGAAAATGCTGATTTTGCCGGGAATAGAAATGGAGGCTGTGTTGGTTAGAAGAGGAAGTTGGTCATTTATGGTCAGATGTTGTGATTTGACTCTATAGCTCAGACCTAGTGTAATGAATAACCAATTTACTCATGTGTCCTTCATTTCGTGTTTTTTTTCAGGCAAAATGTGGCATGCAGCCTTACTGCTACTGGCTGCCAGCTTCTCGATGAGCCTGGCCAAACCCCGTCTGCATCCACTGTCCAATGAGATGGTAAACTACATCAATAAGGTTAACACTACATGGAAGGTGAGTTTGTTTTTCTTTTTTTCTTACCTCAGACTTCTCTCAGTGGATATAAGCAATTCTATTTGACTAAATCTCCCTTCTCTCCTGCAGGCTGGTCACAACTTCCATAATGTTGACTACAGTTATGTCCGGACTCTGTGTGGTACGATGCTGAAGGGACCTAAACTGCCAATCATGTAAGTCTCATGTAAACACAGTCTGTTGCTGGGTGTGAAATATAAGAGATTGACGTCAGTTTAGTATTGCATTACACTCACATATTAGTCAGAGTATTTGTTGTGTTGTACATCCCCTAATATGCGCACCATGTACATTTGTCTGTACATAAAGAAGTGGTGGCTTCAGTGGCACTGAGCAGGACTCTGTATAGTCACCTAAGTCAAATCTGCTTACATTATAATTGTATGTTTTACTGTAGTAACAGTAATACTTGACTCTACAATGCTGTTTTGCTCTGCAGGGTTCAGTATGCTGGAGACCTGAAACTACCTAAAGAATTTGACTCCAGAGTGCAGTGGCCCAACTGTCCCACTCTGAGGGAGATCAGAGACCAGGGCTCCTGTGGATCCTGCTGGGTGAGGGGGGGGGGCTCAGTGCTCAAAAGATATGACCATATGTAACTGGGCCTCGAAGGGCTTTGCAATCTGAGTGGCACATGACATGCTATATACTTAAATCTTCAAATGAACAAAAACAAAAATAAAGTGTTGGGGTTACCAATATTTCTTGCTGTGTAAATATGTACTCTAAATTTTATCCTACTATTCAGTGTAACCTTACTTATTGTCATTTAATCACATCCAGACTGTTTCCCTGTTTTTAATGGTTTGTTTTTGTGTTTGTGGCATGTCTTGGTTCTTCTCCCCACAGGCGTTTGGCGCTGCAGAGGCTATCTCCGACCGTGTGTGTATCCACAGCAATGGCAAGGTCAATGTGGAGATCTCCTCTGAGGACTTGCTGACCTGCTGTGAAACCTGTGGCATGGGGTAAGGGACAGAATGTGAGAAGTTTCATTGCTTTGTTGTGTTCAAATGTGAGGAAAGAATGAATTGGTTCAACACAAGCTTCCCAGTCAGACTTCCATCTTCATATCAGGTGAAGATGGAAGGCATGTCATGTTATGTCATGGCTGATACCCAAGCCACAAAGTGATTCACATGAAATGTCTTGTCAGTGTAATTATAAAATTCACTTTTAGTCATTAATTCACAGGGGATCACAGCAGTCCCTAGGCTCAATGTATTGTTAAATAAAAATGATTCCAGTGAGTTCCATACAATGAAGTATACAGATTTTACATTTGGGGAAAAGTGAGCACTGTTAATGAATTGAGTACTTTGTCTCAGTGCAGTAACAGTATGTACTGGGAGAGGAAAATTGGTGCGTCCCTAATATTTATACATTTGGAAGTAGCATGGAGTGCTTATTGGTTGTAAGTGGAGGTGTATTCATGTTTTTCTCTCTTTTTAGATGTAATGGTGGCTACCCCTCATCTGCCTGGGACTTCTGGACCCAAGAGGGACTGGTCTCTGGAGGTCTCTATAACTCCCACATTGGTGAGTTTTGTACCTGTGAGACTTCTATAGTGGTGTAAACACATGTATGTGTGGCATCTACAATTGACAATGACTCCATCTATGGGCCAACAGGTTGCCGGCCCTACACCATCGCCCCCTGTGAGCACCATGTAAATGGTAGCAGACCTCCTTGTACTGGAGAGGGTGGAGACACACCTCAGTGCATCTACCAGTGTGAAGCTGGATACACACCCAGCTACAAACAGGACAAGCATTATGGTAAGAAAGGCAGGCAGATGGAAAACATTTTGATTACTTGATAAAAGGAGAAATGAAATCTAACATTTGAACTGTATTTTGTTCTTGCCCTGCGCTTTTTTTGTTTCAGGAAAGGATATTCCTCATTATTATAAGTTGGTTAGAATGCTGTGATTTTGATTCACTTTTGCTTTAAGTCCATATTGATAAATGCATAAAGAAAAATAAAATGGCATTTATATGAATAGTAAACAGACTCTGGTAAAGTATGATTTATCATCTTGAAATATGTGAGAGACCATAGTGCACATACAGTAGAGTGTAAGACCACTTTGGACCCAACTATATACACATAAATAGTTCATTAGAAATTCAGTTGATTCAGCCATTGTATTAGAAGATGATGATACATTTATTTATTATTATAATAAATTTATCAGTAAACCTTTCACTAACTGGCATTCCTCTACACTGACTGGCTCGCAAATGCATAGTTATCATTAGATATCTGATAACAAGAAACTGTTTATGTTCTAACATCAGCCTAACCCTAACGATGGTGTGCACGCACGCACAGGTGCAGCACAGGATCCTAACTCTAAGTCTGTTGCAGGTAAAACATCTTACAGCGTAGAGGCAGATGAGGAGCAGATTCAGTCTGAGATTTTTAAGAATGGCCCAGTGGAGGGAGCATTTACTGTCTATGAAGACTTTTTGCTCTACAAGTCCGGTAAGAACACATGCACCATTGCCAGTATTATGTGCATTTATACTGCATTTGTCTAAGTACTTGTATATTCACAACTTGTAAAGCAAAGGGAAAATGCTGATTGCAGATTTTCCTCAGTGATTTTGTAAAATGTTTCTTTAGACATTTTTCTCCCACTTGAGCTCAAACTTGCTGACCACCCCATCCATTTTTTTTTTCCTCTTGTCTCCAGGTGTGTATCAGCATGTGTCTGGGTCTGCTGTGGGTGGCCATGCCATCAAGGTCCTGGGATGGGGGGAGGAGGGTGGCACTCCCTACTGGCTCTGTGCCAACTCCTGGAACACTGACTGGGGTGATAACGGTGAGCAGTGACATGGTTTACTTTTTCTTTTTTTTCTTTTTTTTTTTCTTCTTCTTTTTAACTAACATTTACACAATGATAATCAGCCTTACATGCACGCAGGGAATGGAATATTAGAAACACTGACGTATAATGCAGTCTAATACACAAACTGCAGCTTCAAATGACTCCATACCAGTAAATCAACAGCTCTGTCATGTGTAGATGCTCAGCAGCTGTTCTGTATATGAAACACAAATGCACATACCATTCTGTTTACACACTCAGGACATGATGATATTTTGTACTTACAAACACACAATTGTTGGTGTTAGGTCAAATCTATTCTATTCAGTGTATCATTAGCTAAAACTGAGCTAATTTAACTGTTGTTGTATTCTCTTTCTTGTCTCTGGTCTTCAGGATATTTTAAAATCCTGCGTGGATCAGATCACTGTGGTATTGAGTCTGAGATTGTGGCAGGCATTCCCAAGTAAAACCTAAGGTAGGACAACAATAGACATAATGGAAATATAAAGTAATGGTCTCAAATAAAACCCGTTTTTATGAAATTCTCAACAAATGTTTTATACTATGAATGTTGACTGAGTCTGTGCCTTACTGTTTTTCTTGCAGGTTTGTAGCAGTAGTGGCACATAATCACTAGAGGGCGACACACTCCTGCTTTAAGTAGTTATATTTAAAACCCACTGATCGCCCTGCACACAACCACGTTTTCTTTCTACAGCAGACTGAAAAAACTCAAGAGCACCGTTCACTTACTGTAGGTGGATTAGCAGATGGGGTATGACAGCAACTATGTGCCTGAACACAAATTACTGTTGATGAATAGAAGGTGAATAGAATAGAATAGAAGTTTGTGACTGAACTGTCTTAAGATCATGTTCCTTCACTTCTTAAAGCAAGGTCAATCAAAAGTTGTACAGGGAGAAAATGTTTAAGACATGCATGTGCATTTAATTTCATCTCAGGTGATTTGAAGCAGACTGTTGCAGGACTGATTGAATTTGTCCCTGTGTTGTGTGTATGTATATGTGTGCTTTTTTTTTTTTTTTTAATAATCACAGCTTCCATATTGACTGCCATTTTTATATTGGTGCCACCGCCACTCCAAAATGTCACGATGTACTCCTTGTAACTGGTGCCTGTTAGTGTTTTTAAATTTTAATGTCAAAAATAAAATGAAATGTCAATTTCTTTTTTTTATTAAAGAAATATGGTTGGAAATGACTGTCTTAATTGTCTGACTATCAATGGTAAAAATATTGGCACATTACTGTTATGTTTGGAATTAAATAAATCATTCTTTCGTTCCCATGGTGTTATTATTCTTGAATATGCATGCTAGCATTTTAAATCAATTAGCATTTTATCTGACTGAGGTGATGCTTCTCAAGCGTGAAGGGACTGACTGACCAAGAAAATGTGAGTCAAGCTGTGATAGATGAATGGATTAAGTCCATGTGAGTCAAAACTATTATGGTAGTAGTTGATAATCGTTTCTGCTGCGCCTAAACTTTTAATCCAAATTGGACAAAAAAGACTCATGGAGACTCAGATTTATAGAGGTAGGTATTTTTTTGAATGAATGAATGTTTGTCACAATCATTGTAAAGCAAAGTTACCAAATTGTTGGTGAACTGCAGTGGTGAATGGGAGTACTCAGATTCTTTGTTGCAGTAAAAGTAGCAATACATATTTTAGTGGAGAAGTATAAAGTAGCAGGTAATGGAAATACCCGAGAAAAGTACAAGATTAGAATGACTGCTCTCAGCTCTGTCACTTCCGCCTTGTCAGCAAAAAAAAAAAAAAAAAAACACTCCCCCTTCGTAGTATTTTAAAAAAATATATAAAAAATAGTTAGCTTCGTACACCAGCGTCCACCAATCAGACAAGCGGGACAGCGGTGCTTCGCGAAAAAATAAAACGGTGAAAGAAATCTTCTTTGCTAAAAGATATAGACAGTAGTTGTTTACAGACACACAATGGTGGTGTTTTGAATGAATAGCTGAAAAGCAGATTTCCGCCCAGGATCCGTCCAGTTGAGACACATCCGGGACACTCTGGTTCCAAAAACAAACAGATCCCTACGCTCAGTGGCGCTGGTGGAAAGTGCTTGTTCACTACACCCAGTGTGAGCCACTGTAGCCAGTCAGCGAGCGAGCGATGGAGGGGGGAGGCAGTGTTTCGTGGATGAAATATGGGCCTGTTGTGTCCCTGTTTGTGGTTATTTTGGCCCTCTGGTTCCGGTCACCCCAGAATGAAGACCTGGACGACCGGTTGGACACGGTCCTGTCCTCTCTTCTCCGGGCTGAACAGAAAGTCGGGATGAGCAACGTCGTCAGACCGAAAGTGGCCGTTGGTAAGTGTTGGGGGCTAGCTAACGTTAGCTAGCCAAATCTGATTTCAGGGGCTCATGGAGACTCTGGATTTTATTATTGATTTATCTCGAAATGAAAAACATGCTGCTGTTGAAGTTAGTAAATTTTTAACTTCAGCCATTGCTCCAACTCTCCAACAAAATAGAAAATTAAAAGTTGATTGATAACCCTGCACATTTTGAATCATCTTAACGTGAATATTGCAACGTTAACCTAAAACTTAAGTAGGCTATTAAAAGTTAGAAAAGGTGCAGGGAAACCTTTATTTTTAGTGAGCTGAGAATAACTGGCTTGGTTTGCCCCTTGATTGGTGCACAAAATATTATTGATGAAGGAGAAGAAGGGGAGATTAAAGGGGCGTGAGCATGAATGATCTGCACAGTCACCAGATTTCAATCTAGATTAGCACCTTGTCTGACCAGCGGAGCCCAGTTTGTTGTGAGAAGACATCCTCAAACAAATCGACTCAGCGTGTTTGAAATGTTAAGGGACAAAAAGTGCTTGGAAATGTGGGCAAGGTGGTGACAATATTTGTACCACGAACCTGTGTGAATTTAACCATAGTAACTAATGTCTGCCTTATGTCTCTAGTGTAGATGGTACCCTAGTTGTGACATCTATTACTAACTAGTATAAAGATTAAATAGTGAAAGCAGATGGTAAATTTGGGGGTACTTGCTGTGGTTAAAAACAATACAAATGTTGATTTCAGCTCCTGGTTATGGCTTTCCAATGTTGACAGTAAGTTAACAGCTCCATGTTCTTGTACCCACACCTTAAAACAAATGCCTGTTAATACTGTGAGTGGTGCCAAGAAGTGGTCTGTGCCACAAGTGAACATGACTTGCTATTACTGAGCCCCTTCTTCCACTGTTAACAGTGGGTACTAAGCCATTGCCGTATTAAAGGGTGGAATTCCTCACCTGAAGACAATCTGCCTCAGGTTTCAGCAAACATAGTAAATAGTGTGACCATTCTGTCTTGTCTGTCACACCCTTAACCTAAAATATTGTCCTTTGAACCTTGGTACAAACACACAACAGAAGTGATCACCATATCTGTCCAACCTTTACCCAGTTCAACACCAGGCCCAACCACAAAATCAGATCTGTTACATAGTGGTCATTGAGAATTAGATATAATAACATCATATGTCAGCCGAGTCACATAATATGACAGATATTTTCATCTAACCCTTTTGTGTTGCTGTTAGATGTGACAGGTAGACAGGTAGTGAATTAGGGTTAATCAGTACAACACAATGCCAAGTACTGTCCTGTTGACACAACAAAAAGCACAATAAAATCCACCACTTGTGCTGACCACATGATAACAAATATGTACAGGTACTTTTAACTTTTATATACAGCAAATTGTCAGGAAAACTCATAGATTGTTGGTTAAGAGCAAAGAAAAGCAATTAAGCAGCTTGAAATCAGACCAGAAGTCAAACTTAGTCAAAACAAATTCCAGTGTGAGATCTACTCAAACCTTTTGCGTTTTGGCTTCTCTAGTAGGTTGCCATCACAAGTGCGTTATCAGGGGTTGTTACTATTCATGTTGGCCTTTGTTCACACATGATAGATAATGTTTGTAGCTGAAAGCTATGAAAAAGATGAAACAGCTGAAACTATAATTGTACTGTTGCTAGAGTGTGAAAATGCCTGTGTGATTCACAGTCTTCTCCTTGTTCCCTTTTCCCTTTTAGGCTATCTCATTTTCTTCTCCCTCATGGTTTTATTGCATATTTATTTCTCTTTGTGTTCTTCTCTCTGTCCCACTCCTTCATCCTCAGGTTTTGGAGGTTGTGTTGACCTGATAGTGGATGGGGTGTCATTGCTTAATAAGATTGGCCTCCCTCCCACAGACCAGCCCCTGCATCATGACTACATAGAAAACGCTGAACAGTTGGCTCAGAGCTTTGCCTACTTCTTTGCGCCAGGAGCAGCTGCAGAGTAAGTGATGTGTGTGTGTACGTGCGTGTGTGTGTGTGAATAAGAGCTGGCCATTACATTTTTGTGGACTAGTTCAGGTAGTTAACCCTAAAGTCACAGAAGTAGAAATACAGTATATGTGCTCACAGAATGTCCTCTTGAACATATTTGAATACTTGAGTCTTCTCTGCGTTAAGGCTGATCCACTGTTTATATGCATGGTGTGCCAAGGGTGTTTGTAGTAGATAATCAGTTTGGGAGGCTTGAGACCACGAAAGAACAAATTTGAAACTGTTGGTGCGCCCCTCGGGCTACTGTGTTCCTCTCTCTCTCACATGCTGTTTCACAAACACACTCGCATTCCATCATGAATGTGTTGGGTCTTTGTAACTTGCATACGTACAAATAAATCTAGCTGCTCGCTCTTTCTTCTTTCATTTGTCCATATCTTTTTCACACAAAATAGACTGTCCAAGTAAAAGCTACATTTTTTTAAAATCCTCGCTTTAGTCAGTGTTTGTGTGTGTCTTACTGTCATTGTCCATTTGTTGATGTTTATCAGTTAGTTGCAGCCATTCTTAGCACAAGGTATTCATGCAGTTGAACTCATCTCCCTTCTCTTTTCTGTTACTGGTGACTGCTCCTGTTCTGGCACCTGTGAGCCCTTGTTCATTTGCTGGAACTAACACCTAAAGGCAACAGACTTACAAAATCATCATGAACAGAAAATACAAGGGCATATCTGTGAAACAGTGAATAAGAATGAACAGAAACAAGGTCTTTCTCAGCATTTATTGTTATTTCTTTTGCCTCTGTTTTGCTTGTTTTCTTGTGGAATTTTGTATTATGAACACTTGATGTCCACAAGATGACGACCAACCTTGTATGAGCAAAGTCTGAGACTGAGACTGAGTCGGAGACCATAATTTTGAAGCACTTGAGCCAGAAAAAGAGAAAACTTAAGCAGCTAAGTGATATGTGCAAGTAACAGAAGAGATGAATGGGTTTGTCTGCCAAATGCAGACCACGTCAAACCGCATGTATAATAGTTTTATTTCTAGTAAAATAAAATGTCTTTATTTTGCATAGTGTGCTGTTGCTTTTCCTTCTGTTTCTCTTCCATTGCTGTTAGTGACTTGTGCCAGAGAGGTGCTGGAAATAACCTTAATCTACAGGATGCTAGTGTTTGACTAACCAGACTAATCTCTTAAAGTAGCATACATACATGTTTCTAAAACCGTCTCTTGTAGGCTGCATGTTTATTGGTTTCATGCACACAACGCAACACTGGCTTCTCCTTTTTTTTTCCTATCTGTTGGCTGCACTTTCAGAACTCAGAATGACAAGACTGTGAAGTCAGAAATATTTCAGCTTTTATCAGAAAGGGGCCAATTTTCACATATTTTGTCAGGAGTCTCATTGCAGCAATGGGTGCCACACAGAGCCTGAGCGAAGCCAGGCATCATACAAGCATTAACTCATTATATCATGTCTTTCCAAACATCTTTCTGCTGCCTCCTCTCGTGTCATTAGCTCTCGACTTTCTCCTATCCTTTCCTTTCCAAACAGTCTTTCTTTCTATCTCTTTTAAATGTTTGTTCTTCTCTTTCTGCCTCTTACTTTTCTCTTAAACATTGTTATTCTTGATATAGCTGAAGTGTGTGTTTTGCCAACGAGCTCTGGCATGTCAGTATCTTCAGCTTTTAGCTGAGGTTCCTGTTATAAAGGAAACCTGTGCTGTTACAATATGATAAACTGTCAGTAGTACCACAATGAAAGAATGAAGAGGAAATGTTGCTGCTTTCATGTTCTGGTGTTTCTGTTTTCACATCATCTCACCGTTTTTTAATTTCTTTGTGTTGCAGGCGTTTCATGTTGAATGACACTCTCTTTAGTGAGCTGGTTGAGGCCTCCCGTGACCTACCTGGGAACAGATGGTCAGTAGGCGGTAATGCTCCGGTAATGGCTGGTCGTATGGCAACTGAAGGATGTGATGTGTTGCTAGGAGGAAGCTTCAGCCCCGACTTTACAGATGTCCTGTCCCAGCACATCACAGGTACACACACAAATGCACACTGTTAGACCCTTACTACTTTCCAGGATATATGTCTCCTCATATTTAGTTCCCATGATCATTTTCCTTTTTCCCTGAATTCCCCTCTGCCTTTCCTTTTGCACTGCCTCCGTTTCTTTTTCTTATTTTTTCCCATCTTCTCTGCCCTCTCTACTTTCTGTTTCTCACTTCTGTTCCCCTTCCACAACCTGTGCCCCACCTACCCCTGTGTTTGCAGTGGCAGGTAATATTCTAGACGAGCCAGACATTCATCTGATCCTAGAGTATCCATCTGGAGCTAGCTGGGGGCACTATACGTCACGAAGAGCCAACAGGTATGTTGAGCTTTTGGTGGCTATTTGTTGGATCTTTAGGGATCATAGAAAGGTAAACTGTATATGTGAGTCTCTTTTTTTTTTTACTTTTTTCACTGCTGTGTGTGCATGCGTACATGCGTGCATATAAATTTAGGACTCTAAGGTATTTGAAGCTGACTGTGTTTGGCCTTGCTTGTGTTTGTGCTCTGTAGATATATCATCCACAGTGATGACCATAACCCCTACCTGGACTCCATGGAGGAATTTGCTGAGAAACTCGGAGACTTCAAACCAGATTTGCTAGTGGTTGGTGGGCTGCAAATGATGGATAACTTCCCCTTTCAGTCAGGTAAGAGGAAACTGGTGACAACCTTTAATTGTTGCTTGTTTGGAAAATGTAATATTAGAGTCTGCTGCTTTGTGTCGCACAAGTGAAATAGGTTTTCAGTTAACCCTGCATGACTTTGCTGTGAAGATCTGGGAGTGTGAGTTGATGTAAGCTAAACTTTGGTACGATTATTAGTGATTACTTACTAACCCTAACCTTAAAGGGGCTCATCTATTCTGAGTTGCACTTAAAGGTCTTTTTATTTGTAAATTGTGAGTTTTATGTAGTAAGAGGGTAAGAGAGTAAAAAGAGTGTGACTGAGATTAGCATTGTTCACTGTAGAATAGTCTGCACATTTAGCTCATATGAATATTTATTTTGGCCATAATTACACTTATACTCAAAATTGTTAAGGTGAAAAAGTGCTAATTGTCTTATGTTGACACATTGCATTGGCGCCATCAGCTATGTAACATTGATAGTGACAACCAGCCTCCACCATAGTTTCAGTCAAGCCGTAAGTCGGTTTGGCTTGACTTTGATCCTATTTGAAGTATTTGTGATGGCTGTTCATGAGGACAGAAACTGAAAGAAGGAAACAAAGAAAAGGGCAGGTTGACAGTCAGTATCACACTGGCAGGAAGGTCATAACTAACTTCCCATTCTGCACCAGGCTGTTTGCAAATCAGTGGTGCCTCATTTGATCTGATGGTTGTCTTTTTCTGTCTCTTTGTCAATCCACCATTCTTCCTCCTATCTCATTTCTCCATATTTCATCACTTCTCAACCACCAACCCCCTTACTTCACTTTTTTATTTGTCTACCTTTTCTGGTTTTTGGCATCCTTACCTCTCTAATATTGTACCTCCTCTGTCCCTTTACTCACTTCCACATTACTTCACCCCCTTTTGTCTGAATACCTTTCATCTTTCCAGGTGAACGGGACGCTCTCTTCTCTCGCCTGGCCGACCTGCTGTCCTCCTCATCTCCTCAGATTGGTGTTCATTTTGAAATGGCCAGTTTCGTAGAAGAGAGTATAATGGAAGACCTGCTTCACTATGTCATTCCACACGTATGTATGACTGAGCTAATAATTACTCAACACCTTAATTAACAAATATTACTCAGAATGCAAAGAGACCAGAGTGATTACATAAAGACAGAGATTAAAAAAAAATAAATGGCAGTCACACCAGGAAGTCTGAAACTAGATTTGCTTAGTTGAATACATTTGTGTATGAAACATCGTGACCCAGAAACTATTTGCCTTCCTGTATTTGCATTGTTTTATTTAATTTATTTATTTGTTTGTTTGTTTGTGTTTGAGTTTTCAATTTTATAAACAAGTATTACAAATAGAAGGAACTACCATTCCAGGAGACTAAGAAAGAAAAGGAAAGAAAAAATAAATAAAAATAAAAATAGATAATGACCCTGCTCTTAAAGAGCCAGCCAGAAAATTGATGTCCTGGAACGCATATTACAATTACCAAGAGAAGCGTACATATACATATAAAGAGTACATGTACAAACATACCATGTATACACCTGAATCCACAGACATACATGCACTTACATAAATGCTTTAGACACTGTGAGCACACACACAATGCTTTACACTCATGATAAATAAGACAGAAGTGGTTGCCACATTCTGTCAAAGGTTGTAGAGCGAAGACAGTTCGTATATCTAATCCTCTCCAGATGCAACAAATTAGTGACCTCTGCTAGCCAAGTCTTAAAAGAAGGCACATCCTCAGTTTTCCAGAGGCTTAAAATGTTCCTCTTTGCAGTGACTGTGATACATTGTATTGCCTTTTGTTGCAAATGTTTTAAAAATGAAGAGTGATGGACCCCACCTAGGATGGCAGTGTAAGGGTCTGGTGTAATAGCACAGTCATATACAGAATTTGTTTATTTTGGGGCAAGATCAAAAGAGATGGTAGTTTATTTATTTTTATTTATGTTTTAAATTTACATGTTGATAAGCATATGTTTAGTGTCTTGCTGTGTTACATAATCACTGATGGAATCCCCCTTTTCCTTACATGGAGGGAACAAAAGTGAGAAAACAAAACAAGAGGACATTGACAAATACATTTTGGCCATTCAAATAACTACTAAATAATTCAATAATACAATAATTCTTTAGTACTAAGTGTCACAATTTTGCCCCATATTCAGAACAAATAATTTAAGGGATAAGGCTGGTGTTATTTTATGATTTTATTATTGATTTAAGAGTTTTTTTCAGAATATAATGAATGTGCCACAATGAAGGCTTTTCTTTGAGTCACTCGTTCTGTTGCTGCTTCCCAGGCGGACTCTTTGGGGATGAATGAACAGGAGCTTCCCAACCTGCTCAGCCTGCTGAAAGGCTCCAACATCACAGTGTTGTCAGACCCAAACCCTCGTGTAGCTACTGTCCTCGACCAAATGAGGGAGGTCTATCGCATTCTGAACCAGCGCTACAAGGATGCAAATGATGCTAGTGTAGAAAGTGACACAAACAGTTCTAAAGCTAAGGGTAAGCCGTTGACTCGCCTCCACGTCCACACACTGGCCTTTCAGGCCATGATCGTGACCCGTGGCTCTCAGTGGAAGAACACCATGTCAGCCACGGCCAAGGCCTCTCTCACAGCTAACCGCCATGTTTGTGGCTCTAATGACATTGACCCCAGCAAGGCGAGGCTCATCATGGATGACTCATTCTCTGTAAGCCGGCAGGAGGGCAGCCAGCGTATCCCTTTGCAAGAGACCAGGCCCGTCAGCTGCTGGGATGAGGAGGATTATGAGATCTGTGTGGCACCTGTGCTGGTGTGCACTGAGGTTTACCAAACTGCAGGTGGAGGGGACAACATCTCAGCTGCTGGCCTTGTGCTGCAGATCTAGACAAGGAGACTACATGTCCTATTTGTGTGTAATGCTAACTAGATGTTGGCAACAAGGTGACTCTGGAAACTTGATCTGAGTGTGATGGCAAAATAGCTGTTTTGGCAAACACAGGTACTGAAAGGTATCAGGCTAATGCTATCACACTTGCAGCTCATGGCCCAGGTGGACTATAAGGAAAACTGATTGTTATCACTCATAGGAGTCAGATGATCGGGTACAGTGGTTATTAATCAGGTTAACCCACTATATTTTAAATACATGGGCTCAGTATTGATTTTTGAAAGAGATAAAGAAAAACTCAAATATTACAGTTTTGTAAACTGAGTAAAGTCTATCTTAACCAGACTTTCTTCAGGTAATGCTCAGTGTGGTGTGTGAGTGTGTGCATTGTGTTGTGACTTATACATATAATAATATGTATTTTGTTGTGTCTTTGCCTGAGTGCAAAGCCCTCAGGTATACAGTTTATTTGATTTTTAGGACCGCCTTGGCACATACCAACCATCTTTTCCAAGTCATTGTAGCCCATCATCTGACTCTGGTGATTTTAATAACCTGTCTTCCTCTTTTTCTCCTTGACCTTACAAGACTTGGCCTTCAGTCAGGATGAGATGAAGAGGGATGAGGTTTGGATAAAGTCATTTTTACAGAGCCATGCTGGTAGATTGTGGCATGTTATTTTTAAATTGTGTATCAAGACTTTGAATGCATCATCGGTCTGCTGTATTTGCAGGGTCTGACAGCAGGGTTATACAACCTCTGCTCTAAGATACACTGTCTTTGCATAATTTAAACCTGTGGCTCTACTATGCAGCAGATTTATCCAGAGTTGTGTAATTACTGGAACAGCTGAATCTTTGGTTTCTTGGCAGCATGTTTATTAGGTGTTTTCACCTACTTAAAATCGACAGGTCCCACCACTGCACAAGCCTTTGCCCTCACCTACCTTGCAGCAAATGCAGTTTCAGAGGAGCCAACCTAAGGCTGACAAGTTAACAGCCTGGCAGTTTTAAAAGATCATATCAACTATTTTAATGAGAAGGTTCTGTCCTGCCTCTTCCCTCTCCTGTCTCATTCTCAAAGAAAGACTTCAAGTAGAAAGCTGGTGAGGTGATCACCTCCTGTTCTTCCCAATATATGTGAAAAATGCTGGTTTGGGTGAGTTTGATTTGCTCCAGGATTGTCATTCCTCTGTGAGTCATTTGCAGTGCAATAATGCAAAAGCTATGTTAAGAGACCACTGTTGGTAGCTGGATATGATGTCAAAAATTTCTTCTCTACCTCCACGCTCTTTCTGTTTCACCATCCCTTTTTCCGCTCTTCTTGTTGTTGTCTCTTTCCCATGTTTCTTTGTCACAGTTTTCTATTATTTGTCATATTGCTTCCTTGTTTCTTCCCCTCTTCTTGTGTTTGTTTATGGCTCTTTAAGGACCAAATGACCAGTGTGTGTAGACAACATTACTGTTCACAATATGGCTGTACACAGTGGAACCAAATCTCATGTGTTTTAGATTTTTCTAAGTTAGTAACATGACATTGTAAGCTTGACTTGAAGCCATGGTGCTACTCACCATCAATGGAGTAGTGGACCGCACTGAAATTATATTTTCCATATTTAGTCTTCATCTCACTCGTAGCAGGATTATTGCCAGATGAGTTGGTGGTCTGCTCCTGGATAGGCCCATTGCCCCTATCACTACACACACCCCCTATTATGTCAAAGTCATTACCGTCTTAATTCCTTTTTTTTTTTTTTTTTTTAAATAATTGTTGTTGAGATAATCTATAAGTTAAGGTTGGGCCCTGTCTCTAAATGACCATTATCATCATCATCAAACTCCTATTGCATTCTTCAGGATAGGAATCACTTTGAAACTATATTTACAGAAGTAACTGGATCTAAATGGGAATGATGCAAACTCTGTTATTTTTCTCATTTTGTACAAGTCAGACATTCCATCACAGACCCCACTTCAGCTATTTTCTCCATTTAGATTGAAGTATGTTTCACAAATACACCTCAATATGCAAGTATGAGTATTTTTTTCTTGCTTACACAAAATAATTTCTTTGTTTTTTAAAATGTGCTTGTTAAAGCCCAGTTTCAGCGAGGAACACATTTATTCGTGTTACAGTGCAACATGTATGAGGGTAAGAGAAAAGAAGAATCTAAAGGTAAAGGAATCTTTTCTCTGGGGTATCAAGACTGTACTGGTTAGACGCTATTGTTTGATTATGCTGAAGGTAAATGAGCCTTATTCTGTTTTGACTTTTGGTGTTTAGTGAAAAGGGAATGTTTAATACAGACGTTTTCTATTATTGTATGGTTATCTTTTATTTTCTGATGTCTTTGTCTCACAGTGATTGGAAGCTGAGAGGAAGAGGTCTTTCTTTTTTTTTTTTACTGTGAAATGAAACCTTTAGCATGCATTCATGCTCATGTAGAGAACAGCTTGTGTTTGCTACCATATCATATACTTATCTAAGCTCTAGATGAAGTCATGTCACCCATGTTCCAAAGCTGTCTTTAACCGTTTCATGCATGTTATCTATTCAGTGCAGAATCACCTGAGATAAAATGCTATGCTGATAAAGCAATCATTGCTTTGTTTATTTTTTATACTTGGGGTCATATATTGATAAAGTTTGTACCCATCATGGCTACAAGCTGTATTTTTTAATCTGACACTCTGGACACGTAAGCACCAGAGTTTTTTCTTGCTTTAGTCAGTTGCAATCAACTGAACTTCACTGTTCTTCTAGATGTTTGTGATGAGTACTGCAGGACTGTCACATCATGGCTTCTTTGTCACAACATCATAACTCATCAGGTTGTTTCCTTTCTGCCCGCTCTCAACATTTAACACCTTTAACTTCATTTTTAATTAGATGTCACTTCATGTGGGTTACGTTCCCTGTCTTCATTGTGTTACTAATTATTTGTCCATTGGCTGCACATACTGACTCCACCACTGTGCCCAGATGTAATCAGTGAATGAGAAATATTCTCTATAGAGTTATTTTATTACAGAGAATTTCCATTATAATCTGTGTCTGTCGGCCATCAGATTCCTTTCAACTTTAAGATTTCATATCGATGGGCTTGTACCCTGCAGCTTGAGGAGTGTTTGGACTAATACTACTGCATGTATTCTGTGCAATATATGCCGGAGTGCTGAGTATCACAATCCCTGACTACCTCAAATAATTCCTATAGATTTTATGGGAAATAAACCCACTGAGGAGCCTAGCTTCACTTGCACAGAGGTACTCTGCACTTGATTAAACTTAATTTAAGGGATTAATACGTAATAAGACGTGACATCAGAAAGGGATCATAAATGTAATCTACAGCCACTCACATGAGTCATGATCTACTCATATCTAGATTACACGGTTTAAAAATGTTTATATTTTCCATATAAAACAAGCCTATGAAATTCTGTATACTGTTAGTCTACTGCTGCAGAGCCTGCCCTATTTTAAGGCCCAACACTATGCCCCAGCTGAGCCCCAGTTCTGGGGTTTGGACAGCAAGCAGCAAGCTCTCTTTCTTAAACATGAATTTTCTTAATTTTCTCAAATACACAAGCACATTTCAGTACCTGTGGATTATCTCAAGATCTTGAGCTTTTGTATTAAATTTACAAAAACATTTTCAAGTGAGAAAGTTGAAAGAGTAAATGCCTGCACAAAAACAATCAGAATTACATTTCTTATTCATTCAGTTCAGGTGCAAGATTACAACAATGTTTTTTGCATCAGCTAGAAATCATCACAGTTGTGTGGATGATCCTGATTTCTGACTTAATTTACATTAAAAACTGGGAACTGCATTCCTCTGTTTCATTTATACTGTACATGTAGTTTCAAATTTAATATGATTCTGGAGAACATGTCGGCACATCTTTGTCAGGCTTGAAAATGTGGAAAGAGGTTGGGTAAAATACGTAAATGTGGGGCAACATAAAACTACTGTATTTTGTACCAAAATAATGGACTTCTAAAAGATGTGGGCCGTTGATACATTCTCCTAAATGTGCCAATTCAATGAAAAAGTATTTGATCTTAATTCAAAGACAAGTCTGAAAATACAAAGCAAGGATTGATTAACTCACATTTATTAATTATAGCATGAACACAAACACCAAACACACACAAACTTTTTTTGTAATATGTGTCAACAATTACGCTGACACACATGCACTGTGACACTGTCTACTTGTCAGGGTCAATGGTCAGCTGGCTGATTATGTCTTTGTAATAGATGCAGTTCTTCTCACGGTCAGCGAGTGCTGTCAGCATCTCATCCATCTCCTCCTGAGTGAAGGACTCACCTGGTTTCAAGACAGACATCATCAAACATAGCACAACCATGATTAAAACAGCTCGTACGTCATAAAGACTCTGCTTCACCTTCCTGTGTCATGTACTTTGTCAGCTCCTCGGGCTCCAGGTATCCTTTCTTTTCTTTGTCCAGAACCTGGAAACACAGTGTGAGTGTTGCGTTGACAAATATCACAAACACTGTGATGTTAGATTCACTCTGCTGACAGTGTGATGTTCTCAGAAGCTCTTACTCCTGCTCCTATTCCTCATAGACTACAACAAAACCGGAGAATACACAAGAAACGGCTGCTGGTCTCACCTCAAAGGCCTGAAGCAGAGTGTCCTCAGGAATGGGAGGAAACCTAACACACACACATATACACACACAGACCATTGTTATTTGTGTCTTTCTCCTGTGGTGTGGGAATAATGCCTGAGGGTAGTGGGTGCTTTATAATGAAACTTAAAAACGTGTTTTGCAGCAGCTGTATGGTGGAATTTCCATATTCTTTGTTAGTGATTTTCAAGTCTAGACTACCTTTTTCCAATAGCCCTGGTTGTGTCTAAGTAAGTTACTGCACTTGCAGTCTTCACAACTGTAAAAAGTGACACTTGATCCTAGGGAAATAGAAAGAGGGAAAGGGATTCTAACATCTTCACAGGTTTTTAGCTGAAGTTTATATATTACCAGAGGTGGGCAACATCAGGGCAAAACCATTATGTATAATATATAAGGGATTATACACTGTACATCTGAATCAACTGAGAAGCCCTAGCACAGGAAAGCATAGTTACAAGCACGAGTTTAAAAGAAAGTGGCTTAAATTATTTAAAGATGTCTGGTGTGTTGTGATTGGTGAAAAAACAACACCTGAAAGATTAATGATGAAAAAACAAAGCACTTTGGTAGCCTATGTATACCTCTACACCACACATTTATTTTTTGAAGTACTGCAGTGACTACCTCATTATATTTACCAAATATAAAAACAATCTGAAAACTTAATTTGTTCCCTGAGTAACATCTAGTAGAAAAACACATTGTATAATTGTTTGCTGTAACACCAGCACCTGCTTGCATCATAACATGGCCTTCTCACCCTCAAAATTCAGCATTTTTGTTTATTAGCTACATACACAAAACAGCATGACTGGCATTAGTCAAGAGTACACACTAGAGATAACAGAGCTGCCTTACTTGTGCTCCAGCAGCACTTTGGTCATGGCTGGGAGGAACTTGTCCAAATGGATACATTCTGTGTGGTCCTCTTCCACCTGGTTGAACAGGATGAGGCTTCTGGATTTGTGTTCTTGAACAAGGATGGTTGCTTATAATATTCTCTGTATCTGGATCTGTATCTGCATCTTTCAAGCATACATCATGCTGATCATAACTCTTCATTTGCACTAGAGCAAATTAACAATAAATGCAATATATTTTAAAATGGGATGGCATTTTAATGTGTCAGTGACATTAGAATATCAGGAAGCTCATAATTAATTATATTTTGTTAGCAGGTTTAGTAGATACATTTGAGGAAAGCCTCAGATGATTTATTTGACTGGTTGTTTTCCTCCAAAACATCACTGAAACAAAAAAGAATACAGTTCTGACCTTAGCTATAAAGTCATGTAGGTCTTTCTGAGAGGGGAAGCAACCCAGGGAATAGATGATGGTGCCAATCTCTCTAAAAACAAAAACATGACAGAAAATGAACACCTTCAGTTAAAGTCACTACATCATGTTAGCTCACATTCTTTAAAAATATGTAAAGACTGCAGATGACAAATGTGACAACACTGATCGCACTTTCTGGTTTATCCAGCCCTTCCAGCCAACTGGCCACTGTTCAACCTTGTGTCAAACCACTAACTTTACTCTACTACAGTCACTGCCAATATGAGCTACTTGCTTCTCTCATTCAAAGGGCTTCATTATCTCCAGTGGTAAACCAGAGGCATTTCAGTTTACTTTCCACCCAACCAAAAGATTAGGGAAGTATTAAAGAAAATCTACAGGAAAGGATGGGTGTAGCTTTCCTCATAAACTACATACTTGCAAACACAGTGTCCCTGGAGGTGTGAGATAAGAAAGAAAGAAAAGAGGCACTTCGATAAAACAAGACTTTACAACAGCAGTCCCCAAACTTTTTTCAGTGGGGGCCACATCAACTTTCCTTTCTGAGATGGGGGGCCGAGGTTAGTCTATAACAGGAAATGATATGGGCCAGGATGACAACCAGTATTATTGTGGAGATTACAATGATAATTTGTTGTAGCTGCCCTTCGTTTGGCTTTGGCACCACCTGTTGATTTGCAAAAAAGTAATAAAAAGTCTTCACATGTGTTTATTAGAAGTACCACAGATACTATTTATTTTATAGAAAATAACAACACAAACTGATGGTAATGCCGGGGGGGGGGGGAGCCGGCGGGCCGCCGAGCGGCTAGCTCTGCTTGCTGGGCGCAATGGCTGTGCTGGGGGGGGGGGGGGGAGCCGGCGGGCCGCCGAGCGGCTAGCTCTGCTTGCTGGGCGCAATGCCTGTGCCGGGGGGGGGGCGCCGGCGGGCCGCCATGGGTCATCTCTCATATGCTGAGGTGCCACATAGCTCATAACTATGGTCAATTTAATTAGAATGCCAACCTTTAAGTACGGATATGTTATGATGTTATGATAGGAAAATGCAATTTAATAAAAATTGGTTGATGTTTAGAGGGATTGTCTGGGATCGTTAAGTGGGTGACTCCAATTGCTTTGGCGGGCCGGATGTGGCCCGCGGGCCGTAGTTTGGGGACCCCTGCTTTACAACATATGAGCTCAATAAAAAACTAAAACAGTTAGGGTAGATTTTGATATTTGAGGAGTTGATACTGTGCTTCAACAGGTGCAAAATTATAACAAGTGAAATTAATCAATTTATGTTGGTCCAAATTAGTAACTCTTGCTTTTGGGGCTCCTGGAGGCCTGGGGCCCCAGGGACAGTTGCCTACTTTGCCCTGGTTGTAATGCAGCCCTGCTTCTTCCACCACTGGAGGAGAGGGATGTAAACAATCACCACCTCCCCATGCAGGCTGCTGTGGGAGCTTACCGGACATTCACTGTGTTGTTAAGCTCATAGTCAAACGCTTCAAAGGCTGCTCTGATCTTCTTCTGGACATCTGTGGTCTCTGACAGACGAAAAGGAGAAAACACGTACAGAGCCAAAAGTCAGTCGACCGCTAGCGTGTTACTGAAGCAGTAAGTCCACTGTCATAACGTTCAAGCAAAACCTTCAAATACTGAACCGTAATTTGAAGGGGACTAGAAACACTGAAACTGCCCTTTCGTGATGTCTGAAGATAAGAATTTAAATTAATACACAGAGGGTATATAACATAAGACAGACTAACCTGCACTCTGCTTGCTCTCCGCCATGTCTGCGTTATTCCGTTGCGTGGCAACCGACTGGCCATATTTGAGGAGCAGTTAGTTGGAAACAAGGAGAGTAACCGATTTTACTAATACCCGAACATATGTCTTACAAAGCCAGGTACATTTTTAAAACATCGTAGCACGTTGTCAATCTTTGTCCTTTAAAATACACACTATACCTTGTTTCACTGTGATGTACGGTTTGCTCCAAATATTTTAGTTTACTTAATAGGAAACAAAAACACACAGTGTGTTTTTCTCTTATTAACAGTATTCATGAATTAATTATAAATAAACAATCCCAGACTGATTCCGTGTGGAGATCAGGACTCTATGGGGGGCCTGACCATCTGTAGCAAGACCCCCTCTTGTCTCTGAAGTTAGTTCTTTAAGACTTTGTCTGTGTTTGGGCTTGTTGTCCTGTTACAGAATTAATTTGGGACTGATCAGACTCCTACCTGACGGTATTGTATGATGGATAAGAATCTAATATACAGTTAGTTTGCACAGGACTGTATATCAAGAAAAACAATATACAGTCAATAGTCAGTACATGTCAATATACAGGTTTAATTCATGCTCTTGTTCACTCAGCTTTATTTATTTACAGTATAATAGTGTTCACGGTTGTAGCTATGTGTTGTGTTTCTGTCTTTTGAACTTCACTTTACGTAAACTGAATAAACAATGAAAGAGAGAGGGATAAATCAATGTTTGCTTTATTATCTCCAGCTGTATAAATTCATAAATGGTTAAAAGGGTAAACAAAAAATTACAACAAATAGTAAACCCTTTCATACTGTAAACACGTTCCAGGTTTGAATTTAATGTTACATCACATCTAATGGTAATTCAATGGGGTCTTCCTGTCCTTAATTGTAAAGCTGAGAATTTATGGGCCTATAGCCTTAAGACTGGTGGCAGTAGATAAGACTCATTACTGTAAGTACTCAATAGGAGTGCAGTACTGTCCTGTAAGTTCATTCAGGCACACTGAAGTCCTCATCAAAATATTTTACTTACTGAATTGTACACAAGTGCATCAAAAGAAATTAAGGCTTGGCCAATACTGTAGAATAAGATGTGTTTTTTCTTTGAATAACCTAAGTTTAAGCAAATTGTCAAGGAAAACTAAATTTAATTTCACAGCACACATGAGCTGCCTGTAAATGAGACCACTTTAAATAAATAACAGTCCAGATGCACCTCTAGTGCAAATCCTAAGTCTAGAATGGGTCAGACACAATAAGGCCAATCAGTGTGTACATTAAACAACAGTCTCTATATAGAAAAACAATACATTAAAAATATGCAAAAAATTTCAGGTATGAGAGAAAGGGGTAATTAAATACAATTAAAGCAGGAAAAAGTAAGCACATCTTATAATTGTCAAATTATTTAAAATCAAATGATCAACTGCTTCAACTGCTGGGAGAAGAAAAAGTATTCAAAAGTACTACTCGCTATCAATGATGGCTCCCATTTTACTAATATGGATAATATTGCATTTTGAATTCCGAACTTTTGTCCCATATACAGCTTGAGATGTCTTTGTATTCCTAAAGAAACCAATAGGTACTGGCTGTAGAAAGAGTATTCCAATACAGTGACATGAATAGTTTTAAAACATACATCTTTTCATCAACCATTTACATGTTTTACAGTCCAGTGAAATGGACTGTAAAATCTCAGAATTCACCTCCGTTCATGGGGATGAAAATGAAGAGTGAAGAGTGGTACTTTTAACTCTGTAATCAGTCTTCAACAGACCAGAGCCAACAGACCAGAATAATCTCTGGTGTGTGTATGTGTGTTTGTGCATTCATATCTCTGGTTGCCCCTGATGTACAGGGACTCCCTGGTGATGCCTCTGATCTGCAGCTTGGGCTTCTGGGAGATGTTGTCCATTATGTTCATCTACTTGCTTTACAAGTTCCTTTTCTTCTGTCTTTACTTCATGTTGACGTTGCTCTTCCTCTTGAGGCTGAATCTTTTCATGAACCTCCTCTCTCTGCTCCGCTGCTCTTGCCTTCTCCTCGTCAGTACTGGGGTTTGACAGCTTCTCCTCCACTGCCACCTCCTGCTCCTGGTGAGGTGCATTGCTGTTGCTGGAGTCCTTTGAGATGGAAAGTGTGATGTAACATTAGTGCAGTCGACAACAAATTAAGCTGTGACTAAAACTAGATTCAGCTCAGTAAACCAAACTTAAATGCACAACAAAAACGTAACATTACTTATGTCTACATATTAATTGGCAGTAAAGCAAACAAACTAACCATTTTATGGAAAATGTCAAAATTAAAAGGAAATTTTCAATTTGACCGCTGATTTTTGGTATTATAACAAACTTGTGTTTAATAACAAAAACAAAATACAGAAATTGACAAAACAATCTCAATCTCAAGGTCCACTTACTAACTCTATTTTTATATCATATATTTGACTAAATACATCTATATTTTTCATTTTAAAAAAATTCCATAACTATACAATCATTCTGCTTGAACAGAGTACCATATAATTTAGCTTAAAGGTAACCTTCATACTAGGTAAGAAAGAGTTAAGAGTGTTTACATGCACATGGTACCTGTTTGTGAGGTAGTGAAGGAGAGAGCAGCTCTGATGGGGCCAATAGGCCGTCCTGGTTTAGATCCTGAGTCTGGAGTAAGAAATCTACCATGGACACCACCTGAACTCAGGAAACACACACACACACACACACACACACACACACACACCCACACACACACACACACACAGACACACACACACACACACACACAGAGTTAGATCGATAGGTTAGATATGTAACACTAGGCATAAATACAATGGAAGTTCAAACACACAGCGCACACACACACACGCACACATATACACACACACACATACACACACACGCACACACACACGCCCCTACATCCACTCCTCCTCACCAACTCATTGGCCTGTGCTCCAGGTGTATGATGGGAGCTATAGTCTGAAAGTAGCTTCATCATCTCCAAGCCATCCAACAACCCACTGCGATCGTAGTCGTACAGACGAAACAGGAAGAATACCTCTGACACAACACAGGAGAAGAGTGGCATGTTTAAAACCAAACACGTCTGTTATACTGCGGAGGAGGAGATACAGTAGCAAAATGCCCTACTCTTTACACACAAACACAATGTCATTGATGTTAACAACTGATTGTATGGGACACAGGCGTTCTACCAGAATCACAGACAAAACCTTGGAGAATCTCTGGTCATCTGATTGAAAAAGATTCAGCCAAAAGTCATAGAAAATTACTTTATTAGAACCTGAGACTTTCTTAAATATTCCAGTAAGCAGCTGTCTGTAACACTAGAGTTTGTGTATTTGGTAACGATGATCAAAGGGACAGTCCTGTGTCAGATCTTGTACAGGTGTCACAGCAGTAGGTGTAGTATAGTAGTAGTAGTAGTAGTAGTATGTAGTATCTACCTTGCTCCCAGGTGCTGATTTCTGGTCCTCCCTGGCTGTCCTTCAGACTGGATTGAATGTAACTCTGCAGCAACCTGTGGTACACAAAGCACACAGGACATTTCAGTCCATCAGTGAAACATTAAGAGCCAAAAATGAACAGTGAGGAGTCAGATTCGTTTAACTCTGCAAGAACGGAGTCATATTGCAGATACAATCAGACAAAAGCTGTGAGAGGCAAAATAGAAAGACAAATTTAGGATTAATATATCTTGAGTGGATTGTTTAAAATCTCCCTTTGGTATTTTTGCATATTGACTCTTGACGACTCGTAAACAGGCAGGGTGGTACTTTAAATACAGCAGTGATGCTGTATGATATATAGCCACAAGAGGGCAGAATATTAGGCTACTTCTTTTATTTTAGGGCAAGTCCTAACATATGACTCGACAATAGGAGGAGGAGTTGCCACTTCATCAAAAAACACTCTATCTATCACATCTTACACAAGGCAGATGGCAAGAAGACACCCCTGGGGCAACAATGATACTCGCAGCGCCTTTGAGCCGCTCTGCTATTCTGTAAGGGTAGCAGTGCTGTTTCAGGTCATCCTGCGTGGGTGTACACACTTTTTGCTTAAAGACTAAATCGGGTTTTCAGTGTCTATGGAAGGCAAGCTTATTTGTAAAGCCCCTTTCAACAACGAGGCAATTCAAAATGGCCTGTATAAGACATGTAAAGACATTATAGATAAGAGATATCAGACAAGACATAAAGGAAATGCCGATGATGACTCCTGTGGTATCATTTGTCTAAATATTACAATAGTTTAATCCCATGCACAAGCCATCGATGAAGCAATGGGTAATTGATGGCAGCATAGTCAAAATGCATTATTCAAAAATGCCCTTTCTATCCATTCACTGCACACGGGGCTCCTATGAATCCATGTGCATTGTTTGTTGATGGAGGTACAGATCACATCAGCTGCAATTCTGCACAGCTGACAAACATATGTCTGGTCACACACTCAACAGACTCAACTGAACAATATGAAAGAGCAGTGTACACATCAATTAATCTTATCAGGAAATCAATTGTGGCTACAACATACTGTGGAACTATGTCCACAAAGTGGTTACTTCTCTCACTCTGTTCCCTGAATAAATTATCAGCACATTCCACTGTACAGTAACAGAGATGTGAAGGGAAACATATTTTATAGTTGCAACATGAAGCAGAGTTATTGCACGTGTAATCTTATCAGTATATGGTGCAGGCCACATCATTAGCACAACACAGCAGGCAAAGTCCACAGAGTGACCAGACAGTAGCTGCTAAGTCCACTAAAACAGACTGCAGGTTGGACAAATTTAGATGTGGTCTGCATTACTCACCTGCGGTCCTCCTCTCCAGTGCCAAAGGGATTGGGTAGTGCTATGGATGGCGGCTGGATATCTACTGTCTCCTCTCTGTGGGATAAACAAATAAAAACTGAAATAAAACATACGTCAAGAAGCCTCCTTTCTTTTACTTTAATTTAATTTGTACATTTCACACTAAGCAACTACAACAGAGGTGAAAGATAGTTTGTTTCTTTTGCTGGCAATAGATCTGTATCCCCTGTACATAAAGCATATGTTTGTTTGCCATTAAAAAAAGGACTGTTTGAAATATCCAGTGTTACAAATCTTGGCCATTCTGATATTGCAGCTCTTGGTGACATGTTTATTGTGGAAATTCACTTCTTATGACAATAAAAATGTATCACTTATGACAAAAAATTAATTAAGAACATTTACTTGAAAGAATAAAAATGTTTGGTGTTATGTGAAAAAACACAGAGAAGAGAGAATGAAGTCGGGTGAGTAGGGACGTGGGTTTACCTTTCTGTCCCTGGTAGACCTGGGGCAGCCAAGCACAGGTGTATGAGCAGGAGCAGGTATAGGACACTTGGGACAAACTTGCCCAGGTGAGACTCCATGAACACACCTACAAGCACACAGCCATGTTATGGCCTCATATCACATCTGTACAGGCCAATGTCATGAATCTACCTGCAAACAGTCTTCAATAACTGAATAAAGTATCAGAGAATTCAGCAAAATGCGCACACATGGCAGAATTGTTGGCACAAGATATTTCATGGTTGGAAAATAATGTTAATTAAATTTCCACATAGTTAACGTTAGGGACATAGTAGTGTTTGATGGTTTGGTTGCAGGATGTGTACGAAGTGGAATTTACACATGGCTTCTGTGTATCTGCAAACCCAGTAGTCACTTGTACTGTTAGCTGTTTCAAATGGTCAATCTACATGTTACACCTACTGCCTACAAATAAAAATCAGTCACTGGATAAATATAACAGTGCTGCAGCCTTTACAAGTTACACGGATGATGGACCCCATGGTCCATTATGGGGAAATCAATGAAAACCATCTGCATCTACCTGCAGCTCAGGATCCACATTGTCCAACTTGTTCAGTGAATATGTCCATGTATCTCCAGTCAGTTTAGTCAAGCAGATGTTTTATTTGTGTACTAAACCGCTTTGCAGCTCTGGATTGGCCTGGCGCTACTTTATCCCAACTGAAACGCACTGAATAATAAACCAGCTACGTGCAGCGATGCTAACACCACGGCTCACACAGCCCCACCTGACCCACAGCTGACACCAGCCCACTGCAGCATTATTACAGCCTGGACACAGATAGAATAAACACTGGTCGTTTCTGATAGACCGTTCGTCTTCCTGCTTCCAATTACAACAAAAAACAAATGCAAGAATGACGAATTTTAGCCTGAAAGAGCAACCGGTTTTAGCCTGCTGACTATGCGTTTATTACGATGTATATAGATGAAATATTTCTGTGGACTGAAACAACATGCACACACAGCTCAGAAAGGCTAAGCTGCAGCTGATAAATCCAGCCTGATACTCTACATCTGTATTCAGAGTCATAACCTACCTGTCAGCATGGTGGATGTGCGGACAGTAAAAAGCTTTAACTCGGGCAGGTTTGCTTTTACAGGTTCATATCTGGTGAGCACCTCTGTCCCGCACCGCCCTGCTGCTCGAGCCTCCCGGTCTGCACTGCGCAACGGCGACGGCACACGCGCCCACCCTCACCTCCACCGCCGGGCTGCCACGGAGACCGGCGTGTGTTTTGGTCAATGACAGGGTCCACGTGGAAGAACAGAGCCTCTGTCGTGTCAGTGAGTTTGCGCACGACGCCTCTCTTTGTGCTCCTCTCTCCGGGTTTTCCGCCACGCCACGTCCACACAGACAAGTCAGATTTCGGTAGACCGGGAGGAGTCTTGTAATCTGCTCCAGGCCTTTACAGCTCAGGGGTGTTTTATTTTCAGTCTCAGTAGTGGAAGCTACATACCAGCACATTGCTAGACCCACAGGCACACTGGTGGGAGAGGCAGGAGCCGTCTTAACTTGCTGTTCTTATATAGTACTGCCATTACTATGATCTTTCAAGAGCCACCAAAAGCTCAACATATATTCTTAAGACTCACAACCAGTGAATGAAATATTTTTGCTGACTTAAATTACAGATTCTACTCAAGTGTTTTACTCTCAAGTCTTCTTGACTCATCTGGTTAAAAATAGTGGATCTATGGCTGTAGATCCAATTAATGAAAGAACCATAAACATCTTTATTCAGTAATGCTTTATTTTACAGGTGCATTATTTTAAGTTTGTTTAAGTTCTTGAAAGTTTCCTGAAAAGAACTGTGTAGTTTGGTCATTAAACAGTTTAATGAAGCGGTAGATTTATGTTGCAGTTTGACTAAAAGTCCAAAAGGTGGCGCAAAGCACCTGCGTGGAGCGTCTTAGTCAGGAGAAGGGAAGGGAGGGGGAGAGACGAAGAAGACAGCGAGTCCTGAGCGGTAGTGACAAAAGTTATGTCTTTTAAGTTCAATGTTGAAGTTATCCAGCAGGGAGTTACCTTGATCCGAGAACTGTTGTGTTACCAGAGGATTCAGGAGGAGCGCGATCTAATGTGTTTATAACGATCTCTGGTGAGTGTGTTTTCTTTTTCAGTGCTAGCTTAAAAGCGATGTTAGCTCACGCTGATTTCAGGATTGTGAACGGGACAAAACAATCAGAGAAACGTGTTGTGTTGATTTAAAAAAACAAACAAAAAACTCTTCAGTGTAGAGTTTGAGAGGTGTGATTTTGTGTTTTGAAATATTGCTTGCATAAACTGCTGTCTTGTGAAATGTATTTTCTAGTCATAGTGATGTTGTGTTTTGTGAAAATTTGAGTGAGCAATAAAAGGTTAGACGGTAACCATGAGATACTGGTATTCATCCTCATACTAAAAAAAAAATTGACTTTAACTGAAGTTATAACGTTTGGTATGCTGGTTGTTTTTTATGGTCGGGTTGAAGCGAGCCTGGAGGTCCACTCACCACTATGGCTGCACTTGGAGGAGTAAAGGAGCAACTCGTGGATTTGGATGCACCAGCTTCTCCACTCGGATTCCAGATAAGATCTATCACAATAGAAACATTGCGCCCCTAAATGAAGTAAAAGAGAAAAAAAAAGACTCATAGTCAACTGACTGAAAAAACTACTTTTGACTTGACTGAACTAAACTCAGATTTCCCTCAAGAAAGGATCCAGCTATACAATAGAAGAGGAAATAAGTAAGGACTTAAAAACATTGAGCTCAGGAATTTAAATACCCGGGTACAGAAGTTACTTTGTTTTTTTTATTTCAATGTGTGAATCGAACAGAGCTCTGAACTAAGGGACATTTTGAGTTAATTTGTTTTATTTTAAAGGCCTTGCTTTGTTATTAAGCCCATACTCACATGAATGTTGTTTTTGTATTCTGTGAAAACAAAAACTATTGCAAAGCGCAGTGGTTGTGTTTTGCTTATCATCTTCCTCATGGAGCCTAGATTTTAGATATTGATCTATTACAATTTTATTGGCATCTAACCCATCTCCTCATATCTAGTGGTTACAGTAGATTGACCAAAATAACATTTAGTGGTTCCTGGACCACATCAAGTGAGATATCAGATTCAACTCTGCAAATAATTGTGTCAAATTGGAAAACTCATGGTGTTTACATCTAAGTGTGTTTAATCCAGTAAATACACACACAGACACACAAAGCAAGATGGGGTAAAAGTCAGAAGTAAGCACTGTACTGCAGATATTTCACCACAAGATGTCCCAGCAACTCTTCGTTTGAATCGCCTCTCAAGGCATCATACTCACATCTGCAGAACATTATGAATAAGAAGATTAGGTTTATAATGTTCTAATTATGTCATAACTGTATCTGCAAAAATATCATAAATGTCACATCATTAATGGAGTCTGGCAAAACTCAAATTATAGATAAGAGGCTTTTATTTTGTTTCCTGTTTCAGTAAGTATTTGTTGTCTTTTATTAAATGACCCTATAATTCAAAGTAAATTTAAATCAAATAATTACAAATTTCTAAACTTATTTTTCAGAGGGAGGTCAGGTACATTACACACACACACACACACACACACACACACACACACACACACACACACACACACACACACCAGGTCAAGGTAAGTTAATATTATGTCATAGCCGTGCAAATTAATTATCATGCTGATCTTCTACTGGCTCCCAGGGAGTGTGATCTGTTTTCTGTGACTCACATAGCACTGATGAATGTTCATTTGACATGACACATTTGAGATCTTTCATTGGTCCCAAAGGGAAAATGTTTCACACCCCTGCTGCTGGTCTCCAAATGCCGGACCAGCAGGCAGTGTGGGTTCTGAACTGTGTGTTACAGTCAATACACAGGTTTGTGTCTTTTATCTTAGGGAAAACCTTTATTCAAAATTCAACATCCAAAAATGGTTGTTTATTATTAAAGGGAAAGATTGTGCAACATTTTAAAAAATGTATGTGCATAGTGTATAGTAGCTTTATACATAGTGGAATTACATACTATTTGTCTATTTTACTACTACTTTACTACTATTTAATGGGAAGGTATAAATTATGAAATGGATGGAAATAGAGAAAAATTGGATTTGATGTGCTGCACAACTATATTATTACGCCAGGGTAGGCGTCTCTGTTTAGAGGCAGTGTTTTATTCCTCCATCATTCCCACATCACCTCACTCTGCTCAGTTGTCTCTTTTTATCTGTTTCCCATCTGCCTTCCTCCCTCATGTCTCTGTCTCCCTCAACCTCTGAAGTAATGCCAGACCTTACACTCAAATTTCTAAAAATAGAAAAACTCTATTGAGGTGGCAACACAGCAGCACGGTGGTTACACACACACACACACACACACACAGTACTGTACTGTGAATGAGTGTGTGTGTTCATGTATCTGAACTGTAGGTTTACTCTACTACTATTACCCACAAACAAACATTCTTTTTCACATCCACATTGGTCAGTCTGTATGAGTTTACAGGAGGTCAGTTCAAACTGCAGAGCAGTGTCATTGAGCCCTTTCCTGATCACATCATTTTGGGATAGTCATTGGTCCCAAAGGAGAAATCTGTCTTTTTGAGGCTTGAGCTGTGTGGTTGAAGGACAGTATCAACCTGTCCTGCTCCCACATCACCTCAGGTTACTGTTAAAGTAGGAAAGTGTTTTAATTCTTAAATTGTGGGTTTCACTGACTGTGGTCAACGGGGCAACTGAAGTCCACCTGAAATTGACTTTTCAAATTCGATGCATGTAGCGGAATAATACTATAAAATGATAAAAAAAATATAATAAAAATAAGACCATGCTCGGGAAAGCAACTTTGGTGGTCAACCTGTGACTCCTCAGCAGTAATGGCTCAGATCGGTCTTTACTAGCACACTTCAATCAACCTCATAACAATATTCTGGTATGTGTCATTTGAATCGCTTTATTTAGTTATTTGCGTTTTATGTCAGCATTTCTTCACCGACTGCATGTACAGTTTTTGTATTAGGGCTGCACCAAATGGTGCAGAAATACTCTGCAAGATGCATTTAGTATTTTCCAAGTCAGATTTTCTGAGACAGTATTTATGTATACCGTTTTTAGTTTAGATGTTCTGAACTTTTCATCCTGGAACAGTGACTGACAGCATGATTGTAACACTGACAAACTCACACATGCATAGAAATGAAATACTAAGATTTTGAAGCCTATTCACATGAAACTCATAAAGTCAGTCAGAGTGAGTGGAGCTACAACTGCTGAATATGGGAAGAAACAGTCTGAAGACAAAACACACTCAACCATATGCCGTTGCACACACATATAAAGGTCAAGGAGGAAAGTATTTGACCATCCCCTGGAAACTTTGAGGCCCGGACCTATGACTGGGAGAGACCAATCGTACTTTTATAATCACACAAAAACTAGTGACACGCATAAAAGGGCACAAATATACTTAAACATCTCTGTTCTTCTGCGTGACTCACTGAATGGCTTTGCACTGTGGTGGCTCATTATTCCACAGCCGGTTGGTACATAAACATCCTACTGACACTCACTTACAGGAAGGGAGATTACTCTGTAATTGTTAACATGAGCTGCTGCCTAGTACCTGTGTGTGTGTGTGTGTGTGTGTGTGTGTGTGTGTGTGTGTGTGTGTGTGTGTGATGGTAATGCATTTCATTTAGACAACACTTTTCACTCTCACGCACAGCAGCCAAACAGATAGAGAGACGGATACGTGATGCAGAAAATTGGATCGTCAGGCAGCGCTGTTGTTCTTACAGCTCTTACCACGCAGAATATTGTTGAAACAAGTCTCCTGCTGCTCCGAGTGTGTTTCCTATGGTTGAATAGAAACACTAGAGTAAATGCAATAGCACCGTGCTGTGGGATGATGTGGTTTCCAGTCGCAGAGGTTTGTTTGCTGTCCGAGGCGAAAGCAAGCACGATGTAGAGTAGCAGAGCTTCAGCATCATCAGGTTAAAGTTGAGTGGACCACAGTGACTTCAGAAAGAATTCACACACGGGATTCTTGAGGCCACCGTACTCAGAGGAACACTCAGAGGTTTAGAAATGGTTTCATACCAATGCCCTCATCTATGCCTCGCTGCAGTTTCATTAC